CGCTCGCGAGCAAAAGTATCCCCACCAGCTTGTGTATTCTGGTTCGTGTTCGCGGGGCTCACGGAGTCGTTTGGCGGCCATCTGACGTTTTATTTGTACGGCCGGGATGCGTTGGTGACGACTTTTTGGATGACTGTTGCCGCTTGGCGTGGTTGCATCTTTCCTGCTCGTGTTCCGCTTTCCCAGGGTGCCGTCCGTACTACTTCACGGGTCCCATTTGCGTGCCACCGCCATCGTCCGCGGCCGTTCGTTGGTTTTCTCCGCGCCATTTGGCCGCGTCTTCCACGTTGGCACTGCGGTGTTTGTTCGGCGTGGCGGTCCACCATCATCCGCCTCCGTCCTCTTCAGCGTCCTCCTCGTGCTCTTTGGGCGTGCCTTGTGCTTTTTTGTTCGCTAAGTTAGCTGCGCCCACGTATTTTTCGCCTACGGCACGCTCTTCTGCTGCTGACCGCCTGGTCGTTTTCACGGCTCCTCGCGCGTCGCCGCCTGCATCGTTTGTTAATGTCGTTACCGACGCGGCCTGCCCTGGCACGTTCGGCGTTCGACTCGTTTCGCGCGCCCCCTTAACCCAAACAAATATCCCCTCCAGCCTTTTTCGGAAAAATTGCCCATGAGAGTTGTTCGGGAAAAAAAAGCCGACGAGACACATATTAGCGAAGCGAAACAAAACGAACACCAGGATGAACATCGAGATCTCTCGGGATGCCATCCCTGGGGACCGCGCGGGGGCGAGGGGAGGACGAGGAGGAGGAAGACGAGGAGGAGGAGGAGGAGGAGGAGGAGGAGGAGGAGGAGGAGGAGGAGGAACAGCAGGAGGAGGGAACGGCAACGAGTCACCCGATCTCAGCGACAGTCGCTCTCCGCATCTTTCCACCTTGGCCCCACTAGTCCCCCCACGCTACATCTAGCAGCTGCGACCCCGGATAACCTGCAAGCCGTTTGGCCAGTTCACCGCACACGGGAGGATCGGAGGGGTTTACAAGGCGGTGGGGGAAAACAAAGTTACAGCGAGCCGCCGCCGCGGATGACATGAACCATTCCCGCGCACGGCGGAGAGACCCTAAGCGGCCACCAGTCCCATGATCTGGGTACCCCACTCCTGCCGCGGCAACGGAGGCAGGGGGGGGGATATAGGTGCAGGGCGTGACGCCTTTCTGTTACCCGCCCTGGCGAGATTGGCCGCGGCCGCTCTCGGCGAGTGCGATGGCTGAGTCGGCCGTGGACGAATGGCAACGAGCCACCCGATCTCAGCGACAGGTGCCCGCCGCATTTTTCCATTCGACTTCCTACATCGCTCACTCCTTGCAGCTGCGGCCTTAGGTCGCCTGCCAGCCGCCACGCTCGCCCACGGCTCAGTGGATCCGCGTCGTCCTTCGTTGCCAGTGCCGACGCAAAACCGCCGCGCCGCCTTTCATCCCGTCCGTCTTTCCTTTGGAGGTTTTGATGGGTGTGACGCTTCAGCCCCATCGTATTTGTCTGTCGGACTTCTTGTCCATGCTCTTCTACATGTTGTTCTACTCCCCCAGGGACGGTCGACCGGCCCCCTCTGGGGAAAGCGGCGGCGCGCGGAGCATTCTCATGCCAACAGGAAGCAGGAAACAGGAGGAGGAGGAGGAGGAGGAAAAGGAGGAGGGTGGGGAGGGAAGAAGAGGACGAGGCAACCCGCCCCTTGCGACTATCATGGAGGGCGTCGGTGGAAAGAGAGGGGCCATGACGTTTGACCCCCCCTGTTCGGGGCCCTCGAAATCGCCACTTGGGCCCTCCTGGAACGCTCTTGGGGCGATCATGGGCGCTCTGGGGGGCACCGTTGTCGGCCGTTTGGGCCCATTATTGGCCTGTTTTGGGGGCCATCTTGAGGCCTCGACAGCGCATCGGACTCGAAAAGGGGAGAGGGCAACCATCATTGATTTGCTACAGGTTGTTGAAGGATACTGGCTTCTGGGGACCCGAGAGCACTGGAAACCGTCGCGTGGCCCTCGCCAAGCCTGTTGGAGGCATGTCAGAAGCTATCTTGAACCACGTCTGGCGATCTTGAGACACTTTACAGGCCATCTTGGAGCATCGGAGGCCCTCTTGGAGCCATGTTGGGTGAAAAGCGACCCCCATGACACATCTCGAAAGCCCCCGAACAAAACGTCAGGAGGGAGCTCACCATATCCCGAAGAGGATATGGTTGTTCGAAGAGGACACCTCAACCCTCAACCCAACTTGCTGGTGGGATTTGACAGCCCAAGGACGGCAGAGCACCAGATCATCCCGCACTTCGCGGTATAATGCTCCAGCGACCAGGCCTGCAACCCCAGTGCGCACTACTGCAGCAATACAGCATTATCATGCGGGCAGACGCTCCCACGCAGGCCAAAGAGAAAGAACGTCATCACTTTAGTCCCCAAGCCTGGCGACTAAGCACCTCCACACGTCACATAATTATCGCTCGATCTGCACAATGCCGCAATGCCGATGCTACACAAGTTCTTCGGCCGACTGCTGCACAACCGTCTACAGCTGACTTTGGACCGACAGCACCTTGACGACCAAGCTGTCGTCCACCCGTGACCACCTCATTAAGTTTCGGCGTTGCACGTGAAGGAGCAGCCGAATGGAATCAGAGCCTCTGGGCTGCAGCCGTGGACGTCCAAAAGGCCTTTTGCACAGTCGGGCACGACAGCCTGTGAGCCAGACCTACTTCACCAACACGTTCTACATGGGTATGTCGACCTTCTCCGGCGCATGTGTCAAGACCAAGCAGACGTGGTCCGCACCAAGGTCGCCAGCAAATTGTCCGGTCTCTGACGCGGCACAAAGCAGGGGGATCACCTGAGTTCCTTGCTGGTCAACGCGCTGATCCAACGAGTCCTGGTACCACTGATCCTAGAATGGCAGAGACGGCGCCAAGGCGTCCAGCTCGGCCGCACCAAGGAGTCGACACTCACGAACCTCCGGCTCGCAGACGTCATCTGGTTGACAGTGTCCAACATAAAGGCAATAGTGCTCTCTGACCTCGCCGCCTCAGCCAAGCCACACGTTTAAGAATTGCACGCGACCCAAACAAAGATCACGACTAACCTGCCTCGGCACCGCGGCCAGGTGGCCAAACTAGCATGGATCTCGAAATACGTTGCCACGAGCAAGCACCATTGCGTATTTGGGCGAGACCATTTCTTGTAATGACGCTTCTGGAACAAGTAAAGCACCGAATTCAAGCAGCATGGGCAGACTTCACCGGACACAAACAACATCTCAATAGCAAGCACTGCCCAATGGGACACCGACTGCGATTGTACAGGTGCAGCGTTGTACCTATGTTGATGTACGGTGGAGGAACGTGGACTGTGACAGAGCCTTTCAAACAACAGTTGTGCCGAACACAGCGCCGGATGGTCAGAATGATACTGGGGAGCCCAAGTCGACGCACGGCAGCGACACCGACTTCGCACCGCTAGCCAGCTGCCACGACACCAGCAACATTGCCCCAAACGACTCAACTGAATCCGACGTTTGTAGAAACTCACCCACCCAGCAGCCCAGCGAACAGGACGAAGACAACGACGACGAGGACAAGCAACCGGTGCAGGACGACGACGTCGAGATGTGGTCCGTCTCCATCTGGGGGAGCAAGCAGAGGGCAGAACCGTGACTTACCTCATGTAGTAAAAATGCACCGCAGAATTGTTTGCAAATGGGCGGATCCTGTTGTTCACCACCTCCCACTGGAACCGACATGTCAACATTCGACAGCGAGGGCGCCGGCGACATGGGGGGGGGACTGAAGAGATGAGACGACGATGTCCGGAAGTTTTTCCACAGCTTGAGCGGACACTGGTGCGACGCAGGCGCTGGGCAGGATCAGGTACGGGCAGCGACTGGACCAAGTCAACGCGAACGCACAAGTTCGGTCGACTTGCAATGGTGATCAACCGCCAGGGTCATTGAGTGGACGTTACGACGTGGATCCGCCAACATATCACATGTTAGAGGCCACAGCTTCCACGCCATGCCCTCATGGGCATGAGCGGATTCCCTAATGGAGCGCGCACGGTTCTTGCGTTCATTTCGAGTTGCCTCGCCTCCAATATCCCTCTCTCCCTCCGTGTCGGGGCCAGGGGCAACCAAATTAATTTGTTTCGCCACCACTTAGCGGCACATGGCGTGCCAACACACACTCAGACTCACACACATATCTGTGTGTATATACACGCACATGTGTGCGCTTCAAAAGTTGTCGCCCGGACAACAGGCAGAGCATTGTACAGGGTACGTTGTTTTGCCCAGGAGCCTGAGTGTATGCACGCGCGGTCTTGATCTTGCCAGCGTTCTTCCCACCACCCGCTACCGCCATGGGAGCGGCGGCACGGACTGGCCGGTGGCATTCGCTTGACCTTGTTCGTGCTGCTTTTGTTGCTCCCCAGAAAAATTCGACGTTCATAGTGGTTCAGGACGCGCGCCACACAAATCTCGACCATGTTGTCGTTCGTGTCCTGTGACCCAAACCTAATTTCCCGTGGCATATACAACATGCCCATTGTTATTTTGCGAGGCATCAAGATCCTGGTCCTTTTCCTGGGGACTCAGTCGGACGAAAGCAGGGGGTAGGGGAAAGGGGGGGGGGCGAAGCCTGCCGCATGCAGCACGTGCAGGTGGCCTCGGCCCCGCCGCCGGACGCCAACCACTCGATACCGGGAAACTCCTTTGTGCAGCAGGCAGTGGTTTGTCAGACTCTGCAGCTGTCCCTGCGCGGAGGGAGGGGGGCGTGGCGAGGCCCGCGCGGAAGGTTGGACCCCACGCGCGCCGGAGCTTTTCTGCACGCCGTTGCGGCCCAGAAGCGGCGGAGGGGCGGAGGAGCGTGGGGGGCGGGGCAGAGATCCCATGCAAGTGAACTTGCTTGGCTCTGAAGAGAAAGCTTCTTTGGCATGGTTCGCCAAGCGCCCCCTTCCGTCCGACCCCGGGGGGGGGCGAGGGCGGCGGGGGCACCGCGGCGCAAGAGAAGAGAGTCTGGGCAGGCATGCCGAAGCAGATCACGGAGATCAGGTCGTTCCTGCAGATCGCGCGCCGCAAGGACGCCGCTCGGTCGGACGATCGTGCGCAGGGAGTGGGGGCCTGGACACTCCCCCACATGCTGACGCTCGCGCGAATGTTATGGCGATCGCTGCGCAACCCCCGCTCAACCGTGCCCCATCTCGCCCAAGCGTCACTGTTATCGCCTCCCCCCGAGGTAACGACCCTTGCAAGAAGCCATCAAACAAGTATTAGCAAGTGTGGACCCTGAACAGTGCGTTTCTACCAATATGTGTTGTGCAGTCGATGTGCTACAATCTGTGTCGCGCAGTCTAGGTGATGCAATCTATGTTGCACAATCTATGTGGTGCATCTTTGTGGTCCAGTCTACGTGGTGCAGTTCACTTGCCGAACTTAAAGTTGTCAACTCAACTGCTCGCGCAATCATCCCACCCACCCACCCGCAACTTGGTTTGCAAAACCCATGCGGGACCGAGCACAGATATCGGTACGGGGTCGTCTTGGACCCCTCGGGGGCGTCTCAAGAGCGCCCCAAGAAGGCCGGAGAAGCAGGACGGCCGACGACAGCGACGACGACGGCGGCGACGACGACGACGCCGACGTCGATGACGACGAAGACGACGACGCCGACGCCGACGACGACGACGAAGACGACGACGTCGCCAACGAAGACGACGACGAGGGAGGAGGGAGGACGACGACGGCGACAACGACGACAACGACGACAATGACGACAACGACGACAACGAGGGAGGAGGGAGGACGGCGACGACGCGAACGACGAAGAAGGAGGAAGGACGGGCCGACGACGACAACGACGGGGAAGGAGGGAAGACGACGACGAGACGACGACGACAACGACGACGACGACGGCGACGAGATAGGAGGGACGACGACGAGACGCCGACGACGGACGACGACGACGACGAGGGAGGAGGAGGAAGGACGACCACGGCGACAACGACGACGGAAACGAACACGACGCTAAAGAGGACGACGACGACGAACACGAGGAAAGACACATGACGACGTAGGTGACGACGACGACAACGACGACGCGGGAGGAGGGAGGACGGCGACGACGACGACGACGACGCCGCAAGAGCGCGCGCGCACGCATTTGTTGTTGAAAATCCGTGTTGCAAAACCTTGTGTTTTTGTATGTTTTTTTGGACGCGCGATTTTGAAATCCTTCCGAAACCTATGAGTGTTGAAGGATTTTGGCGCACGCGCGCGACGACGCGCGCGTCTGCACGTCGCCCCATCTTTTGCAGAGGATTCTCGCGACGGCACACGCGCAAGGGCGTTCGACAGATTTCGCCATGCGCGCGCGACGCCCGTTTGGCAACATGTTGTGAAACTATTGAAGAAACAATGGTTTTCTTCAGGTTTCGTAAGAGCTCGCACGTAGGTTTTTTTAAGCAACTCAGTGTTACGAAACCCTGTGTTTTGCATTTTTTTTGGAATCTCGATTGCGAAATCCTTCCTTCACCGAAGGTTTTTGAAGGATCTCGGCATGCGCGAGCGACGGCGCGCGCGTGCGCGGATTCTTGAACAAGTGCTATGTTAGAACAACAAATGTCACCGCATACCATTCTTCTACAAGGGAGCCTCAGGGGGGGAATCCAGTTGGCCTGGGACATTGCGATTTCATATTTATGATGGACATGTGGTCATAAACATATGTGTTTTACATACCCGGAAGGGGGGGCGATAACGCCATGGGGGGCGGGGTCGAGTTGATTGTCTTTTTAGATCGGAGAATCTATGTGGTGCAGTATCCGTCGTGCAACCTATGGATCAGTTTACGTGGTTCGATATATGCAGTGCAACCTACGTCCTGCAAAATATGTGTTGCATTGTATGCTCTGCAACCTGGTGGGTCCAACCTGCGTTGTGGAATTTATCCTGCGCATTACATATGTGGTGCAATCCTTTTGGATCAATATATGTTGCGCAATATATGTTGCGCATTCTACGATATAAAACCTTTTCATGTGCAGCTCATACAGTGGAATCTATGTGGTGCAGTATGTGTTGTCGGAGGTTGCGGGGTGAGACAGTGACACGGAGACCCCCCAGCGGGAAATCGGTTTCGTGTTCGTGTCGCGCGTGCGGGCGAGGCGAAGCTGCGCGTGATCCTCCTGTAGCTAGGCCGAAGTAGGATCGAATGTCCGTTTCTCGTCCGCTGGTGGCCGGGAGGTGTCCCCGCTGGGCTGGGCGGTGTCCCGGGTGTCCCGGGTGTCCCGGGCGTCCCGGCGTTAACGCATGTCGTTCATTTCATATTTTTTTTTGTCGGCGCCTGCGGCGGGTTTTCTTATCCAATCCAGCTTATCTTATCCAAACCATCTTGTCCTATCCAGTCCATGTTTTCTTATCCAACCCATTTTGTCCCACCTTATCTTGTCCCACCCAATCCAATCCACCCAAGCCAATCCATCAATTCATTTGTTTCTGCGCCTGCGGCGGGCCAATCAAATCCATCCTATCTTCTCCAATCCGTTTTTTCCCATCCAACCCATCTTCGTCTCTCCAATCCATACTAGCCCATGCAACCCCATCCATTCAGCCCAATCCATTAATTCATGTTTGTCGGCGCCTGCGGCGGACTTTCTTATCCAATCCAGCTTATCTTATCCAATCCATATTGTCCAATCCAATCCATCTTATCTGATCCATACCATATTGCCCCATCTTACCTTATCCCACCCAATCCAATCCATCCAGCCCAATGCATCAATTCATTTGTTTCTGCGCTTGCGGCGGACCAATCCAATCCATATTATCTTATCCAAACCACCTCGCCCAATCCAACCCATCTTATCTTATCCAATCCATCTTATCCCATCCACTCCAATCCAGGCTGGAGGTCAGTCAGGGTGGGCCTTGGGCCTCAATCCCTCCCAAAACTCCTTTATCGCCCGCAGGGCGGTCGTATAGGTACACTATATGTGGGTCGGTCCACGTCGTGCACTATACGGGGAACAACCATTGCAGTGCATTATATGTTGTGCAATCGATGTTGCGCAATCGATGTTGTGCAATCGAGGCCGGTTCTGGGAGCGCAACCAAATATTATTCATGGCTGTTGGTTGTTATGATGCACAGTTGGGGAGGCGACCCTTGGATGTTCTGTGTGTTTTGGCTGGCGGATGGTTTCAGGTTCGTGAAGGATATTATTATGTTTTAGTTCCGACCGTGTAGGCTTTGCAACCGACATGTTGCAAGTTATGTGGTGCATTCTACGTAGTGCAGTGCACCAATGCCCGCACTGAGCTGTAAAGTGCAATGCTCGCGCAATCACCCCATCCAACCACCCGCAACTTGGTTTGCAAAACCCGCGGGACGGCGATTGCGATGAGTGCTTGGCGTTGGCTGGTGTATTTATGCGGCTTCGTTAGCCCGCGCATGCTCGCGAACGCAACGACCAGCAAGTGCGGTGGAACCGACGCGGCCGCGGTGGCGCTGACCGCTGGGCCAGTCCAGCGGGCACTCCAGTGCGAGTCGGTGACTTGGGCGGGCGCGGTATCATGGCGACGCCGGCAACAATAGACACGATTATGAGAGTAGCGATGATTTTGGCGACGGTGGCAATGACGACGGCAATGCCAATTACAGCGCCGATGTTCATCACGCAGACGACGATGACGGCGTTTCGCTTCGGTGACGCAAGTTGTGGAGGACGTTTGGCATGATGCGCGGGCGGCCGGCGCGCGCGAGTGGACCGAGCGGTATTATTAGACACGGGTCGTGCCCCCCATCCCATCACGCGCGCAAGCGCGTTCGAATGATTTTGGCATGCGGCGCGAAAGGCCCGCCAGGCAGAGTGTAATGGCAAGGTTGAGCACGTGTTGTTTGACCAGAATTCGGAAGGCGCGTGCGCAGTCCGTTTGATTTTTTGCAGGGGGTTCGGGAAGAGGTGGTGATTGATGAAAGGGTGCGCGCATCGTATTTTCATCACACGATGAGTGGCCGGGATACCAGCCTGGCTGGGATTGTTCGAATTGGCTGTTCAAATGAACCTTGGGGCAGAGCCGCATGCACATCGCAATACGAAAAGGCGAGCGGTTAAGTCCGGGGAGGGGGGGCGATCCTGTTACTCTTTTAGGATAGAGAACTCCACAGCGGCGACGGGCGGGGACGAGGCGGCAACTGGCGGCAGCGGCCAACACGTAGCCGTCAGACCGCCACACTGGCCCAGACGGTGGGCGGAGACGAGGCGGCGACAGGGCGGCGACGGCGACAACATAGCCGCCAGATCGCTACACAGGCCCAGATGACGGGCGGCGACAGGGCAGCGACGGCGACAACATAGGTGGCAGACTGCCACACCAGCCCAGTTCCTAAGAACAAAAAAGCAAGAACCCACCTCCAAGGACGTGGCACGGTCGGCACAACGTCGGGGGAGCAGCGGAATGAGACAATGGCATCTTCCATGGTTTGTAGGAATAGAATCGGCATAGACAAATCGGAGCTCCGCGCGAATGTTTCGGATCGGCGGTGGGCCCCATTGGCGGCGCCTCTGGGGCTGCGCTTGGCGCGCTCCGCGCCTCACGGACAGGGGTCCAGCGCCGATCCGAGAAATCCGCGCGGACCTCCGACAATTGATGCTTCTGTGTTCCATGTTCCTAAGGTCTTGGCATCGCTCGGACGTGTGCATGTTTCATTCGGCGAGGACCTTCGAGGAGCATCCATGATCATTTGGCGAAAAAACCACGCACGAAACCGAAAAAAACACAGGGAATGGACGTCCGAGCGATGGCCAGAGGTGATCCCCCATTCTGGTCCCTGCGGCCGCCCCTGCCTCGCCTACCGAGCGCAGCCAATCAATTCGTAGACCGAGCGCCCCCGGCAACTCGAACGCGCGAGCGGATTGCCTTTGCGGCGCCGCGACGAAACCAGCAAGCTCCCAAGATGCGCCAGCGGCATCTTCAGGGATGTGGGCTTTGTTCGGTCTTTCTGCGTCACGGAGGGGGTTCCAGCGCCGATCCGAGAAATCCGCGCGGACCTACGAGAGTTGATGCTGATGTGTTCCACGTTCCGTGAGCCCTTTTTGTTGTGTTCTGCGGCCGCCTCTCATGGAGCTGGATTCCTCGCCATTTTGGTTCAGGCCGTCGTCTGAAATGGCACGGCGTTGGCCACGGCACAGGCAGGGGCCTCGCGCGCCACGCTCGCGGCCCGGCAGGACGCTGGCGAAGGCCACGGTCCCTGCGGGCCGGGGCCTGACGCGCAGAGGCCCCACGGGGCGGTGGCCCCCGCGATGGAGCGAGGCGAAGGCCAGCTCCGCGGCGTCGACTCCTGGTCCGCCGCGGCGTGCGTGGACCTTCTCGACGTCGGCCAGTTCGACAGCTCATTCGACGGCGTGCCGTCGCCCCAGAGGGAGTGGGCCGACCCCCTCGACACGGGCCAGTTCGTGGTCCCCGCGCCCCGACTCGGAGCAAACGCCGCCATGTGCGCGGGAGGTCCCCCAGGAGATCTCGGGGATCTGGCACGCGTCGAGGGCGCCTCTGCGCCCGAAGGCCTCGAGAACCCCGAGCAGAAGAAGCTGGCGCAGGCCGACATTGACAGGATCCTCGCTGGCATGAAGAACAAAGGCCACCTGCAGCTGCAGGTCTCCGAGTCGAAGTCCGGCAGCAGCGACGTCCTCGACAGCCAGTCGGCATGTTGGTTGAGGGAGTGCAGCCACGGGTCTAACTTGACGGCCGAGCTCAGCAGCGACCGCCAGACGACCTTTGGCAGCCTGAGCTTCGGCGGCCACACCACCAGCAGCAGCGAGCAGCGCGGGACGCCCAACCAGCAGGCCGCCGCGGGCGCCGCCCCGCAGACCTGGGACAGCCTGCAGCAGCTGCCGCCGGCCAGCGAGGGCGACGAGGATACGCTCGTGCACCAGGATCTGGACGCCCGAAACGGGTATTGAAAGAATGGGTACAATGCCGAACAGCGGAGCTTGTTCATTTTGAACAGGGCTCGCTGTCCACGCCGCCGCGGCCTGTGTCCATTCGAGACAGGAGGCCGCCTGCCCAACAGCGGCCGCTGTTGGTTTGGGACAACATTTGTCGTTGGGCATTGTACCCATTCTTTCCGTACCCATTTCGGGCGTCCAAACAGGAGGCCTCGAACAGCATTGCTTCAGTCGGCGCGGCGCCCGCTGCGCCGCCGCTGCCGCTCCCGGAGGCCCGCGGCAGGGCCCCGCTTGGGCGGCAGCAGAGCAGGGCCTCCTCGCCGGGCTCCGCGGACAGCGCGGGCAGCGAGCCAGGACGGCTGGTCTGCGCCCAGGACGTCGTGCGGCAGCTGTGGATGACCAGCGGGGGGCCATCGAAGCACAGCGCCGTCTGGTGGCCAGAGCAATTCGCGCTGGACTGCGAGTACGAGGACCTCCGGCACCGGGAGTCCTACCGCGGGCGCGCGGCGGTGCAGGCGTTGTTGCCGTCGCTGGTGCTGCCCCCGGGGACGAGGCGCGTTGTGACCGACATCTCTGGAGGAGCATCCTCGTGCGGTTTCACGTGGCACCTCGAAGAGGACGGCGCGGGCGTCATGCAGCGCGGCGTGACGTTCCTGCGCGTGGACAGGCAGGGCAGAGTGACCTACCTGCGGGAGGGATGGGAGTCCCTTCCACAGGTGTCGATATCCCCTGCCGTGGAGCGCTGCGCGTCGCCGAATCTGGCGGTGCGCCAGGCCGCGCTGCAGGAGGTGAAGGGCTTCGCCTCCGGCGGCGCGGTGGTGCTCCCGAGGATCCTTGCGTGCATCGACCAAGCGAAAGACGACCCCATGCGTCTCGAGGGTCTCGTGCCCGCCCTTGTGGAGTTGGCTGAGAAGGGTGACTCGGTGGTGGTTTCGACGTTGATCGACAACTTGCGCCACAATAATTGCTGGGTTCGAGTGCACTGCCTTGCCGGCCTTGGGAAGCTGGCGACCGTCGACGACAGGGTTGTCATGGATGCGGTAGCCCCTTTCACGCAGGACAGCAGCTGGCAGGTCCGCGAGGCCTCGGCCCATGCCCTGGGCCACATTGCGGGGCCCGCCGCAGGCGCGGCGGCGCTGCGCGTGCTGGGGCACATGCTGCAGGATTCCAGCGTCCGGGTCTCCGCGGCGGCTCTGGTCGCGCACAAGAGCGTCCTCGCGCGCCTGGCGCCGCGGCGAAGCGCTGGCCAGGAGGCAGTGGTTGCCTGCGGGGCCGCCGTCGCGACCGTGATGATCGCATTGCTTGTGGAGCGCCTGCTCAGAAAGCCTGCTTGCTAGCCTTCTGGGCCGTGATCTCGCACTTTGTATGTTCTCTCCCCCTCTCTCACTCTCATTCTCTCTCTCTCTCTCTCTCTCTCTCGAAGCCGCAACACTCCATTTACCCATGGCCCCAGTCTGGATGTCGGTGATTGCTTCCGTCTCGCTCTCGCTAGAATTGCACTTGTTGGGTGATGCCCTAATTGGTACCTCGCGAGTGATGTACAGCGCGTCGGCAGTTTGCCGCACCTGAACGTACAGGGACATGTTTAATCCATAGAATTACTAATACATAAGATTAAACAAAACATGGGTCGTAGAGTAGGGAGAATGGCATTTCGCGCGCGCGCCCGAATACATAGGATTCAAACAAATAACATGGCCAAACACTGGTCAAGATGCGCCCATGCGCGGACGATGTGGGGACATGGTCGCGCATTGTCGGCCACTGAAAATATGGCGACCATTTCCATCAATGATGTTCAAAAAATGATTTGCGCGAAGGCTTCTGCGAATTTGATTGTCGACTATAGGCGCCCCCGCACGTTGGCGGGCGGTTGTGTGGGCGCGGACTAGATGTTGAGACGTGATCGCGCATCAGGACATAGCGCCGTCAAAAACATGATCGGGCACGAGTGAAAATGCTACGATGCTACGCTACGACAATCAGCACAACCGCCAACACAACCACCACCATCATAACCACCAACAGCACAACCACCACCAGCCCAACACAACCACCACCAGCCCAGCACAACCACCACCAAGACCGAGGAGGAGGAGGAGGAGGAAAACGAGGGAGGAGAAGGAAGAGGAGGAGACGGAGGAGGAGATCAAGGGAACAATTCCAGAAATTACTCACTGCGTGGAGCTCCCCATCTGTGCATCCAAGCAGCCAGAAAACGAGCAAACCGCGTGAGACATCCCCACAAAATGGCCGCGAACGGGCCCGTGTCTTACCCCCTGGCGGCTCTCCTTACGGATGCTGAAACCAGCACCTCGCCTGAGACATCCTCAACATCCGCTCTGAACGCCAAGGATGTTGGGCATAAAACGAGCAAACCGCCTGAGACATCCCCAAGAACTGGCCGCGAACGGGCCCGTGCAAACGCCCCTGGCGGCTCCCGTTAGGGGTGCTGAAGCCAGCGCCCCGCCTGAGACATCCTCAACATGTGCTCTCCACGCGAAGGATGTTGAGCATGTGAAAACAGGCAAACCATTTGAGACATCCCCACAACCTGGTCGCGAACGGGCCCGTGAAACCACCCCTCACGGCTCCCCTTAGGGGTGCTGAAACCAGTGCCCCGCTTGAGACATCCTCACACACCTGCTTTGACAGCAAAGGATGTTGGGCACCGAAACAGGCAAACCGTCTGAGACATCCCCACAAGTTGGCCGCGAACGGGCCCGTGAAAACACCCTGGCGGCTCCCCTTAGGGGTGCTGAAACTAGCGCCCCGCCTGGGACTTCTTCATAATCCGCTCTGAAAGCAAAGGATGCTGCGCACCGAAGCAGGGAAACCGCCTGAGACATCCCCACAAGCTGGCCGCGAACGGGCCCATGACAACACCCCTGGCGGCTCCCTTTAGGGGTGCTGAAACCAGCGCCCCGCCTGAGGCATCCCCACAGACAGCTCTGAAAGCAGATGATTTTGGGCACCGAAGCAGGCAAACCGCTTGAGACATCCCCACAAACTGGCCGCGAACGGGCTCGTGAAACACCCCTGGCGGCTCCCCTTGCGAGTCTGAGTATGACTAGATCTGAGTATGAGTAGGTCTCAGTCCGTGCGTTGAGTAACTCAGACCAGGGGAAGGTCTGAGTATGTGTAGGTCTGAGTATGAATTATCATGTGACGTACCCAACCCATTTGTATCAATGGAAACGAGGGGTTGGCCGAAACTTGTATGGACAATCAACTTGATGTGTAAGCTATTTGGGAGGCGTCGCTGTGCTGGGCCCCACAAGCAGGCTTCGAACGTGGCGACAGTTTCATATACCGCAGCCCCCCAGGGATGGCGAGGTCTAATTTGGATCTGCGTGTGGCGTCACTGTGCTGGGCCCCCCAGCAGGCCGCGAAAAAGTGGCGACAGTTTCACAGATCGCAGCCCCCCAGGGATGGCGAGGTCCCATTTGAGTCCGCCGTGGGTACCCACTGTGCTGGGCCCCCCAGCAGGCCTCGAAAGTGGCGACAGTTTCACAGATCGCAGCCCCCCAGGGATGGCGAGGTCAAATTTGAGCCCGCCGTGGGTACACATTGTGCTGGGCCCCCCAGCAGGCCTTGAAAGTGGCGACAGTTTCACAGAGCGCAGCCCCCCAGGGATGGCGAGGTCCCATTTGAGTCCGCCGTGTGTACCCACTGCGCTGGCCCCCCCAGCAGGCCTCGAAAGTGGCAACAGTTTCACAGAGCGCAGCCCCCCACGGATGGCGAGGTCCAATTTGATTCCGCCGTGGGTACCTACTGTGCTGGGCCCCCCAGCAGGCTTCGAAAGTGGCGACAGTTTCACAGATCGCAACCCCTCAAGGATGGCGAGGTCCCATTTGAGTCCGCCGTGGGTACCCACTGAGCCGGGCCCCCCAGCATGCCCCGAAAGTGGCGACAGTTTCATATACCGCAGCCCCCCCAGGGATGGCGAGGTCCCATTTGAGTCCGCCGTGGGTACCCACTGTGCTGGGCCCCCCAGCAGGCCTCGAAAGTGGCGACAGTTTCACAGATTGCATCCCCCCAGGGATGGCGAGGCTCCATTTGCGTCCGCCGTGTGTGCCTACTGCGCTGGGCCCCACAGCAGGCCTCGAAGGTGGCGACAGTTTCACAGATCGCAGCCCCCCAGGGATGGCGAGGTCCAATTTGGGTCCGCCGTGGGTACCCACTTTGCTGGGCCCCCCAGCAGGCCCCGAAAGTGGCGACAGTTTCACAGATCGCAGCCCCCCAGGGATGGCGAGGTCAAATTTGAGCCCGCCGTGTGTACCCACTGTGCTGGGCCCCCCAGCAGGCCTCGAAAGTGGCGACAGTTTCATATACCGCAGCCCCCCAGGGATGGCGAGGTCCAATTTGATTCCGCCGTGGGTACCCACTGTGCTGGGCCCCCCAGCAGGCCTCGAAAGAGGCGACAGTTTCACAGATCGCAGCCCCCCAGGGATGGCGAGGTCCAATTTGAGTCCGCCGTGTGTGCCCACTGTGCTGGGCCCCCCAGCAACCCTCGAAAGTTACGACAGTTTCACAGATCGCAGCCCCCCAGGGATGGCGAGGTCCCATTTGAATCCGCCGCGTGTGCACACTGTGCTGGGCCCCCACCAGCAGCCCTCGAAAGTGGCGACAGTTTCACAGATCGCAGCCCCCAGGGATGGCGAGGTCCCATTTGAATCCGCCGCGGGTGCCCACATTGCTGGGCCCCCCAGCAGCCCTCGAAAGCGGCGACAATTTCACAGATCGCAGCCCCCAGCAGCCCTCGAAACGCAGCGACGAGCCAGGTAAAAGGCAGGGGGGAAGAGAGGGACGGGAGGGGGTGGGAAGGTTCGCGCGAGCAGTGCTCTATTCAACCCAACGCAGGAGGGTTTGGAATATGTATGTGTATGAGCAGGCCTGGGAACGAATCTGGGCATGATTAAGTCTGGGTATGAAGGAGTCCCAGCATGAGTAAGTCTGAGTATGAGTAGACTTGAGTAAGTAGACCATGAGAAGGTATGAGTATGAGTCGGTCTGAGTATGTGTAAGTCTTTGTATCAGTAAGTTTGTGTATGAGTACGTCTGGGTATGAGTAAGTATGGGTATGAGGAAGTCTGTATATGAGTAGCTCAGTGTACGTGTACGCCTGGGTATGAGTAAGTCTGAGTATGAGCAGGTCTGAGTATGAGTATGTCTGAATATGAGTAAGTCTGTGTATAAGTCTGGGTATGAGTAAGTCTCAGCAAGAGTAAGTCCGAGAGAAGGGGAGGAGAAGGCGTGGAACTCCCCATATGTGAATATCATGTTCCATGTCATGCCATAGTGAGCGTCTGACTACAATAGCGCGTCCACGGGGGCGACAGGACCGACGAAGACGAGTGAATCCGAATGCGAGTGAGTGAGTATGAGTCAGAGTGAGCTTTGAGTATGATTAAATATGAGCCTCCTGTTCATTCCCCTTCAGTATTCTGGCCGCGAACGGGCCCGTGTCCTACCCCCTGGCGGCTCCTTTTAGGGGTGCTGCAACCGGCGCCCCGCTTGAGACATCCTCACAAAACTGCTCTAAACGCAGACGGGTCTGCCCACCAAAACAGCCAAACCGCATGAGACATCCCCACAAACTGGCCACGAACGGGCTCGTGAAAACATACCTGACGGCCCCCCTTAGGGGTGCTGAACCCAGCGTCCCGCCTGAGACATCCTCACAAACTGCTCTAAACGCCAACGAGTCTGCCCACCAAAACAGCCAAACTACCTCAGACATCCACACAAACTGGCCGCGAACGGGCACCGAAAACACCCCTGGCGGCTCCCCTTAGGGGTGCTGAAACCAGCACCCCGCCTGAGACATCCTCAGAACCTCAGATGAAAACCAAGGATGTTGAGCATGAGAGCGAGCAAACCGCATGAGACATCCCCACAAAATGCAGCGAACGGGCCCGTGCACACACCCCTGGCGGCTCCCCTTAGGGATGCTGAAGCCAGCGCCCCGCCTGAGGCATCCTCACAATCTGCTCTGACAGCAGAAGATGTTGAGCATGACAACAAGCAAACCGCTTGAGACATCCCCACAACATGGCCGCGAACGGGCCAGTGCAAACGCCCCTGGCGGCTCCCCTTGGGGGTGCTGAAGCCGGCGCCCCGCTTCAGACATCCTCGCAATCTGCTCTCCAAGCAAAGGATGTTGAGCATGACGACATGAGACATCCCCGCAAAATGGCCGCGAACGGGCCAGTGCAAACACCCCTGGCGGCTCCCCTCAGGGGTGCTGGGACCAGCGCCCCGCCTGAGACATCCTCCAAATCTGATGTGTGTTGAGCAAATCAGACTAAGAGAAGCTCTGAGTATGCGTATGTCTGTGTATGCGAAAGTATGTGTATGAGTACGTCTGGGTATGAGTAAGTCTGAGTATGAGTAAGTCTGTGTATGGGAAAGTCTGTGTATGAGTAAGTCTGGGCATGAGTAAGTCTGAGTATGAGTGAGTCCGAGTAGGAGGAGACGAGAAGAGGAGGGGGCGAGATGGGGAAGGAGGAGGAGGAAAAGGAGTAAGAGGCGTCCAAGTAATAACAATAACCCCAGCTTAGGATAGCGAGACTGAGTATGAGTAAGTCTGAGTATGACTTGGTCTGAGTATAAATGAATCTGACCCTGAGAAAATCTGAGTATGAGTGAGTCTCAGTATGACTAGGTTTGAGTATAAATGAGTCTGGGTAAGAATAAGTCTGTGCATGAGTACGTTTGAGGAAGAAGAGAGGAATGAGGAGGAGGGAGGAGAGGAGTGGTTCTGGTTCTGGTTGGGGTCGGCGCCGTCCAAGTAATAACAAGAACCCAATCTTAGGATATGGGGAACAAGAAGAGGACGGGGAGGAGGAGGAGGAGGAGATGGAGGAGAAGACCAAGGGGACAATTCCGCCCCCTAAAAAAGCAAGGTCGTAGAGTAGGGAAACAAGGCCCCGTCGCGCGCGCGCAGGAATGCATGGGATTGACCAATCCATGCGCGCTGACTAGGCAACAGCATCTCTCCCGCGCGCGCAGGCCGTGTATTAAAAGCATCCCTGTATGGCCGAGCCCATCTTCTGCTGCGGCTTCGCAGCCCGTTTCAGCTGGGCTCAGCACCATTTTCTAGTGTTTCAGAGTTGGCGGTTTGAATGCCAGGTGAGCTTGCTTCACATGGGCAGACTCGACAGCGCTGCTGCTTCGTAGCGTGACGCCTGGTCCGAAAAAACATGTGCTGGATTCCTCGTGCAGCCAGCCAATTCGTCTGCCGAGCGCCCCCCGGCAACACGCAAGCGGGTTGCCTCTGCCGTGCCGCGGCCAAACAAAGCAGTCCTTAGCATGAGCCAGCGGCTTCTTCAGGGAAGTTGGGCGTTGTTCAGCTTCCTTTTCTGCGTCACGGGGAGGGGTTCCAGCGCCGATCCGAGAAATCCGAAAGGTTATGCTTATGTGTTTCGTGTTCCTAAGGTGAGCCCCCTCCAGTCGTCTTCGGCCGCCCCTCCCTCCCTGTCCTCCTCGCGCTGCCAGCCAATTCCGTTGCTGAGCTCCCCCGGCAACTCGAACGCGCGAGTGGATTGCCTGCACCGCGACGAAACAAATCATGTCCTAAGACGAGCCAGCGGTTTCTGCCAGCGGTTTCCTCAGGGATGTGGAGCGTTTTTGCTTCAGCCTTTCTGCGTCACGGAGGAGGCTTCCAGCGCCGATCCGAGGAATCCGTGCGACCTCCGAAAGTTGATGTTGACGCGCTCACGTTCCAAAGGTGAGCCACCTCCTGTCCTCTGTCGGCCTCAATTCGTCTGCCGAGCGCCCACGGCAGCTCGCACGCGCGAGGGGATTGCCTCTGCCGCGCCGCGGCTACAACAAAAAGCATGTCCCACGATGCACCAGCGGTTTCTTCCTGGGTGTGGGCTGTTTTTGTTAAGTCTTTCTGCGTCGCGGGGGGGGGGTCCAACGCCGATCCAAGGCATCCGCGCGGACCTCCGAAAGGTGATGCACATGTGTTCCATGCTCCAAAGGTGGGCCCATTCCTGTTCTCTTCGGCCGCCCCTCCCTACCCTGTCTTCAGTCTTCCTCGTGCAGCCAGCCAATTCCGTTTGCTGAGCTCCCCCGGCAATTCGAACGCGCGAGTGGATTGTTTCTGGCGCGCATCGACGACACCAGCAATTGCCCAAGATGAGTCAGCGGCTTCTTCAGGGATGTGGGGCGTTTTTGATTCAGCCGTTCTGCGTCACGGAGGAGGCTTCCAGCGCCGATCCGAGGAGTCCGCGCGGACCTCCGAAAGTTGATGCATATGTGTTCCATGCTTCTAAGGTAAGCCACCTCCTGTTCTCTGCGGCCGCCCCTCCCTGCCCTGTCTTCCTCGCGCAGCCAGCCACTTCGTCCTCTGAGCGCCCCGCGGCAACTCGAACGCGCGTGTGGATTGCATTTTCGACGAAACCAACAAGTTTCTAAAATCGGCTTAGGTCGGGGTGCGGGGGTTGATGTTCAAATCTTTTTCTGCGTCACGGAGAGGGTTCCAGCGCCGATCCGAGGAATCCGCGCGGACCTCCGAAAGTTGATGTTCACGTGTTTCATGTTCTTAGTGTGAGCCCGCGGCTTCTACCGAAAGATGGGGCGCCACGATCGGGCCCGCCTCAGGATCCCATACGGTAGGCTTGTGTTGTGTCGACCGGCGGCGACCCCGCCAGCGGCGTTCAACTTTGAACGCCGCGGGCGACCCAAAATCGTTCGATGTGAGAAGATCTGGACGTTTCGGAAACGGTCGACCGTTCAAGGTTGAACGATCCCCGCAGTGTCAGAAACCAACGCCGAAGTCGGCACGACACGAACTTGACGGAGAGGGCTGAGCACCCACGGTCTCGAGCATTTTTTCATCGCGGCGCTGCAGAGGCAAGCCGTTCACGCGCCCCAGCAGCTGGGGCAGAGCGCACTGCGTGTCCGGCTGCAGGAGAAAGAGACAGGGCAGAGGTCGGCCGCGGAGCAGGTGGGAGGGGGGAGGGCACTTCCAACACGAAGGTCTTCAGCGTGAGTGGCCGGTCCCACACCCCCGAACTCTGTTGTGTCGCGGCGCGGCAGAGGCGATCCGCTCGCGCGTCGAGCATCCCGGGCTACGGGGACGTGAATTGTCCCGCATGCAAGAGGGGGGAGGGCCAGAAGAGGGTGGCCGCGGAGAGGCCACGGTCTCGAACAGGCGGCGGCGGCTTCTCTTCTCTCGCGTTGCTCGCCTCCAGGAGCCGCATCTGAGGCGTGCCAGCAGCGGGGCGACGGGGGAGGGAGAGGCAAGCCACGCGGACTTGCGTGGACGTCGCAGCGGACCACCGCTGAGGACGCCGCCAGCGCTGCAGTCGGTGGCGACGGCCCCCAGGAGGGCCACAATCGGCCCAGAGCAAGAGGGCTCCATGGGCGGGGGGCATGTGTGGTTCTCGTCGCCCGTGATTCGGTCTCGCAGGTGCGTAATGAATGGCGCATCCTGTTCAGAGCGGCCAACCAACTCTTAATTCGATGGTGCGGGATGTCTTGCACACCACCGCCCTCAGCGCAGCGCGAGAGTTCCCACACGAAGCACGAAGATGCTTATCGGATAGCAGCGGCCTGCAACGAACAGCATGACCCGCGCAGGGCGTTCTTCTGCTTTCCATTCTGACTTTCCTCATCCATCTGCTCTCTCCCTCCTCCTCCTCCTCCTGCTATTCCCCGTGCCCCTCGAGTAGTAGGTGACCAGAAGCAACCGGATGGCAGAGACAGCGGCCACGAAAGGGATCAGCAGGATGCCCGGTCGGTGAAGATCAAGAAGAACGGCGCCGAGACCAAGTTCAAGATCAGGTTGGGTCGATGATGGCTCTCTCACGGGATGCCTCTCGGAACGTGGACCTCTTCAGATATGATGGAACAAACGACGTCGATGATCGAGATGGGAGTCAGAGCTAGACGTGTGTACCTATCTACATGTACTTGTGTGTATACTTATGTCGGGCCTTTCCCTCTACAGGGAGATTTCCGACGAAAAATAAGACATACCCCAACAATGCTTCAACGTGGCCAAACAATATTCAACAAATAGTCCCCAGACCATTTTTGGAATATGTTTGGAATCTGTTTGGGGTGTTCATTATTCTTCGTCGAGAATCCCCCTGTAGGGGGACAGGCCCAACGTAAGTGTATCTATACGCACATCACACACCGCAACCCGACCCTGGGGCCCTCGGTGTAGACAGTGTGGCGCCTCCCGCCCCCAGGGCTTGCCGGGCTGCTCTGGGAGATAGCCGCACCCGGGGGTCCTTCCCCACTCAGTGCTTGCACTAAGTCGGGCCTGTCCCCCTACAGGGGGATTTTCGACGAAAGATAAAATACTACCCCCAGCATAGTCAACAAATAGTCCAAAAATGGTCTGGGGGCTTTTTCTTTTAGTATTTTTGGACCTTCTTGGAGTGATTTTAGCGTATCTTTAATTGTCCTTCGAAAATCCCATGTAGGGGGACACGCCCGACATAATTCTTGCACTGAAGGGGTCCTAGCGGAATTTGAAAGATTTGGTGAAGGTTTCCCGCCGATTTTGGTAGCAGTTTGGGTTCCCAGGTTCCCGGTTCCCGGGTTCCTGGTTATTGGTTCCGGGCCAATTTCGGTCGGTTCTGGGTTCCCGGGCTCCTTGGTTCCCGGTCGATCTCCTCAGCGAAAGCCATCCGCTATTGGGTTTTTTCTCTGCTGAAATCTATGTTCGACGCCTTCCTACATGAAGAGTCGAGTTGTGTTCCCTCGCCCGTTCTCTTCAGGGGGCAGGTGGTGGAGGGTCCCGAGGCGGGTTCACGAAAAGGGTCCCGAGAGCGCCCCAAGACAGTTTAAGATGATGTTTCCGAGACGGCCCACAGGCGCCCCAAGACTTCCAAGTTCGCCTCAAGATAGCCCGAGAGGATCACCCCAACGGCGAAACAGCATTGTTTGTCATCAAATGTCAAAGGGTTTGATGTTCTCAGTCTGTCTGGCCTCCGACCACCCAATATGGCCCACGCCCTCAAGATCGCCCCAAGACGGCTCAAGCGGCCCCAAATTCAGCCCGAGAGAGCCCGAAGACGGTCGACGAGGCCCCCTAAGAGGTCCCAGAGGCTCCCAAAGGGCCTAACGACATTCCAAGAGGCATCCGAAAGGTCTCCCGAGACACCCAAGGAGACATCTACGATGCCTCTCGTACACGACCCCGGCGCGGTGACCAGTTGGGACCCATGCGGCGGGATAATGCATAGGGGGGGGGTGGCGGGATGATGCACTGGTGAGCAGGGAGTAGTGGGGGGAGGAGGAGGAGAAGGAGGAGGAGGAGGAGGAAGAGGAGGAGGAGGAAGAGGAGGAGGAGGAGGAGGAGGAGGAGCGGGAGGAAGGGCAGTTCTGATACACACTATGAAACAAAAGCGCATTACGAACGAAGAGCGGAAAGAGTAGGGAGGAGGAGGAGGAAGGTGATGATGTTGTCGTTGTTGTTGATGATGATGTGGAGGAGGAACAGTAACATTGGATGCGAGAGGAGCAGGAAGAGACTGCAAATAATTAGCTGGACTGAATTGGTTTCTACCTCTGTGAGGGTCGTTGCAGGGTAGGTTAGTTCAGTTTGAGACGAGGGGGCCTTTCCAGACCTCCGATTTGCATGCCCGGGGGACCCGAAAAAGGCCAAGCCGCTCGTCGTCTTTCTTTTAACGCTGGATGCCTTGGGGAGAGGTGCTCCAGTTATTTGTACACTCTCATCATGGCAGACAAGGCCAAGGCAGAGAAGCTCAAGCAGTCGTTGCCCCCCTCCCTGCAGAAGAAGGAACGCGGCGTCCCCCCCCCGGCTGCGCCCGTGGTGCTCTTCGCGTGCCAGGGTGGCATGGGAAGAGGAAGACGAGGCGGATGATGATGATGATGATGATGATGATGATGATGATGATGATGATGATGATGATGATGATGATGATGATGATGATGATGGTGGTGATGATGAGGATGATGATGATGAGTTTGATGATGAGTTTTACGTTAATGATGATGATGCTGATGATACTGATGGCGATGATGACGAGGAGTAAGAGGAACGCAAGGAGAAGGAAGATGACTTGGCGGTGGAGGAGGAGGAGGCAAGGTTGAAGAGCGGGAGCAGGAGGAGGGTGCGGCATTTGAGGGCTGTGTCCCTCGCGCATTGCCACTTGCGCGTCGGCTTCCTCGACGAGACTCGTCGCGCCTTGCCTCGCCTCGAGGAATGGACGGATGGAGAAGTCCCCCTGCCCCAGCCCCCCGACGCCATTTTTTTCCGGATGTCGACCCCAAGCCTTCTCCCCCCACTCACGGCCGCCAGGACATCTGAGGGGCGGGCGCTGGTCACCCGCGGCGGGCGGCGCCAGGGGCAGAAAAGCAGCGCGCTGAACCGCGCGCGCCTCGGCGGGGCTTTCTTGGCGTCGCCGTCGTCGGCAGCGGGGAACGTGGGGTACAGTCAACCCGCACAGCAAGAATGAGCGAGTGTTCAAAGGTTGCGCTTGCATCCTTACCCACTAGGCCCAGCCTAAGCAGTTTTCGCTGGCCAAGCCCACTCGAAGAACGTCAATATAGTTTTCCAAGGCCCCTGCATCCCTACCGTGCATCCTTCTGACACGGGTTGACTGTATGCTCGATGGCCCTCTTTTGAGGCTCCGTGCCTCGGGAAGCTATCCCTTAGTGGTTGCCCGCGGGGCGCTTTCGCCACAGAGGATCGGGGTCCTCGGGGGGCCTTCAACGTGCCGTTTCGGGCTTCTATCTGCCTTCAAAGGGGCCCGGGGATGCCGAAGATTACAGTCAACCCGCACAGGATTGGATGGGCAGCCTTCCCAAGGGTACCCATGCATCCTTGCCCCTTCGGCCCATCCTTAGCACATTTCGCTGGCCATCGTCGTTCGAAACACGTTCACATGAGCTCCCGAGGCCCCTGCATCCTTAACGCGCATCCTTATGATACGGGTTGGCTGTGCTCGGGATGCAGAGGTGGTCCCAGGGGAATACGCCCGGGGTCCAGGATCCGTGTCCTTCAGGACCCAGACCTTTCATGGAGAAATTGGGCAGGCAGGTCGAGTGTGCGTCGAGGGGTCCGTTTGATGAATCGGAGCGGAAATGTCTCTCGGCATTTTCGCGCCGCCTCAACGCGCGCGTCGGCGACGCCAACGCGCGCGTTCACGGTTGGGCGCCAGTGAGGGCGCTCGGCAGCCCACCTCATTCGAATCAGAAGAATGGTATACATACCTATACGACCGCCCTGCGGGCGAAAATGAGGTTGGGGGGGATTGAGATCAGATGCCCAACCTGACTGACCTCCAGCCTGTCACCTTGATCCCATCTCTCTCTTTCTCTCTGTCTCTCTCGTGGATTGGGTTGGATGGATTGTATTGGGTGGGATATGATAAGATGGGGCAAGATGGGTTGGATAAGATAAGATTTATTGTATTGGGCAAGATGGATTGGATAAGATACGCCAGATTGGATAAGAAAGCCCGCCGCAGGCGCCGACAAAAATTAAGTGATGGATTGGATCGGATGGGAAGGGATAAGATGGATTGGATAAGATAATATGGGTCAACTTATGATAGATGGATTGGATAAGATAAGATGTATTGAATTGGCCCGCCGCAGGCGCAGAAGCAAATGAATTGATGGATTGGGTTGGGTGGATTGGATTGGGTGGGATAAGATAAGATAGGACAAGATGGATTGGATAAGATGGATTGGATTGGACAAGATGGATTGGATAAGATGATCTGGATTGGATAAGAAAGCCCGCCGCAGTTGAAAACAATATATGAAATTAGCGACATGCGTCAGCGCCGGGACGCCCGGGACACCCTGGACACCGCCCGGCCCAATTGGGACATTTCCTGGCCACCGGCGGACGGGAAACGGACTTTCGCTCCTACTGACATCCGGGACACCCGGGACACCGCCCGGGCCAATTGGGACACCTCCCAGCCACCAGCGGACGCGAACGGGCTTTCGCTCTTACTTTGGCCTAGCTACAGGAGGATCACGCGCAGCTTCGCCTCGCCCGCACGCACGGCACGAACACGAAACCGAAACCGATCTCCCAGTGGGGGGTCTCCGTTTCACTGCGATCTCACCCCCCAACCTCCGATATTGGAGCTCCGCGCGGATCTCTTGTATCTGCGCCCGACCCCCCCCCCCCTGGCGGCGCTTCCAGCGCCGCCTCGCGCGCCTGGAAGAAATCCGCGCTGACCTCCAAACAATCATGTTTATACATTTGTTTTTCTCTCCTATTGAGCGTCAGTGCAGGTCAGGCCAGAGCAGGAACCGCCGAGGGCGTTTTGGATCCCGTCTCGCCCAGAAGCTATCCGTTTCGCTGCGATTCCGAATGGAGATGCATTTGCGGAAGGGTTCATGGGGGTCCAAGATCGGCGTCATGCCAACATTTTTAACGGCCTTCGGCCTATCCCGCGACCGTGCCTGGGTCAGAGGTTTCAAGGATGTGGGTTGGGATATCGTGTTTGACCTTTCGGGGAGCTCTGGGAGGCACTTTTGAGGCCTCTTGATGCATCTTGGGGGCAATTAGGGGGCCTCTTTGGGGCCGCTTGGGGGCCTCTGAGGGCTTCTTGAGGGCCTTTTGGGAGCCTCTTGGGGCCTCTTCGGGGCCTCTTGGAGCGGAAGGCTCGATTTCTCGGTTCCGGGTCCCTTTCTTGGGCCCCTCTTGGGGCCGTCTTGAGGCGGATTGGGCGGCTCTTGGGCCATCCTGGGGCGAGGCCGTCTTGGAGGCCTCTTAGGACCTTCGGGGCCCGTCTGGGGGGCCCGAAAAGTCCCGCGACAAGACTCGGCAAGCCCGAGTGGAACTGCGGCATGCCCCAGAAGATTGGGCAATGTAGGCGTAATGTCGGCTCCAGGCCCCTTAGAGAATACTGATGCCTTTGCCGCATCTTCTGGCATTGACAGAAATTCTCTGGCTTTCAATTCTCTGGCTCCTAATGCGGACTGCCCACTTCCCTTTTGTGTTTTCTTCTGGATCTCAGGGCCGGCTTGCCGCGGGACAGAAGCAGAGAGCATTGTATTAAGAGTGAGGCGTAGAAGGAAGAGCCCACAATCACCACATGACAAAAACGAAGGAGGAGAGCAATGAGTCGAAATTTGGCAGCAATGTTTTTGGAGTGGAGGTCCAAGGTCACCTGCGGCTGCGGTTTCGTAGTTTATCCGCCATGGCTGGCATTGTGGCACCACCACATGGGCAGCATGCATACACAGACGCTTCGTCATTATAACTTATGGCAGACGGCAAACTACCGGACCGAATCCCGATCGATTGCCAGGTCTTCGCAAACGTCATCACTTGCTTCGCACCGCTACAAGTCGATGTGATCAGAGCGCTGTTCGTGTGGATGGGAAGAGCGGTCAGCGTACATGCGCAGGAGGCGAGCCAGATCATCGATTGAACACGAACCTTATAGTGGCGACCGCGAGAGTTTTCTGTGCAGCGGGCCATCTGGCAATTGTGGCTCTGAACTCTGAAAGCATTTCGTAGCTCATGCCACTCCAGACGTCAGAGCGGAAACGTTTAGCTCCACAACGATGGGGGCGCGCGCGCCGGCTAGGGGGCAAACTGGGTGGGGTGACGCTCTAATTCTCTAAGACGAGGGCCCGCCTCTGTCCCAATCGCTCGCAGGCTGCTCAGATCAAAAGCCACGGGTACCCCCACTTCAAGCGAAGGTATCGCGCTTGAGGCGCGGCTCGCAGAGCTAGCGAAGTACTCGCGATACAACTCACGAATTGTTTAGCGGCGTATTGTTAGTATGTACGCCATGTTACGGAGTATTGCGGTGAGGCGCCACCGTTTCTTGTTGCCGGGGGAGTGATGTCGCTTGTTAACGTGAAAGTGTTCTTAGGGGGCGCCGAGGCGCAACCTGTTGTACAGAGAGAGAGAGAGAGGAGAAACAAAAACAACAAAAACAGAGAGAGAGAGAGAATCAACAAAAGAGAAAGATACAGAACACGAGAAAAAGGAGTGTCAAGTATACGCAGACCTCCAGTGAGCAAGGGTCTGAGAGTGGGCAGTAAGGCACATAACATATTTCTCGCGCTGCAGGGCGACGTTTATCAGTACACATCTGGAAGTGGAGACTAGACCGTGAGCATCCAGTAAAAGTTCGTGAGTGGAGAGTAAGGCTTGCAGATAAAGTTGCGAATGGTGGATGCTCTCCTGGAGGAGTAGGAGCTACATAGAGCAGAACGTAGCAAGTACTGGGTGGAGGAAGCGTCGGTGAGCAGAGAGAGCGGGCTGCCGAAAAGCGAGGGGAGGTTGTACAACCAAGTGGGTAGACAGTAGGGTCTGGGTGAAAACAAGAAGGCTCATCATAGGCAAGCTGGACACTAGCCTAGAAGTGAGCGTAGTGGACTGACAAAAGCGCACATAGTACACAGCATACCTTCCAGAGATGGTCGAAGTTCAGATTGTACAGGGCATCGGGCATAGAAATTATGGGTAGGGAGGGTAAGGCTTCGGGAGTACAGAGGACGGGAGAGAGGGCAAGAAAGGGAGGGAGAGAGGACGAGAACGATACACACATATATATATAACTATATGTATACATAACTATATACATTTACATATATATATGTATTTATATATATGTGTTGTGTGTAGAGATATGGGGTGGTCAGTCGTTGGTGTACCGTAGAAAGTAGGCAGTTGAGGGTATACAGGGTGGCGGGCAGAGTGGAGGGCACTATTTCCATGACGTGGGAAGAGATGGCGAAGGACATTCTGGACGGGAAGCGGAAGGAATGGGCCCACGAGGTTTCAGATCTTGGGGGATTCTTTATCTGATGAGGGAGGCGGTGGTGTCCATGGGCGATCCACGATTGGAGTGCTACTGGCTTCAAGACCTTGGATTCCATCTACGGATTCCTTATCCACTGCCCCCACCGTACTTGACCTTCGCAGATCTTCGGGCCAATCGGGGCGATACTTGTTGACGAAAGATCGTCGCGTTGTTGCCCTGCCTTCTGCCACCGCCCTCCTTCTTCCGTCCTCTTTGTGCCGACTGTGCTCCGGCTCGAGTAGCCAGCGGCAAGCCGCGCTCCGAGCCAAGTCGGACCGTCGATCATCAGCGGCAGGCGGGCGGCTTAGAGGTCCTGTTTGTCCCTGCCCCCCTCGCCAGGCCCCCCTGGGGCATCCAGCCCTTCAGAACGCCGCAGGCCTCACCAGCGCTTTCTCTGGCCTCACCCCCTGGCAAGTTTAGGGACGCACGCCACCACTTGTGCATCGGTCGACGAGCGCGTTCCACTACTCGCAAAGGAACTACTCGCAAATGGCCTGGATCCCTCGCGTGGGATCTACGATAAATTTTATCAAAACAGGCAGGTGTTTTTTTCTGACTTATGCGAGTAGGCATTTTGCGAGTAGTGGAACGCGCTCGGTGCATCGGGGGCGCCCGGACGGTGCGTTGACCCCACCGTGCGGTGAGCACCGGTGCGGACGAGGGTTGGCCGCGCGCTTCTGGGACCCGGGCCGTGCTCCCGGGATGCCCCTCGGGCGGCCTGTGATCCAGGCCCGTGCGGGGACTGGCCGTGCGGTCAGGACTTCTTCGGGGAGCTCGCGGTCACCGGGCGGTCCGTCACCGCACCGTGTCGAAGGCCCCCGAAGGTCTCGGCCCGAGCCAGGCAGCACGCGTGCGACCCGGATTGGGTCCGCGTGGGCCCGAGGTTTTCGCTCCGATCTCCCTGGTTGGAGGCCGTCGGCCACTGCGGCGGCACGCGGCTCGCCTGGTTACGTAGGGCGTTGCTCATGTTACATGTTGCGCTGCAGGGGGACCACTTCGGAGCGGCTTCTGGCCGGAGGAGGGGGAGGAAGAGGAGGACGGGGACGAGGAGGAGGATTGGGTCGAGAGCGAGCCAGTAACATGCAATGAGTAGGAGGGGGATGATGCGAATGAGGAAGCAGAAGTCGGCTCTATCACTTCAGCGCGGGGTGAGCATTAGAGGAGGATGTCGCTCTATGGGGTGATCGACCCGGCGGGTCTTCAGCTTCATGTTCCTGACGACTTTGGTGGGCCAGTTGGTTATTTACCAATTCTGCCGCATGATGACGGACGAGCAGTCCCTTGCTAGCGTCTTCAGCTATGACGTAGCCGTTATGTTTGCGAAATGTGAGCAACCGTCCGATTTCATCAGCGTTGGCATCATACGGTCGGCGGAGGGTATTCGCCTGATCAGCGTGCTGACGTTGCGAACAAGGCCGTCGCAGGTGTTGTCGGTGTCCCCACGTGGTACGTATAGGTTTCAGTAAACGCAAACCATGCAGGGAGCCAAACCTCGGCGGGATTTGGCCCTCGCATGGCCGCCCCTTTTTCATTATGTTTCATCTTGACTCTGACGCGTGCTTCGCACCCAGATTTAGTATCATCCTTACTCATGGACCTGCCGGGCGTTTCGATTTAGGTATTGTGAGTTGCTCCGTTATTATTCTTCCTCTCTCCCGCTTCTGTTGGTGCCTCCGTTGTGGCATGTCTGGAATTCGGGGGTGTATTCCGACATCGAGTCATGCTCAGTGTTGTGTTGCGGTTATGTGTTGTTGTTGATGTTGTTGTTGTTGTTGTTGTTGCTGCTGCTGTTGTTGTTGTTGTTGTTGTTGTTGTTGTTGTTGTGCGATGCCCGTTTACATGAATGGTCGTCCATATCATTGGGTTTGGCACTCGCAACCATATAACACATTGATCCGTTCCTCCTTCGCCCGCTTCCTTCTCCGCTCTCCTCCCTTCCTCTGTGTGCGATTTGAGTTTTACGGCTGGTTAAGCCGCATGGGAACGCCCACGCAGCAGGGACGGACACTAGTTATGTCGCGCCCCTCTCCAGTTTTGTTTTCGGCGCTCCCGTGGTTTGCCTGGGTACCCGTTTGGAGTGCACGCGAATTTGCAGATCTTGTTTGTTCCTCGTCCCCTCAGCGTTCATCCTTCTCCCCCAACAAATGCGCTGTAAAAAGTATGTTTTCAGCAAACGCAAACCGACGGTTTGTCCAAGGGCGGCCAATGAACGTCATCATAGGTGAAATCATGGTTTTGCCACCATGGGAATCGGTCATGTAGTTTTTGTTGCAGCTTCGGCGTGAAGTCGGCCTTGCCCAGCCTTGTCCATATTATGATCCAGCGGGTCTTCCTCGCCACGAGTGTCATTGTTCACGTTCGGCGGCTCGTTGTCGTTCCTCTTGATGACGTGTTCGTGTGGACAGATGTTTGGGATTGTTTCTGGGCTTCCATTACGTCTGGGTACAGTGATTCTACAAGTTTGACATACTTCGTGGAACCTTTCCCTCGCCGCGGACACCCCTTGGCACTTAGGGGCTGTGACCGCCTTCGCGCGTACACGACGTGGGGATCGTGTCCAACGAAAATTTGCGTTTGTGCGTGAGTCGCCATCTTCCCGAGGATTTGTGTCCGCCTTCGCCTCTCCGAGGCCACGGCTGTGATCTACTACAGCCGCAGCCCCATCCTTAATGAGCCGATTCCCTCCAGCACGTCCGTGAGCACGGAGATCGGTGCAAGCAGTTTATCCGAGCCACGGCCGCGCTTTATATGGGGATTCTCGCCGCATAGTGCGGGCAGACCGTGTGGTATAAAGATATTTATGTATATGGATCTATCTGATTAGTGTTGTTCTCCCCTCCCTGTCTCCCATGCTTGTTTGTTTTCCGGTATTTCTCCGTATGTATATTTTTTCTTTTTCTGATTATTTCTCCCTCTCTCTCTCTGTTTGGTTTCTATATCTCCCTCTCCCTGTCTCAATTTCTCTCCCTTTCTCTTTTTCTTTCCCTCTCTCTCTCTCTCCATCTCTCTTCCCCTCTCTCACTCCCTCTCCCCCTGCCTCCTGCGCAAGAGCAATCCTCCATTGCCGTCCGCGCCGCCAGGGCATCGGCGCTATGATGGCACCGGCGTTCGTGTCGCCAGCTGTGGCACCCGCGCAGCCTTGCGCGCCACCACGGAGCGTGGGGAAGGGGAGGTTCAGAGACAAAAATCATCAGGGCTAGCTCGGGTCAGGGCTAAGTCGGGTTCGTTTTTCGGGAATCCGAGCCCGAGTTGGCCCGGGCCCGAGTTACCCCGGATAATTCGGGCGCCCACAGCCCCGAATCATCAGGGGTAACTCGGGTCAGGGCTAACTCGGGTTCGTTTTTTCGGGAATCCGAACCCGAGTTACCCCGGGCCCGAGTTACCCCGGATAATTCGGGCGCCCAAGAGGTGTACAAGAGGGGGGATGGCGAGGTGGGCACCTCAAAAATGCATTGCATTGTCCACACGATCTTGGCTCCTGGGAGTGAATCGACCGCGTCTTGCAGCTACCGCCAATGATTAGGACAACAGGTTGTTTCAGGAGCTTTACCAAGGATGCAAGGTCATAAGGTCTAAACAGATCTTCAAAAGATCAGCGATCACCAGAAAGTTAGTTTTTGGTCGGGCTGGCCAATTGTTCTTAGAGCAATTCTTGGCCTCTCGAGGTCGTTCCCGGGCCTTGGGACATCAGAAAACCGTTTGGGATGAAACATTGTTCCCGGATAGGTCGACAGTTGAATGGGCTGGCGATTCCAAAACGTCTAGTCGTCGGAGGTCTTCGAGGGGCTCCTCCTCTCACCACCTGTGGGAGGGGACTCGCGGCATTTAGTTTTCGTAGTCTGTACTCCTCTTCTCCTCCCTCTCTTCTGCGACTGCGAGAGTGCCTCTCGTCGCCACGGCTGGATCCGCCTCGACATCCTGGTCGGGAGCGCGCTTCACGAGAGGTCCGAGGGGGAGAGGGCCTTGGGGGAGGGAGGGTCAACAAGGCAGGAGGAGGCAAGGAGGAGGAGGAGGAGAAGGAGGAGAAGGAGGAGCTTCGAAGGAGCTTCGGCGATGACGTCGAGAAACGCCTATTGGCTGCGCCATCTCGGGGCTCGGGAACAAGGCGGCCCCTAGTGTGGCACTGGCTTGCGACAAGCATTTGATTACATACACCCCTATCTTTGTCGGGCTCGTACACTCAAATAACAAACTCATGACGCTCCCACGGCCAGACGCTTTTTACCGTCCTTCACAGGTGGTGCAACACCATGTGGGCTGATATACTGTCGATTTGGATGTTTTGCTAAATAGACCACGGGAAACTTCGACCCGGGACGAATGTTGCAATGCGTTAGCCATCTCTTGATGACCAAGGCACCTGCACGCTTACTAGCTGCTTCTTTGCACGCCGTACACTGCCAACGACTATGGGATGGAATGAGGACGAGGGGCGATGCAGAGAGGGCCTGGCTCAGCTCACTGGTGGCTTTCTTCTTGAGCTCCCGGGAGGCCTGCTGATTGCTCATCTGGGCGGCGGGGTCCTCGGCGCAGGCCTCGATATGGGCACGACTGGGTCTTTTCCACACCAGCGCGCAGGTTGCGCGAACCTATTCATACATCTTGAGCTGCGGGGCTGCTATAGCGTGGGCCTCCGCAGCTCTCTCGGCCAGGGCATCTACTGCTGCGTTGCCGAGCCACGCCTCATGGCTCCCTCCGAGCCCCTGCCTTTGATCGTTGTCGAGGTGACGCGGCACGTGCTGCAGCTTGACGAGCTCTTCGGGAGTCGCCGTTGTCAAGAGCTCTCTGATGCAATGCCCTGCCACTGAGGTTCCAGACGTTGTATTTCACACGACGCAGCGCGCTGTGTACATGGTGTCCCCGCTGCCATCCTCGTATGGCCACCTCTGAGGCCTTCCAAGTGCGGAGCCGCCCGTAGGAGCAACGTATCGCCTGAAGTATTGCCCATAGCTCCGCCCTGTGGTTGCTCTGCCGTCGTCCTGGGAGTGGTCCGTACTGTCCAGCATTCAGTTGCCATTATTCGCCGTGCCGATGCAGCTTGGACCATCCCCATCCGCATCTTCGATAGCGAGGGTCATGTGATTGCTCTCTTCCGCTGCCGCCGGTGCATATGACAGTGATGTCGGCCGTGGCCGTTATCTTGCCGTCATTGTCGGAGTCGCCACTGTTGGTGTGCTGCATTTTGGTGTCGCAATCTGGCGGCAACGTCCGTGTGTTGGGCACGCAGCCAGATGCAAGGTGTATGTTGGCTGCCTCATATCGCTCCTTGTCTGATGCGTTCCGTCTTGTCGTACAGTCGGGGCGCTGGAGAAGGAACCCTTTTCGTTGGGGAGGGGCTCGGTGTTCCTTGATTGTTTTATAGTTTGCCTTGGGTTGTCCTTAGGTTTTCCATGGGGAATCGAAGTTGAGCTTATGGGAAAGGGGGGCCTCGTTCCTTAATAGGGTTCCTTGGGTCAAGGCCCCGACTGTAGTCCTCGTGGTCGTCTCTGCACGTACATGTACCCCATATTCTGTGGAGGGCGTCGCAGATCTCGCCACAGGCGCAGGTGTTGGCTGCATCGGTGAATGCCTCGTGCTTGCGGTCTGGCGTCCACATGTCCGAGCTCGCCACCGCCAGTAGTGCGCCGGCCTCATGGTGCTTGCCTCGCTTGCGCATCACCTTCAGCTTCTTGGTGGGGTCGTAGGTGTCGATGCCGAGCTCTGAGCCTTTGCCCAGCCAGAGGTCGGAGGCCTTGGACCATTGCTGGAGCTGCTGAGCTCCCAGAATGGCGTGGATGGGTCGCTTGGTCGTCGTCGCCTTTGCCCATCTGCCAGGCGTTGCCCAGGTGGTCGATCCACTCTGAGGGCGAGATCGGGTCCCAACCAACATGCCACAGTGAAAGGATAATAGTGCCGATCAAGCCTCTACGCTGCTTCCATCGGTATTGCGTGGGCACGTCGGCAAGTCTGTCATAGATACCGAGCCAGGCTAGATGAGCTCCATGGTGTAAGCGTTCTCGGCACGCCCAGACGTCGGACCATGAGTTGAGCACCCCGCGTAGGATGGTAACAGCTGGGTCGGCTTCCAGCAAGGATTGTAGGTGTGCAGGCATCTTCCGACCCAGCGCTGGTTGAGGGATGTGGCGCATTTCCTCCTGGTGATAGTGACTGCAGTGGTTTCTCTCCATCTACTTCGCATCCGTAGAGGTAGGATGCCATTGGCCCCTGAGTGACCAATGCTCGTTGCGCAGTGTGCGCAGTTGTCGTAGCTTGAGTCGAATGCTGACAAGAAGGATATCTTGTCTGTGCCTCTGCCTTTGCCAGGCAAGCACCTGAGAGAGTAGTCCAGGTCCTCGATGGTCCAGGTCGTGGTTGGTGCTGTCCGAGCGCAACCCCGGATTTCCTGGATAAGGGTCTGGTAGTCGTTGTGGGTGATGGTCGGGTGGGTCCAGGGGTCTGCGAACTCTTCCGTCGGGGCAGCACGCTTTGCCTCTAATGTGGACGTATTCATCCTCGCGTCATGGCTGCGGTTTGGTGATTATGTGGAGATTGTCGGCAGTTTCTTTGGAGGTATCCGACAGCCAGCGCACGAACGAGTGTGACCTCAACTTCACGTCGACGCTGAGGGCCTTAGCACCGTCCTGCTCGGCTTGGCCCAGCATGCCATCGATCGCTTCGGTGTCGAGCGTGTCCAGCGCCTTGAGCCCGGCCTGGACCCCCAATGGTCGCGATGCTGAGCTGCTGCTGGTGACAGTCGAGTTCCTGCTGTCGGTATGCCTTCGTAAGCGGGCTATCGTGCTTCTGGTGCTAGCTGCTGTTGCTGTTGGTCTCCGTGTCCACGTCGCCGCATTGTGTGGCATGCTCTTAGAAGAGTTGCTGGCCCTCTCCACCAGTCTGTTTGTTTGCAGCTGTAGTGGGTTAGCCTTGCCCGTGGTTTTGCACGCTGAGTCACCATTCTGCGCGGAGTCCCGCAAGCAGTAAATTGTTGACGGTCCTGGGGCTGGATGTCGCAGGCTGCGCAGTGAAACCTCTCCAGAGTGCCAATGGACTAATCGTATTCCTGTCCCAGCGTAGAGGCTGCCTCTTGGTCCGAGGCATATGCAGCTCCACGTCGCATGTAATCTGACAGGTGCTCGCGCTCTGGTCGCGGCTTCGTGACCATCGGGGAGACTTCCTTGATGGCGTCCATTGCGCGGGTGTCGAGCTGATTGGCCTGCGCACCAAGATGAGCTTAGAAGGAGAAGGAGGAGGAGGAGAGGGAGGAGGAGGCGAGGAGGAGTCGAGGAGGAGGAACAGAAGAGGGAGGAAGAGCAGCACCAGGAGGGAGGAGGGGAAGGACGAGACGTATGAGCGGGGGGGGGGGGCGGACTGCCGCCCGAAGCGCTCGCCAGAGATTCACCGACGCGGCCCGCAGAAACATCTGCCTCGTCGCCGTTCTTCTCCTTCTCCTCCTCTTGCTTCCTTCTCCTCCTCTTGCTTCCGTCCGCTTCTCCTGGTCCTCGTCGGGATTGTCGTCCTCGTCCGCCTCCCCTCCTTTCGCCATGCGCCGCCCCCTCCCCCATCCTCTTCAGGGTGAATGCGCAGGCGGGGAGGTCTGACGCCCCTCGGGGAGCTGTCCCCCTGCAGAGGCTCGGACGAGAGGTTTCCATTAGATCTTTCTAGCCTTCCTTCCCACTCCCCTCCTCTCCTCTCCTCCTCATCGTCCTCCTCGTCCTCCTCCTCTCCCTCTCCCTCAAGCACCTGTCATTCCGCCTCCTCCTTCGTGTAGCGTCCTCCTTCCTCCCGCCCTCTTCCCCCTCCCTCCTCCACCCTCCTGCCTCTCCTGCCACGCTCCACCGAGCCGGCCCTGTCTTCTTCTCCTGGTCGCTCCGCGGGAGCAAAGTGGGCCAAAAAGCACTGCGGCGGGATCGCCCATTTCGGGTCATCTTGTCACGCGGTGACGGTTTTCTCAAGATAACTCGAGCTTTAGGACAGCTACAGAGCTGGTAAGCACAGCTAATCGATTCAGAATGATCAGGCGCGCTCGCCTGTTGAACCCAGAGGTCTGAACTCGGTCTGCTAGCTCAGCACAGGGCGGGTGTCCGACCCATCGACGTCGAGCTGGTGGGATGGCGGAACGCTCGAGGCACCGGCCGCCTCCAGAGTTTCATTGCGAGGGTGCCGAGGCCGCCGCGTTGTGGGGGCCTCCTGTCGGGTGTGGACCGACCTCCTACCCTGACACGTCGATTGAGGAACTGGCCGTCTTCGTTTCGCGAGAGGGCGTCGCGGCCGTCATTTCTGCGGGTCCAGGTCCGTCGGTTTCGGTCCTGGGCCGTTTCCACCAAGGGGAGGTCCACTAAAGGGAGGTTTGTCCACCGCCGATCCTGTTCTGCTGCGGGCACGGAAGTCCTGCGAGACGGCAGCATTGCCGCCGCTTCCTGCCTCCAAGTCCTCCTCGTCGGGGAGTGGGGTGGGAGTTGGGGCGGGGTGGTCGGGGCAAGGGCCATCTAGATCCCTTGCCTCCCAGGCTGAGCTGGCTTCCTGGAAACTGTTTGGCCGTGTCTAAGCCAGCACCTCGGGCGTCTCTGATTGAGTCCCCGTCGTTGGCAGGGTTTTTCAATCGTCAGGCCTTCGCGCTTGCGGGGTTTTTGCATCAGGTCGAACCCCCTCCCCGTCCTCCTCCGCGATCGCTCTGTACTCTCATCTAGTGCTGACATAGGTAGAAAGACAGCACGCCCTCGCGACGCCCCGTTTCTACAGAGACCGGCGGACATAGGTAGACAGACAAGACATGCACACACGAAACAACATCAACCTGCACATACACAGACCCGCAGGCACGCCGATGCTTGCAGATTCAGACAGACGCGCGAGTCGAAACCGCGAGCGCGGGGCAGGCTCGGGCGAACGCATGGCGAGAGGGGCACGCACATACACATACATGCACATGCACACACACACACACACTCACACGCACACACACACGCACGCACGCACACACACACACAGACATACACACCCTCGCACGCACACACAAACACACACACGCACACACGCACACACGCACACACGCACACACGCACACACGAACACACGCACACACGCACACACGCACACACGCACACGCACACGCATTCACACACGCACGCACACACACACAAGCAAGCCAGCAGGCCGTGCAAAGTACAGAATGCGCGCCGTGCCCGAAATACCCGCACGTGAGAGAACGGAAGAGAGCGCGCGGGTCGTAGGTGTGGGGTCTGCGCTGCCAGTGCCGCCACCCCCTGGCGCCGGTGCCAGGAGCGCCTCTTCGCACGCTGCTGCACCCGCGGCGAGCCTCGCCAGTGCAGGCGCAGGCGCAGGCAAGCCTGCGCCACCCCGTGCGGCCTCTGTTGGGAGGGGCCGCGTTCAGCAGGGTTCTCTTCCCCCGCCTCGCCATGCCCCGCCCTCCCCGTCCCACTCCTTGTCCAAGTCCCCCCCCTCCCCATTCTCCCACGTCTTCTCTTCCTCCTCCAGATTTCCCTCCCCTCCCTCCTTCCTCCTCCCCGCTCTCCTCCTCGGCGCGCTCGGGCGGCTGTTGATCCTCCCCGCTTCTTCCCGCGTCCCTTTTCGGCGCGCTCGGTCTCTAGGGCGCCTCCCAAACCTCTGCTCATCGTCATTTGGATTCCCAACCTTTCCCATCCTCCCCCCTCTTCGGTTTCCCCTACGCTCCTTCCCATCCCCATCCTCGGTTACCTCCCATTCCTTCAAATTCACCTCTTCCCCCGCCCCTGTTGGCCAGGCACAAGCGCGCACTTTTGTGTCTGTCGCTGTGAATCCGAGATGCTGAGTTTCTTTCGTGCGCCTTGTTCGGGTAGTTTATGGATGGGAAGTCGGGCAACATTGCTTCTTGTGGGATAGAAGGGTGTTCGTTTCGGCGTGGTGGGCATGCATGCCACCTGCATGGGCAATCCTGGCTGAAGCAGGGGACGCGTGTTACAGCATGTCCTTGCTCGTTATGTTTGTGTAGGTCTGCAGGAAACACTCAGGTTGTTGGAAATGGGTGGTGCGAGACGGCGTGGTTTGGATGTTGTGTTTGTGTGCCTTCCGCCGCACGGAGCGCAGTGTTTTCCGCACTTGGCACCGCAGCGAGGGAGTACCAGAACTTGCATCATTCAGTTGGTGTCGTCCTTTCATTCTCGGTGTGGTGTACAGATTGGTACACGTGAGTCTGAGCGGCCTCGAGGGCAGGATACACATGTGGCCACATGTCTTGCTTGCGCTCTCCCCGTATGCGCACCTGCGCCTGCCTTCCACATGTGTGTTTTTGTGGGAGTTGCCTCCTCATGTTCTGCATGCGAACCCAGCCACGTGAGTTCGCACACTCGTGGAACAGGCGGGCTGCTCAGGAAAACGAATCACTTCTCCAAGGCCGCCGTGTGCTGGAGGCCGTCTGGGTCACGCGCATGCGTGACCACGAGGCTGAAGCGCACAGGCCACAGGAAGGATTGGAAGGCAGGCGCACGCTGGGAAGCTTCCGTGTGCCGTGGCTGCCCGTGCGCGCCCCCCGTGCCCGAGGCAGTCAAAGATTGCTGGGCGGCGCCAGCGCCACCATGGTGCGGAGGGAGGGCGCAGCGGAGTCTCGGGGGACTGTGCCGAGCGGCCTTGCGTGTGTCCGCACGGGTGCGTTGTGCAGTTTGCGTCTGCGCGCGCGTGTCTATCCGCGCAAGGGTTTTGTCGATGCGGGGCGGACCGTCCACGGTCGCCGTTGAGACGATTCGAACGTTAATGAGGAGGTGCAAACGGCATGCGAGCGCGAAAGAGTCTGCAGCCTGCGGTTGCGGGGTGGGGGGAGGGGAGAACACGCGGCACCGCTTTTTAGCTACGCTCCCGTTGCTGGGACCAGTCGCCTTCCATTGCGCACTAATGCAAGTACATGGGCTGCTGATGTTTTTAGAAGCGTTAAATGGGCTACGCTTTCATGTGCCAGTCAGCGAGTCATTATTCATGCATGTTTTACGTGAGTTCTCGGACTTGGAAGATGTTGGAAGCAAGATGCTCTGCACCCGGCTCTAACCGCTTTCTGATTGTGGCCAGCGCTGTCGCCGAACCTACAACTCCGAACCGACAGCTGTCCAGCTCTGTGGAACGCACGACCTTCAAGTGTTCCAGGCGCTTATATACAGGGGCAGAATGCGTCCCCCGAGCCGCCGCGGACTCGCAAAGGGATCGCGCCGGACAGACGACAGACGTAGGGCTTCCGTGGCGGTGACAGACCGCTTGCATCACCCGCCACGCCCTTTGGCGAAGCCCTACGGCGGAAGGCCGTCCTCAGGCGCGCAAGTCACCAGCCTGTAACATGTCCTCATGACTATGATTCGCATCACTGTATCCCGGGGGGGGCCCCCCCGACAGGGGGTTAACCTCGCCTCGTCGTCGCGCCGCGACGGGGGTCGGAGCGCCTTCGGCGCGCGGTGGCTACCCGCGACGGGGGTCGATGTGGGGCTGTCGGTGGGGTGACGCCCCCCCGACGCTCATTAAGAAACTCGGAGCAAGCTTGTCGTCGTCTTTGGGCTTGTCAATCTCAGGTGTAGGGATAAGATCGGGGCTGGTCAGTAAGGGCACGAGGTCCCCGAGCAACAGCAAGCTCATCAACATACACAGTGTTCGAGGTCCGCGCGGCCGCCACTAGCCACTAGCGCCCTCCGCGCTCCCGGCAGTGGGGGATCCACCGCTCGTCCAAAAAGTCCGCATTGACCGCCGAATGTCTGTCTGCACGGCGATGCTACTTCCTGGGGTGCCCCATGTGAGCAACTTGCACGCAGGCGCGTATGGGCAAGGGGTGTGCTGATGGCGCTCGTTTTTTTTTCTCCAGTCAGTCTGCCCCGTACAGTCGGGGCCCTGAAGAAGGAACCCTTTTCGTTGGGGAGGGGCCCCGCGTTCCGTAAGTGTTTCACAGCTTGCCTCAGGCTTCCCTTCTGTTTCCGATCGGAAATCGAAGTTCAACTTATGGAGAAAAAGGGGCCTCGTTCCTCATTTCGGGTTCCTCGGGTCAACGCCCCTCACCACCCACCAAACCACCCCAACCCAACCCGAAGGCCCCAATTTATCCTCGATTTCCAGTGGAGGGGGGTCGTGGAACGTCGAGAAAACACGTATGGAACCCGTACCCCCCCCAACCCGAAATTCGGGTCTTCGGGTTGGGTTGGGGTGGTCTGGTAGGTAGTCAGCCCCGACTGCATCGCGGGTCCGACGAGAGGGGGGCACCGAGAACGCGGAGTCCACGACGTCTGCTGCATGCCGCCGGCCTCGGCCCCGCCGCGGGGCGCCGCTCCTCGACACGCTGGCGCCTGCCCGGCGTCGGGAAGCCCAGCTGCGTGAGCGGATCCGCGAGGACGCAGGAGAAGGAAGATCACGCAGCTTTCCAGTGAGAGGAAAATCACGCAGACAGCTTTCCAGGAGAGGAAAATCACGCAGACACAGTGAATCGTCGATTCCCAGGAGAATATTGGGAAATATGGGAAGTGGGGGGGAAGACAAAAACCCAGAAAAAAGATGGGAACATATATAGGGAATAGTTTTATGTGTGTGTATTTAAATGTGTGTCCTGGGGCCCCTTCATCTTTCCTGCGGCCGATCCGAGCGTCGCCGGGCGTAGTGTCAGTGTGGGTGTCGGGGCGGCAGCTCCGAGCTTGCGCGTGCGAGTGGGCAGCCGGACGGCAGCGAAGGGCCGAGGGGAGGCGCTGTTCCTCTTCGGGTCCAAGGCCGCCCCGCCGGCAAGGAGTGGGAGAAGAGGCGACATGATTTTGAGTTTTCGGCGGTCCGCGCGGAGTTCTTGGCGGGCGCGCGCCCAGCGCTGATCCAAGACATCCACGCGGACCGTTGGTTGTATGCGTGTGTTGTTCTATCCATCGCTTCGCACCACACGCATGCCCCTGTTGCAAGCAAGACCGTTCGGCCCCTGTTCCAGGGTCAAACTAGACAGTCAGCATGGTCATCACACCATGGTGTCGCGTGGCGCAAAGACCGAACGTTATGAGTGCTGGACGCGTCAGCTTCAATCATGTCTGGGAGTGGAGGTCTCGAGAGGGTGAGTGTGGGGTGCTACCGCAATAACAAGCTACTCTGACGGCGAACATGATTTTGATATTCAACATTTACCTCACCCTACTATCCACAGTAAGTTTGTCTCGCATCATTGTGTAAGCGCAGACTTTCTATACAACGCAGGTCGCCGTGCTAGGTTTCGGAATTCAAAGCCTGCGTACCCCAAGCGACGTTTACGAGTGCATTGCGAAGCGCTTGTTGCGTGATTGAGAGCACGTCACTACATCATGCCTGTCGCTTCGTGCACGCTCGCATGAATACATGTGTGCCGTGTTTCTGTTGGGCGTCTTTGTCAGCAATAGGTTTGCTGCGCCGTATGACGCTGCCTCCCTCTGGCTGTGCCATATTGGGCTGTCCTGTGACCATGTTGAGGCTCTCTCCGTGTCCTGCCAGCTATCTCGGGGGAAGATTGGGTGACTGCGGGCCACCCTACCCCTTGTGGCAATAGTTGGTTGTATTGTGGCAGTGTTGGAGCATCTTGCGGCCTTGTCGGGGGATTTATTCGTACAGCTGGATGCCACTTTTGGGCCACCTTGGCCAAATGGTGGGGCCCTTTGGGGCTGAGTCGAGGCTTGAATCGCATTCGCTGTTCGTTGTTTCAGTACCCTTTCGGAAGCCTCTAGGAACCCTTTTGTTGGTTCCGTGGGCCCGTCTTGGAGAAGACATCGTAGACTTGGACATGCATCTTATTGAACTTGTTTCGGGCCCACTTGACCGGCTAGTCCACATGTGGGAGTACTGGAACAATTTGGGATGGTGGCGACTAGGACGGTCAGGCTACCACCCACATTCCTAGGCGTTCAGTGTGTGGCGCCAGCCCCCCCCCCATTCCCCACCCCCAATGGACCCAATGGACGACAAAACATGGTACACATGAGGCATGACAGGAGAAAATGCTGGATACTGGCAGCACGGCACGCCAGCACTACATCACAAGTGAAGCACGATGGCACACAGCAAACCGCAGAGAGATGTCCACCCGATGAGATATGCAATGCTTGTCCTTTTCGGCCACGCTCGCGAGCGGAGTTAAAGAACCAGTGTTATGGAGGGCCGCTGCTCCTGGCACAACTGGCTTGCGCGTGCGAGACTCAGGCGACGGTCCAGCAGAGGCGCACGAGTGCGCTGCGTTTTGAGTCATGGGGCTTGGAGCAAGGTGCAACAACATCGCGCGGTCGAAGTATGTGCACCAGTCGAGCGTAAAGCATGGATCGTACACGTAAGAGTGATTTTTCGCCGGAGTGACCTTTGGTGCGTGCTCACTCGGGTCCCCCGATCGCCGAACGCGATGCGATAGTAGCATCTTGCGCGCTTGGGTTTGCCCCCCCTCCCACCCCGCGGCCCGCCTAAAGCCGCGCACCAAAAGGTCACTCTTGCCCAGGGTCACCCTTGGAGTGTAGCCGAATAGGCGCTGCGGGATCTCAAGCTTTGGAAAATCGGCGGCGCCCCAAGGAGGTAGGCGGATCCCTTGGAAGGGGGAATGTGTATGCGCTCAGATGGCAGTTGAAGGCGTTTGGCTCAGATGCTTCGGTCAGAGCGTTTGGTTCAAAGGCCTCGGTCGCAGGCGGAACCGTAGGGCGACCAATGTATTTTGGGGGATTACGTATCTGTGCGCTCCAGGCCTCGGAAAAAAATTAGCGAACACATGCCACATTCATCCGTCAACGCCTCCCCCCCCAATGTTCAAAGTTGGCGGTGGGTCTGATGAGATGCACTTCGACCGCAGCCTCCCCCGCGCGTGCCAACATTGAGTTTTGGTGGGAGGGGGAGTGTTCAGTATTTGTTTCCCTCTACCGTCTCATGTTCATAGTTTCTTACTTGGCATATGCATACGATAGGGAAGCATCGTATACAACATCCAGTTGCACAATCGCTGTCCGTCTTCACTCATCTAAGTGTGCCCCTGGCCATCTGGGGTCCCAAGAGCCCTCGGTGGAGCGTCCGTGGTGCAGCTGGCCCGAGGGCTCATACGTTGTTGTCGCAGAGGGCCACGTGGCCTCTCAAACGTTCATGTTTGAACGTGCCAATTCACATTGCCACTTGTTGCGGATGGGTTCAGTGCGTCTCTGGGGGATTATATGGATTTCTTATGTCGGGTTTTCGTTTCGGACAGATCACTGTTGTTCATTATTTCTGCCCCCCCGCCTCGTCCCCTCCTCACGGTGCGTTTCTGGTCGCACCTACTCTACACAGATATCACCCTCCTCGTGCGCTGCCAGCTGCGAATGTTGCAACGTTCTCGTAAGTTTCAGGGAGTTTCGCGGGGAGACCTTTTTGCGCGGTTCTACCCAGCCCCAAAATGAATCATGCTCCGCTCGTTGATGCCCACAGCACCCGTGTTGCAATTGTTGGAAGGATCCGTCGATGTGAAGTCGCACTCGTACCCAAACGGGACCTCCCCATTCTCGGTTGAGCCGTTTGCGCAATTGTCGCCGCCTCGCGGGCGTTTGCAATTGTCGCCGCTTCCGCGGCCGTCTTTCGCGGACCTAAACTGGACCTCGCATCCTTGGGGGCTGTCAACTGCGCAGCTGTCGCCACTTTCGTGAGCTTGTACGATGCCCAGCGGCGTGCGATTTTACCCACGGTGTGACCTTTTTTCCCCGTTAGTGTTGCAACTTACGCGACTGACGTCACTTCTGTGAGTTGGTGTGGGGTACCAGCGGGATGCGGTTCATGTCAGACTGACTTTGGACATTGCTCCGCTCCGTGTTGCCAGCCGTGCAAATGTCGACACAGTCGAGAAGTCAAGGAGGGGCCAACAGGAGTGCGGTCTTACGCAGGTCCAAACGAGGCCTTGGCCTCCTGGGTGCTGCCGGTTGCGCATATCTCGCCTTTTCGTGTTGTGGGTTGCCCAGAAGAGTGCGGTCTTACCGAGATCCAGACGGGATCTCTTCTCCTTGGGCAATGCTAACTGCTTGCGCAGTAAGTCACGGAAGCGTCCGCTCGTCTTCGATTGAATGTACGTCGGCGACTGGCGTTCAATAGCGCCCGATAGCGCGCGTACCACGCCCCAACATCGCTTAACTCGCGCCCAGTAGCACAGAGTAGCACCTACATGGCGCCCAGTAGTTCCCAATGGTACCATGTGGTGGAGATGCTTTACGTCTGCTTGCTGCGCTATTGATTGGGCGCCACGGGGGCGACCAGAAGCCTAAAGGCTTCCGCGAGTTGCTTTTGAGCGTTTCGCACCGAGCGCAATTTTCTTGAATTTCTGAGGGGCCTACGGACAAGGCGTTCCTACCCTACCAAGGCGAGTCATGGGACCTCGGATCCTCAGGTGTTGTCATCTGCGAAGTTGCCACCTGTCTCACCAGTTTCTCGAAGGTTTGCGGTGTGTGTTCCTACGCATCTACACACGGGGAAGTGTTTCTTTGGGCCCTGGTGAGCACTCCTCGCCTTGCAACCGTCGCCACTTTGGCTAGCCTCTGGGAGTTCATGCGGGCCGTTGTCTCAACGGGTGAACGCCAACGGCATGGACGGTACCGCATTCCTTTTTAACTGACAAGACGAGAGCCTCGCGGCAGAGGAGGAAGGAAGGGAGGGAAAGTCCGGCAACTAGTTGTTACCCTGGCAGCCCGTGCCGCTCGGCCAAGCACGCCGCGAGCGCCGTGCGCCACGCCACCACGCCCCCGCCGGTGGATGACGGCCGCGCCGCGAGCGCGTGCCACCGCGGCGCCGAGCAGCCGCACCTGAGGCACGCCACCCACGCCACCCACGCCACCCACGCCGAGCGCGGCCAGCGAACAGCGCGCGCGCGGCCTCGCTGGGCAACAACAGCGGCGCCGCGTCGCCTCCGCGGCCCCCTCGGCGGTTCGGGCGGCGCGCCCTGGCGCCGGCTGGCGACGGCGACGGCGCGGGCGCCGCCTCCAGCGCGCTGTGCAGTCGCGGCTGGCGGTGTGGGCGAAGCCTGGCAGCAGTCCAGCGCCGCCGCACGCGCGGACCGCCTTGCCCTCGGCTGCCGTGGTTTTCTTTCAGGGCGGCGAGCTCCACCGCCGCCAGCAGCCGCTGCGCTGCTGCGAGAGCCCGCAGCTGGCGGCCCCGCGCGGCTCGCAGATCGGGCGTCGGCATCCGCGTCGCGGCTGCGGCGCAAGCCAGGAGGTTGGCCGCCGCGTTGCCCTCCCAGTCCTCGGCGCTCATCCCGCGGGCGCTCGCGGCCGCGACGTCCAGGTGCGCCTTGACCCAGCGCGCAGTCAGGAAGCCGCTGCGGCAGTGCGGCGCGATCAAGGCCCAGAGGTCGGCGTGCTGCCTCTCCAAGTGGCACGCTCCAGCGCGCAGCGCAGCGACCCCGTTGTGGACGTAGCGCGAGTCCGTCAGCACCTCGACGGGCCAGCACGCCTCGATGACCGCGCGCACACCGGCGGTGACCATCCGCTCGCTGCGCGCGCAGAGTGCCCCTGCCGCGTCTGGCGCCAGCTGCCCGCTGACGAGTAAGCGCCGAGTGGCCCATCGGTCAACCCCAGCTCGGGGGTGGGCGAAGTCGGCGCGCTGGGCGGCCACCTCGCGCGTCTCGCGACGGGCGGGCCCCTACCCGTCTGGGCAGGGACTCCGCGCCAGAGATCGACATCGGAACCGAGTCCCAATCTCGCAAGGCTCTTCGCGGCCGCCGCGATCGGCCCGCACTCGTGGCCGTGGCCCGCGGCCATTGCTCCCTCTGTCTCCCGCCACAGATCGCGCCGCAATCTGCCCCGGCGGAGCGCTTTCGCCAGCTGCCAAATCGGCGCGATCGTGACCACGGCCATATAGGGGAACAAAAAGCGGCATAAACATAAAAACTCGGAGGTCCGCGCGGATTTCTCGGATCGGCGCTGGGGCCCCCCGGCGGCGCCTCCGGCGCCGCCCCTGGCGCGCTCCGCGCGCCAGGGAGGGGGCCCCAGCGCCGATCCGAGAAATCCGCGCGGACCTCCAAGTTTTTAAATTTCTGTCGCCTTTTGTTCCCCTACAGTCGGGTTGCTGAAGAACGAACCCTTTTCGTTGGGGAGGGGCCCCGTGCTCTTAAAGTGTTTCACAGTTTGCCTCAGGTTTTCCTTCTGTTTTCGATGGGAAATCGAAGTTTCACTTATGGAAAAAAGAGGCCTCGTTCCTAATTTAGGGTTCCTTAGGTCCTTTATTATTATTATTATTACTAGGTTTATTATTATTACTACTATTTCTATTATTATTATTACTACTACTATTATTATTATTATGATTATTAGTATTATGATTATTATTATTAGTAGTATTAGTAGTATTATTATTGTTATTGTTATTAGTATTATTATTTTTGGTGTATGTTTTATTTCTCGTCGAAAATCCCCTTGTATGGGGGGGTCCGTAGCCATTTTGGCTCAAGTTCGAAACGCGCGGCCTGGCGCTTCGAGCTTGGTCGCAGCTGAAGGCCTGGCTCGAGGGCTGCTGCCCTTCCAGGAACGCTCAGCTTGACTTCAGGCAACAACATCCCCAGTCTCACGCACCCGCGGATGGCGCATGAGGCAGCTCCCGAGTGGGCTCGTTCGATTCTGGCTTCGGTGACGGGCATCGACGCAAAGCTCTCGTCGTTCCAGGTCGAGATCACGGCGTCTGTCACGGAGATGCGCTCGGACTACGGCCAGCTAGCCGCGAGGATGGACATCTTGGAGGCGAGCATGGAGCAGTATCAGTCGAGTGAGGACGTCATGGCCGACATTTCTGCGGAGGCTGAACGTCAGGTAAGGATGCAGAAGCTCGAGTCCATGGTCCAGAAGCTAGAGAGCCAGATCAACGACACGCCAGCTGACGGTGGACCACCTTCACGGCGTCGTCGTGCACTCAGCCCCGCATCGACACGCTCTACTGGCATTTCATCTGCGGATGGTGCGATGGGATCTTCGTCACAGGAGGGAGCCGCTCGTCTTGTACTGCTTGGTTTCCCACGGCCGCTCATGCAGGCCACGCTCCGACGAGCGGCGGAAGTGGTACGTCTCACCGCTGCATGCCCACTCACTCGCAGACATCAGTGGTGATCACAGCGTTCGACCTCAATAGGAAGGCGATATTCGAGTTCAACTCAGCATCGGCAGCGTCGGATTTCCTTAGCAATTTCCAGAAGATCGAAGGCGAGCTTCAGTTTCCCGGCCCCAAAGGCGGACATTTCGTGCTCAAAGTCCGCAGAGACCTCAAGGTCAAAGATCGTCGTCTTTTCCTCGCAATGGGCAAGCTCAGACAGAAGCTCGAGGCACTGCTCAATGGCAGGTTCACGGTTGGCTCGAACGGACTCGGTGGCGACGTCTACATTCTGCGAGGTGAGGAGGACCCTGTTCAGTGTGCACACGTGACGGTCCTTGAAGGGGTGAATGATGTCCAGGTTGAATTCACTGACTCCACTTTGACGGAGTTTGGCATTCTGGCGGACAAAGCCAGCCTGATGGATGCGGCTCAGGTCGCAATGAGACGGCCCTTTTAAGCGTGCACGCAGCAGCATTGACAGAGCGGCCAGGCACTCGCTTCCTGTTGATTGTTTTTTCCCCGTTTCTCCCTCCCCCCCCCCCTCCTCCATCGACACTACGGATGATACGTCTGACAGCTCGGACACGGATGACATTACGGATATTACGGATCTCCCCTTCTCTCTTCGGCGCCCCTTCTCGATGGTCACGTGGAATGCCGTTGCTCTTTTTGCTTCTGTCAGGTATGGAGGGGAGTTGGCGAGGGCTCACTATCGTAAATTCTTGCAGTTGTGTGAACGGTATGACATTGTATGTATTCAGGAATGTCATGGGCATGAGGGGGATATCGCTTGCCTGAAGCAGCAGTTGCGTGGGTGCCACATTGGAGCTACGATGTGTGCGTCGGCTGCTGCAGGGGGCACAGTTACCGTAATTAGTGCTGCGCTCGCTTCTCAGTTCTCTTCTATTCGGCATCGTCCTTTGTGTGAGGGCCGAGTGCTTCTATCTCATTGTGTCGGTCCGCATGGTGCGCTCGTTATCATCAATGTTCACATGCCTAACACATGTCATGGTCACTAGCAGTATAGGAGAGTGCTCCACACGGTGTGTTGTGCGTTACCAGCGGCCACGTCTTGTTTCAACCTCATAGGTGGGGACTGGAATTTCGCGCTGGAGGAGGAGGGGAGGCAGTCAGATGATGGGCATTGGGAGGCTGGGGACAGATGGCACGCCACTTTCTTCGGCACGAAGTGTGCACTTTGGGCCGGGCTCTACCAGCCCGATCCGACACGATACGGCTGGGGCAACGACGGCAGCTCCCACACGGCTCGTCTCGACCGAATTTACACTGATCTTCCGTGTGCCCTCCTCACCGACCTCACTCTGCAGGCAAAGGTATGGAGCCGACCGAAGCGGTATGAGCCGTCGGATCATCTTCCAGTCGCAGTCTCCTTTCAGGCCTTCAACCCCAAGGAGTCCTCGTCGGTCCCTGTGTGGCTCAGCAAGACCCCCATCTACAAAGATATTGTCTCGGATGGCCTCCTACAGATCCCCGCTGGGTGGTGTCCTCTTCGGCGGCTTGAAGCTGCAAAATCGGTCATGCACGACGCTGTTAGGGCCGCCAAGCGCGCACTAGCACATAAACATGCTCGCACTCCTGAAGAACAACATTTCTGGGCTATGCGTGCTGTGCGTGGGTGGCGTACAGGGGGCTTCGACCTGGTTCGCAGCGCGATCTGCGCGCTCCCGCCTCTGCTGCAAATCTTTGATGTGGACCGTGAGGAGTGCACGGACTACGCTCGTCTGTGCGAATTTGCCAGGTCGTGCCATTACTCTGTGTTGGAGGCCCAACTTAACCAGGCGGTTGCAACGACTACGGAGGGTGAGGAGGAGGAGGCTCGGAGGCTGCAGGCCATCTCACGTGCCCGGTTTAAGATGCAGATATGGCGCAAAATGCGACGCCGTGTGCACCTCTCGGGCGTTCTTGCTGATGACGGCTCCCCATGTGCGACGGTTGAGGAGTCTGGCAACGCTCTTGCTCGTTACTGGGAGGGGGTATTTGCTGCGAAGGAGGAGGATATGTCGGGGTGGGAGGATTTCCTTGAGCACTGCCAATCTGTACAGCCTCTGAGTGAGGTGACACAGTGGAGGGTCGAGCGGGATGACTTTATCCGTGCCATCCGTGCAAAATCCAACACGGCCCCCGGTCCTGATGGCACCCCTTACAGCTGTTGGCAGAATGACCCTGCCGCCAATATACTTTTTGATGTATATGAGTACCGTTACGACACGAACAGCACAGATTTCCCTATTGACATGCAGCACGTACTCCTCACCTTCCTTCCCAAGGGTAATCAGGACTCCGACGTGGGCACAGCCGTTTGTCGTGATGCTTGCAAGACGCGGCCATTGGCGCTTGCTGACACATCGTGCAAGGTGCGGTCGGCAGCGATGGGCTTGCCGCTTGCATCGGTTGCGAAGTCGACAGTTCATGTGATGCAGTCGGGAGGTGTCGGTGGGGGGAGTATCTTATCTAACGTGGTGGAGGCGGAGGAATGGGGGCTATCTCAATGGCTTCATGATAAGCCGCGCTCGGCACTCTTGCTCACCGACTTCGCGGCTGCGTCCCCTTCCCTTTTCGTCAGCTGGATCCTCACTGTCCTTAGTACTATGTCTGTGCCCACTCCCATCATCTGCTTCTTTGCCGCGCTATACACTGACAATACTGCGACGGTCGCTTTTTCAGGGCGGCGCCTGCAGCGCATCAAGATTGAACGAGGTGTACGGCAGGGGGACCCGACTAGCATGTGCCTTTTTGCGTTAGCCCTCGGCCCGATATTGCGCTGGCTTCTGCATAAAGGTAGCACACACATCGACAGAGGGATGGGGTATGCGGATGATCTGCTATTTGGGGTCTGCAATATCCATACTGGGCTGGTGCCTATCCTCGTGCTCCTGGGGGCCCTGGACAATGCCATCGGTCTTCGGCTTAACTACTCTAAGTGCCAACTGGTTCTTACGGGTGGGCTGACGTGTGATGGTCTCGGGTTGGCTGCAGGCTCTTGGGGCGCCCTTTGAGTACCTCCAAGTTGGGCGTCACGCCCGCTACCTGGGGGTGGAAATCGGCCCCGACGGGGGGGCTCATGTTTGGAGGGAGGCCATCGACAAATTCCAACAGCGTGTTCGTGCCCTTAGGAATCTTGGGCTCGGGCTTGCTATGACCATCGTCATGTTTACTCCCACTTGCTTGTCGGTGCATGGGTATCTATTGCAGTTCTATGCTCCGACTCCAGAGGTGTACCATGTGTATGATGCATCGCTTCAGTTGCTCGCCGCCGCACCGCGCTATTCTTTCTCTACCAAGATGCTCTGTGGTCTCAAGGAACTGGGGCTGACAACGGAGTTCCCTGCACTGAGACAGTACGCTCGTGCGGTGCAGTTGCGCGCGGCCATCACTTGCCCTGCTTTTGCTCAGGCTAAGGCGCGGCTGGAAGCCGCCACCTCGACGGAACGGATACGGAACGGGATGGAGGATGGGGTTTGCATTGCTAGGACACTGACTGGGTGGTGGAGGGACTCTTTTGTGCGACAGATGTGCATTGTGTGCGACGGCTGCCAGCAGATCACTGATGCGGTCCCGCACGAGTTCCCTAAGAAGAAGCTCCAGCGTCGTTTCCTGAAGGCCCTCATTGCTCGGGACCCCGTGGACCTTGCTGATTGTCCTGAAACTGGGCTCCTCCGCAGGATCTCCTCCTGGCTCCCTGCCCCCTGCCCCATCGAGGTTGCCCGCATGATCAGTAAAATACGTTACACGACGAAACGTACGAAGATGTATATTGGGTTGGCTCCGTTGCGAATCGCATACCGCGGTGTCTGTACTACTTCGCATTTCCACACGACTTCTCGGGGTTGCGTCTTTGGGTGTGTGTCTGTGGTCCCTGAGGCGGACCTCGATGATATGCAACACCTACGTTGTATGCACACGTCTCCAGGATATTGCAAGGATCTGGCTGGGTGCGATAGTGGATTGTGCCGACACTATTCCGATCTCCTTTCTCCTCCTCCTTACAGTGCACCCGTCGGTGGAAGCAGTGCTGTGCTGCGCGTCCTTTTGCGAAGCCTTTTTACACACTCACTCTCAGAAGAGGGTTGGCTGTGATGCCGACCCCGCGAGACTCTTCGAGGCGCGCATACGCCTCCACTGCAGGCGTCACCGCGCCTTGCAGGCAGCCTGGACAAAAGTCACCGCCGCGAGGCTCGCTGTGGGGCAATCAGCTGGCTAGCGGGAAAAAAAATCCCCCTGTAGGGGGACAGGCCCTTTAGGGTCCTGCGACCCTCGCCCGCGTGCCGGCGACAGAGCAGCGCCGGGCAGGCCCGACAGGGGCGACCGCGCCCAAGCCGCGGAGGCTGCCGTGAGCGGCGGTCGCGGGCACCCGGGTGGGCAGCCACCGCCGCAGCTCCGTGGTGTTCGCGAACTGGCGCATCGAAGGATTGCAAAAAGGATTGCAAAAAGGATTGCAAAAAGGATAGCGGGCACCCAGGTGGGCAGCCACCGCCGCAGCTCCGTGGTGCTCGCGAGCTGTCGGGGGTGGACAGAGCCCCCAACAGTGGCACGTCGATTCGTGGATTGTCCGTTTTCGGTTCTCGAGGTGGCGCCGCGGCCGTTGTTCTCCAGGCTTGCGCCCGCCAGGTTTGGGCCTCAGGTCGTTTTAGCTAAACCACGTTTTACTAAAGGGGGGTCTGTCCATCCCCGAAACTGGCGGCTCGTATCTCGATTGAGCACGTCGCGACTACATTCAGAGCCCCGAGTCATCAGGGGTCACTCGGGTCAGGGCTAACTCGGGTTCGCTTTTCGGGATTCCGAACCCGACTTGCCCCGGGCCCGAGTTACCCCGGATAGTTCGGGCGCCCAACGACTATATCACTTCTACGTCATGTTGTCGAAGGCAACGGCCTCGGACAACTTGCTCGTGATCGGCTGCCCGGGCTCCGACCTTCCGTTCCCGATGGCCACACGCGGATTCGGCGGCACGTCTGCGGTCGATGAGCGCCCATCCTGAAAAGTGCAGGACGGAGGCCCGTACGCTGGCGCGACGGCTTGGCCTGCTTTGTATCGTCCGCGTTTGTGAACGTGGGAACCGCCGACGCTTCATCCAGCGTGCCACCATGTTTCTCCTCGAGTCCGACGCCCAGACAGGGGCATGCGCGCACCCGCGAATCTGCCATGCGCGTTCTGAGCGGAACCGCGATGATGCCAACAGTCCCAGTACCAGTACCAACCAAGATCGTCCCTGCACATGAGGTATTACGCAGACGATTGCGTCGTCACTGATGGCATGACAGTGCTCCTCGCCCTCCACCTCGTCTTCTATCCTGGATTGCGCTGGTGCCCATCTCCCCAAGAACCGCCACCCCTTTGGATGAAGAAAGCGATGTCTCTTCTCGTGATGTGTTTTCTTTTGGCGACGCCTCCTTCAAGTCCCAGCGGAGCTCAACGAATATGTTCCCCGTGTGCTCGTGGAAAGGGACGGCGTCCTTTTCCGCTGTTCGTTCGTGTTGGATGGGCCATTTGGTATTGCCGTACGTTTCCGATGCGTCGGGTGCACCTTTGCGTGACATTTTTGCTGCAGCCTCCTTCGTCTGCGCGCCAGGCAGGGTGCGTTTCGCCATCTTTGCGGCAGCCACGTGTTCAGAAGAGGAGGGGAGCGACGAGGGCCGAGAGTGGCGGGATGGATGGGCAGAAGGATTGGCAGGGGGAGGTGGCGTAAAGCAGGTAGGGGGGACAGGGAGCCAGGAAAGGGGACGTGGGCAGGATGGACGGAGGGAGGGGGATTTGAAAGGGGGGGGAGGGGGGGGGGAAGGCTGAGAGGGGAGAGGGCGGGGGATGGGAACGAGCGTTGGAGAGCGGCCAGCGCCGACGCGGCACCCTCCCCGCCTCCCAAGCCGCCCAGGCCGTGGACAAGAAGCGCGCCCGCGCGCGCGGCATCAACAGGCTTGGCGACGAGACCGCCCGGGGTGAGACCTGGATGCCCACATCGGGCGTTGCGCAACAGGGTGGCGATGACCTGGGGGACCGAAGACAGGTGCACCCGGTGTGCACCTGGGCGGACCTCCTGGGGCCCGGCAGGAGCACGAACGGCGCGCGCTGCTTCGCCCCCGCCCCCATCAGGCAACGCCCAGGTGAGCGCGTGGCCCCCGTGCAGCTCCAGCGCTCGGCCCTCGTGATGTGACCGGGTGCGCCGGCCTTCCGCACGTGCATCCGGCGTGTGCTGGCGGCGGAGGCAAGGGGGACGGGCCGACGGGGGGGGTCTCTCTCGGAAGGCAGGGTGCGTCTCGAGAGTCGTCGAAGGCTGCTTGAAGGGCTTGCCCCCGTGAGTCGTAGCACTCTGTGCAGGGTCGCCTCTTTCCCATGAGGTCCCTGGGAGATGTGCAGGTCGGGCGCGCGTGCGCACGGTGTGAAGCAAGCACGCCCCTTCGCGATGCATGGTATGTCGAGCTTCGAACGCTTCGATGCTGAAGGGCGACAAGGACGTTCAAGGGGAGATGTCATGAATGAGTGAGCCCAGGGCGGGACGAGGCATACCGGGATATGAAAAGCGGCAGGGGCAGCGGGAGAGATGGAGAGACACAGCCGCAGCGAGCGAAGGATGGCGAGGAAAGGGGGGGGACGGAGGAGAGGGGATGAAGAGGAAAGAGAGGGAGCGGATAGCGTGTAAAGGGAAAGGATCCACAGGGCGTGATCGACTGCTAGCGGGTGCTATTTGGAGAGGTTAGGCAGAGGGGGAAGCGGTGGAGTACCGACGTGATTCTCTACGATTGGTTCGTTGGTGGCATCTGGATCGAGGATCTTACGCGAGTTGGACTGCTGTTGCATGGGTTTGCGGGCGCTTCGGAGCGAGGCGCGGGCGAAGTTCACACTTGCATTGGGGGGGGCGTGCGTATGAAAGGGGGAAGAGGGGCAGGGTGGGGATTTTCTTTCGTCTGTGTTGGCCCAACTTCTGCGCCACGCAAACGCTGCTAGTTGCTTTGGTTGTCCAGAGCCAGTCCGATGATCATGCCCCATGTCTCCTATGCTTGGCCCCTCCTTCTCTGGCAGGGGATCACGTTCGACTTTGTCTGCAGTTGCGACTCTGGCTAGGGACGCGGCGACTGAGACTACGAGCAAGTTCTCGTTGGAGAAGTACCTGGTGGATATGAAGACCAAGGCGATCTTCATTCACTCGGGGAGAGAAGGGTGGCAGAAAAACCTTCGCCTGGCACATTAAAGCAGCAGAGATATGAGCAACACGTGGTACCGCCGACTGCCAAGCTGCAGATGAGCAGAGCTGCAGGTATCCTCGTCTTCTTCCTTGCCAGACTTGCGCGGGACAACAAAACTCGTGCTCCATCCCCAGGCAGCGGAGTGGCGTAGCAGGATGACAGTAGCTCCCTGCTCGTGCTGCTCTTCGCCGGAACCAATACCGTTTCACGGATCTCTACCCCCGATCCCCATCCCCATCGCGATCCGCACCATCCCACCACCACCCCCGTTGGGGACATGCCCCGCGAGATCCGACGGAGGCAGCCTGTTCCTCCAGGCGAAGAGGGGTAAATCGGCCAATGGGGCCCAGGCCACGCCCGTCGGAACAGGGATCGGCGATCGATGCTCAAGAAGGCCTCGAGCGCGCGAGAGCGAGCTGGTCGTGCACGTGCAGCAGCCTCGGCGGCGCGAGGCTCGTCGCGAAGACGACGGCGCCTCGCACCCCCGTAGCCTCGGGCTCTTGGCATCGCTCGGACGTGGGCAGTTTGCCCGGCGGGGACCACCGAGGAGCATGTTGAGCCATCCACCGGGAGAACACGCGCGCGGGGCCGATACATGCCTGGGGAATGGACGTACGAGCGGTGGCGAGGGCCGGCAAGGTGCCCGTCTCGGCGCGAGGACACGCACATCGGGGGCCTCCGGCACGACCTCGCTGGAATCGTAGGCTTCTCGCGAGGTTATCATGTTATCAGACCAGATTGTTGTTCAGCAGCTGCCGCCTGATTGCCGGAGCGAGGATCTTCCCTTCTCCGCCGGTCCTCGACTGTATCCAGCTGCCTGCGGCAAGTCCCGTTGGAAATTCGTTGGGATATCGGAGAGAGCGTGTTCTACCGCTGCTGGCGGAAAACCGGGGGGGGTCACTACCGGTTCGAACCCCTCCCCCCTCCCCCCCCTCCGGAAAACCGGGGGGGGGTCACTGCCGGTTCGAACCCCTCCCCCCCCCCCCAGTTCATCCTGAAAAGGGGGGGGGGTCACTACCGGTTCGAACCCCCCCCCCCCTCGAAAACCGAGTGGGGGTGCGGACAGTGGTGGGGACGGTGTTGGTGGGGACAGTGGTGAGGGGACAGCGGGACAGTGGTGGGGACAGTGGGACAGTGGGACAGTGGTGGGGACGGTAGTGGTGGGGACAGTGGTGGGGACAATGGTGGGAACAGGGGGGGACAGTGGACAGTGGTGGGGACGGTGGTGGTGGGGACAGTCGTGTGGGGACAGTGGGAATGAGGTGGAAACAGTGGGATAGTGGAGGGTACAATGGTGGTGGGGACAGTGGTGAAGGCGGTGGCGAGGACGGCGGTGGGACAATGGGACAGAGGTACAGTGGGGACAGTGGTGGGGACAGTGGGGACAGTGGTGGGAACAGTGGGACAGCTCAGTGGGACAGCGGAGGAGTCAGTGGGACAGCGGGGACAGTGGGGATAGTCGGGCAGTGGTTGGGTCCGTAGAGACAGTGGGGAGAGTGGAACCGTGGTGGGAACAGTGGTGGGAACAGTGGGGACAGTGCGACAGTGGTGGGGGCACACTAGGGACGGTGGTGGAACCAGTGGGGACAGTGGTGGTGAGGACAGTGGTGCTGGGAACAACAGTGGGATGTGATGTGGACGGTGGTAGGGACCGGGAGTCGTTTGCTGGCGGTGCGTGGGGGGAGGGGGGTCGAACCGGTAGTGACCCTCCTCCGGTTTTCGAGGGGGGGGGGGGGGTTCGAACCGGTAGTGACCCCCCCCCGGTTTTCCAGATTGGAGGGGGAGGGGGGGGGGGAGGGGTTCGAACCGGTAGTGACCCCCCCCGGTTTTCGAGGGGGAGGGGGGGTTCCGGGGGGGGGGGGGGGAGGGGGGGGGGGGCAGGGGGGGGGGGATTTTCGGAGGGGGGGGGGGCGACCCCCGGGCTCCGGAGGAAAAGGCTGGCAATTTTCCACAGTAAAGCGGCGGTGGATCACGCTCTCTCGGATATCGTGGGAGGCCTCTCGGGGGCCTGTTGGAGGCAGTTTTTAGGCCTCTTTGTGGCCGTCTGGTCCCTTTGGCGCCTATTTTGGGCCTCTTGAGTCCTCTCGGAGGCCTCATGAGGCTTCTTGGGGGCCTCATGGGGCCTCCTGGGGGCCCCGTGGAGCATCCTGGGGACCTCTTCGAGCGGAAGGCTGGAATTGTCGGTTCGTGTTTCCACTCTTGGGCCCTTCTGGGGGCCGTCTTGGGGCTCCCGTGGGCTGTCTTGAACGCATCTCGGGTCACTGTTGGGCTATCTTAGGCCGTTTTGTTACCCTCTTGGGGGCCTCTTGTGCCGTCTTGGGGCGGTCTCGGGGCCCTCTAGGGCCGTCTCGGAGCGTCGGAAATTGGAAAAAAGGTGATAATGCGAAAATGATTGAGAAACATGTTTGGGAAATGAATGATGTTTGCCTCTTTGGGCCCACGTGCAGCTCCTTTTGGAGCGCTTTGGGGGCTTCTTTGGGACCTCGTTTGCCGTCTTGGGGCCATCTTGGGCGTCTTGGAGCGCTCTTGGTCTGTCGTAGAGGCCTCTTGGGCAGCCACTGGGCTTTCTGGGTCGTCATGGAAGCTTTGGGGAGAACCAGAGAGGCGCCATGGCCGCCTGGGGACCCCCTAGGAGGATGGGTGGGGCAGTCCCCTTGGTGCTACCAGAGCGAGTGGGGGGCCCCCCAGAAGACTACAGAAATTCTGCCAGGCAGCCCTTGGCATGACGGGAACGGCCTCTGGCGTGCACCGTTGTTCCTGGGGTCTACTAATCATCTCTTAATTCAACTATGCGGGCCGCACTGGAGACTGCGCTTGCGGATTTCATGACAATGGTCGTTTCGAGACATCCTCGAAACATTGGCTCCAGAGAGGACTCCGAACCAGCATTATCTTGGAATCGCTCCCGTAGGTCGTCAAAGCGACCCAAGAGAGCTCCCGAGGGCCTCCCAGGGGACCCCATAAATCGCCCCAAGGGGGCCCCCAAAGGGGCACCCAGAGGACCCCCAGGAGCTCTCGAAGAGCCTTCGGGATTGCCCAAGAGTGTCCCAAGACGGCCCAAGATGGCGCCAATGATGGCTGGAGAGAGCCCCCCACAGAACCCGACGACATGCCCAGGCAGCCCAAGAGTACCCCAGAAGCCCCAGACAAAAGCCTCCTGGGTAGCCTCAAATGATCGCGATGGCCCCTCTCTTCTTCGATGTCCTTTGCGTCTGGCGTTTTACCGTCGTTCTTCGTCGTCGTAGTCGTCGCCCTTCTCCTCCTCCTCCTCCTCCTCCTCCTCCTCCTCCTCCGCCTCCCTCTCCCTCCTCCTCTTTCTCTTCCTCCTCCTCCTCCTTCTCCACCTCCTCCTCTTTCTCCTCCTCCTCCTCCTCCTCCTCCTCCTCCTCCTCGTCCTCTTCCTCCGCTTTGTTCCTCTTCGTGCTCGTCATCCGCCAGCTCTTCCTCCTCGTCCTCGTGATGGTCTTCCTACTCATTGTCCTTCTGCTCCCCTCGCTGCCCTCCCCGTCATCCACGCCGCCATCATCGACATCCGCCTCATTGTCGTTGCCATCATTTTTTCTTTCGTCTCCCTACGAGCCCAATGGACAACATCGGTGCTTCCCGTTCTTGTCCGATCAGGTTCTTCCACGCCTCAACGTGCCGCAGGCACGGTGGCTGATTGCGAAGGCCTTGCGGCCGGTGCCGCCGACCCTGAAGGGAGACGACGACGACGGCTGCAATGACGACGACGCAGACGTGGGCCAGAGTCTTCAGGGATGCTTCTTGGGGTATCTTCGGAAGTCTTTTGGGGGCCTTTGGGGAGGAATGTTGGGGCCCTCTTGGTGGCCTCTTGGGAGCCTCTTGGGGGCCTTTTCGGGCTTCGGGGGAGCCTCTTGGGGCCGAGCGAGAGAGCGAGCGTAAGCCTTGCCCCGGACGGCGCGCGAGCAGGGTGAAACATGAGAACATTAGTGCACAACATCGGCATTGTTTACCTAGGGCTCCACGTCTTCACTGCTGACTTCCACGAAGCCGCTACTCTGTCTCCTCGACAGAAGAATGCAGACAAGCCTTCCCCGGAGCCAGCCACGGACAACCAACTGCGCATGACCATGCTGCTCCAAGATTGTCTTGGGGCCGAGGGCTCGAAAAGTCCGTTCGGGTCTGGGTCCCCCGTCTGGGCACGGTCTTGGAGGCGTCTTTTAGTCGGCCCAGATTAGTAGGTCGACCCTGCCAGCTCAAGGGTACCTTTGTGTCCTGTGCCTCGCGACACGTGCCTTCTTACACTCCTATGGCGATGTGGCCCTCGGAAGAGTCTTGTGTCCTCTCGCGTGTCCTGTCCAATCAAGGCCGACTGTAGGGGCCTCTTGGGCAGTCTTGGAGGCGTTTTGGGCTGTCTCGGGGTCCTCTTGGATGGTTTCGGAGCCCTCTTGGAGGCATCATGGGCCGTCTTGGGGCGATCTTGGGGACCTATTGCGCCGTCTTGGAGCGGCGGGAAGTGGAGAAGGCGAGAACGCCCAAATCTTGAAAAAGCCAACGACCAATCAATGAAATTGGCCTCTTGGGGCCCTTTCGGGAGTACTCTTGGAGGCGTCTTCGGGCGTCCTGGAGGCCTCCTGGGCAGTCTGGAGGGCGTAAAGGCTTTTTGGACCGATCGTTTGGCGATTGGGGACCCTCTTGGACCGTCTCAGAGCCTCTTGGGCCACTTCGCTGTCTTGGTACTTTCTGAGACCCTGGGACCCCGTGGGGGGATGCGTATCTGACCCCCCCCCTTCCCCGGGACCCCCCCTCCCCCGACGGGGGAGGGATCAAAGGGAAGGGGCTTCCCTTCGACTCGATTACGACTTTGCTAGATTTTTCTCTCGCTGACAATCTTGAAGAGGAGAGTGCAAGGAAAGGGGACGACGGAGACGACCACTGACGGAGACGACGACTCGAACAGGCAAGCCCCTCACACACGCCGACAGGGTCGGTGGATTCTAGCGCAGACTGTTGCGGCCATGGCTTCGCGGCAGAAACCACCAGGCTAGCGCAACACAATCGTCCAGGTTTAAACATTTTTTCTCAGCCACGCGCAGAAGGGGGGTAGGGGGAGAGGGGGGGGGTCTTAGAAACACCCCTGCCTCTTAGGAGGCGCGGGCCTCATCTATAGATGTAGGGCCGGCGACTTCCAAGACGCAGCCTCCTTCTAAGAAGCCTCTCCCCCTCCCCTACCCCCCTATGCGCGTGGCTGACTTTCAGCCACCGAAGATCCAAGACTACGACGACACAGACGACCACGACGACGACGACCTCGACGACGTCGTCGTCGACGACGACGACGGCAGTCGTCGACGACGACGTCGACGATTTCTTCCTCGCCACTGTCGTCGCCCCCCACCCCAGGGACGGCCTCTGCTCGATTCCGGCTGCTCCTCCGATGGTCCCCGGCGGGGTGGAACATCGGCCTCCGGGCGACCGCGCGGCGAAGAGCAGAGAGCGACACGAGGTCCCTGAGTCGCCAAGTGGTTTGTGGACCTCCTGGAAGCGCCAGGAGACGGCGAGGAGGGAGGAGGAGGAGGTGGAGGAGGAGGAGGCGGAGGAGGAGGAGGAGGAGGAGGAGGAGGAGGAGGAGGAGGGCTCCCTCGTCTTGGGGGTCGTGCCGGGCGGTCCGTCTTCCAGTCGACGTCGTGTCAAGGTGGGCTACTCGGGGGGGGTGGCGTGGGCTGGCGGTGGTCTGGCCCCTGCTCGTCCTGTCAGGTTTGCATGTGTGGGGGCTGCGGCTGTTTCCGGCCTGACAGAACAGGGCAGGGGAGCTGGCTAGCCATCCCCATGCTGCCCGCTCAGAAGGGCCCGCCTCGCGCTGCAAGTGCCCGCGGCCTCGGCGCGGCGGCGCGCGCGGCGTGCTGGGTTCGGCGCGCACGATCCTGGGACAATGCGCTGCAGTTCCAGAAGGAGGAGGAAGAGGAGGAGGAGGAGGGGGAGGAGGAGGAGGAGGAGGAGGAGGAGGAGGAGGAGGAGGAGGAGGAGGAGGAGGAGGAGGAGTTGGAGGAGGACGAGGGGGAGGAGGTCTAGCTACGCGACGTCATGAGCCTGTCTCCCCCGTCCAGCCCCATCCCTCTTCCCAGCCCCCGACGTCATGATTTTTCGGAACCTCGACCCCCGGAGGTCTCGACACATCCACCGGGACCGGTTTCTCATCCGGGGTCGTTTTGCGACGGCCTCGCGAAGCCTGGCGAGCGCGCCCGGAGGCCGATCATAGCGAAGCGCCGTCCGTCGTGCTTTCGTTCGTGACCCGAGGGGGGAGGCGCGGGGCCCCGCCGCGCGAAACGTGTGAACAAAGTGCGGCGGCAGATGAGCGACGCAAATAAAAAGTGTGTCGCCTGCGCCGACACTGGCGCGTACAGTGAGGGCCCATGTCAAGGAACAGCCTGCTTGCCTCCAGTGTGCATTGGGTTTCTCGGTTTCGATGGTTTTGCGATGGAAAGCGTGACGTTCCACACCAAACATCAATGGACGTGCTGGGGTCTCAGGGTTGGGTTTTTCGTGGGAGGTTTCTTGTGGTCGGGCCCCCACTGTAGGCTGCCCGCGTAAGGTCGCGCGTACGCGCCCTCCCTCTCCAATGTAGCATGCCGCGCGGGCGGCCCGCGCAAGAAGCCGAGTGAGGTCGCTATGACACCTCGCGTAGGACCCGCTTTTGATCGTCGCTCGTGTTGGGCTGCCCGGAGCGCCGGGCGCAGCCCGGCTGCCGGAGCGGCGCCGCGAGGTGGACGAGGCGCTGGAGAAGTCCATCGTCTCGGAGTGCCCGGAGGCGCCCGCCCACGGGGGGGCGAGGCGGCGGGGGCAGGGCGGTGCTCGGGGGCAGCGTGGGGCTCGGACGTGTCCGAGGTCCGAGGTCTTCGGGTGTTCTCGGTGGCCACGCGTGAGCCCTGCCCCCACCACCTACGATTTCTAAGGGGTGGTGGGAGGTCCCAGGCGGAGTGAAGCCCCACCTCCCCGTAGAAATCGTGGGTGGTGGGGGTAGGGTTCACGTGTGGCCACCTATGGTTGCGGCGGTTCTCGGCAGTTTCCCCACCTCGGGGTGCCGTCCAGCTGCTGCGCCTCGTCGAGAGCGTTCCAGGCGTGTCTGGATCGTCCCGAACGGCCGCTGGAGGGCCGAGTTGAGTGTGACCCAGAGACCAGGCGGCAAGGTTCGGCAACGTGCTGTGGAAGATGGGCTCGGGAGGGGACGCATCGACGCCCAATCGCCCACTGATTACCGATAGGGGCCTGATAGCCCACACCTCCCAGTAACGTTCGGATTCGCTATCGGTGGCCTATCGCCGAAACATCGGCGATGTATCGGAAATTTCAGGTGGACATTCCCCCCGCATATCGTTGCCTCTCCGGTGCTGTGGCCACACTGTCGGGCAAGCCCGTGGGGACTTGGGGTGGGCGCACGGTGCTGGACTCGGGTCGCTCGCCGAGGATGACTCGGGCGGCTGGGGCGTCCAAGATGCCACGCCTTGCGGTGGTTGGCCGTACGGTGAGGTCCTCCGCGTTTCGAGGTAATCGTGCGGTCCGTGTTGGGACCCCCAGGTGGAGGGAGAAGGAGGAGGAGTAGGTTGAGGAGGAGGAGGAGGAGGAGGAGGAGAAGGATCAGGAGGTGGAGGAGGAGGAGGCGGAGGAGGCGGAAGAGGAGTCTCTCTCCGTCCTTCCATCCGCCCCTCCACCCGTAGAAAAGGCTTCCCGGAGTTTCAGAAGGGCTCCATCGTTTGCTCGCAGTGTTGGCCTCGGCCTCCAGTCAAGACGAACCAGGCTGCCAACAAGAGGATGTCTCTGCGCACGCCCTGGAAGCGACAGAGGGAGGCTCCCTCAGGCCCCTTCGCACTGGGAGGCCTCCCGGACGCCACCAGGAGCCCTCAACATCCAGACTTCTAGCATTAGGTCGGGCCTGTCCCCCTACAGGGGGATTTTCAAAGAAAAATAACAGATACCCCCAAAATAGTCCAAACATAGTCTGCGGACTATTTTTGGAGTATGTTTTGACAAGTTTGGTGTATGTTTTTTATAATAAAAAAAGGAATCCGTCGAACATCCCCTTGTAGGGGGTGGACAGGCCCGACCTAAACCTAATCTCGGTGTTTTGGCGATATCGTGGACCGTCTTCGTTTCGCGTCCGTTCTCCTGCTGAGCTAGATTGGAGACAACACGAGGGCGAACGAAAACAACACGAAAAACGAAAAACACTGTTTTGGTCGAGCCCTAGATGTTTCCCCACGGCCAGTGTTTCACCACAGTCGGTTCTTACCGTCCCGCGGGCGCGGCCCAGGATCGTGGTGGGCGACATGGAGGGCATTGGTAGTGTGGGGGAGGCGCCGCCAGGCCATTCCCTCGATGTAAGTAAGGGTCGCTCCTGGCGCCAGCAGGCGACATGAGAACCAGCCACATTCAGCTGATTGATTCGCTGAGCCAAACTCTGCTGTCCCCCTTCCTCGCAGACGTCCGACGTCGTTTTGTGCCACGACGTCGGTCCCTAGAGGTCTGCACCCCTTCCTGGGAAGTGGTTGTCCATTCTCCTGGAGTTTTGTTGACGGCGCTGGAGTCCGTGGCCACCAGAGCATAAAAGCAACCACAGAACATCCGCCGAGTTTTCTTCTTCGCGACGCGAGGATGCCAAGTCTTTCGTCCGATCCGAGGTGAGAGCCCCGTGAGGACCGTTCCTCTGACGGAGGTGGAGGAGCAGGAGGAGCAGGAGGAGCAAAAGGAGCATGGGGAGCAGGGGGAGCGTTGGGAGGGAGCCATGGTTAGCCACGCGCAGAGAGGGGTAGGGGGAGAGCGGAAGGCTTCTTATAAGCATCCCTGCTTCTCAAAAGGTTCGGGCCTTTTCCGTAGATATAGGGCCGGCGTCGTCTAAGAACCGGTTTTTTTCTACTCAGCCTTCCCCCCTCCCCCTACCCCCCCTGGTGCGCGCCGCCAAAGCAGGAGGGCAAGGAAGAGGTGCCGTGGCCTTATGCAGGACAAGCGCTTTGTCGAGGCCATGAGGTACAGCTTGCTCGCAGGCGGCAAGCGGGCGCGACCCTCAGCCGCCCTCCCATCCCGCTCCTCCTCTCGGCGTTTCGGGGGAGGTACGGTCTTTGGCACGTTGGCGCGTCCCGCCGCCGGTTCTGGCCGACCACGCCACGCTTCGGCGCGACACGCAAAGTACGCCCGAGTCCCCAAGCATCGGCGCTCCGAGCTCTTCCGGAGGCCTAGGGAGTTTGACACCATTATCGGGAGATGCTCCCGATCTCGCTCATGGTGGCAATGCTCAGGCTTCGAGTTCCACCGACACCAAAATCTAGGAGCCCCTTCCCCCTGCAGAGACCACCCCCCTGTGTTGGTGGCCTCCAACTCTTCGCAGCCTCCCGCCCCACGGCGGAGGAGGAGGAGGAGGAGGAGGAGGAGGAGGAGGAGGAGGAGGAGGGGTAGGACGAGGAGGAGGGAGGAGGAGGAGGGAGGAGGAGGAGGAGGAGGAGGAGGAGGAGGAGGAGGAGCAGGGCGACGCGCTCGCAGCTCGCAAAGGCGCAGCGCGTCGCAGGGGGGCGCCCGCCGCGACGCGCCGAGCGGGAAGAGGCTCCTCGCGCGCAGGAGGCGCGCACGAGCCCAGGCGGCCCTCCGTCTTCGAGGGTGGAGCCCTGCCCCCCGGGGGGGCAGAGGCCGGCTGCCAGAGGAGGCGTGCCGTCGGCGGGTACTGGGGGAACAAGAGTGACATACACATAAAACCTCGGAAGTCCGCGCGGATGTCTCGGATCGGCGCTGGGGCCCCCCAGCGGCGCCTCCGGCGCCGCCCCTGGCGCGCTCCGCGCGCCAGGGAGGGGGTTCCAGCGCCGATCCAGATCCGAGAAATCCGCGCGGACCTCCGAGTTTTTATGTTAATGCCACTTTTTGTTCCCCTAGGCGTGCCGTCGGCGGGTACGGCTGCCGTTTGGATGCGAGACCTTGACGACGGCACCGAGGACGCCGACGATACCCGTCGTGCGAACATGTGGTCTGACAAGCTGATCCAACCTTGATTTGAGTCGGGCGTGACCTTCTACAGGAGTCTTGGGACGATTTGCTTCAGTAGTTTGGTGTATCTTTTCATGTGTAGAGTATTTTTCATTTTCCGCCAAAATCCGCCTGTAGGGGGACATGCCCGACCTAAACCTTGATGTGTTCTTCCCTCTCACTTGTTCTCGCCCACGATGCCTAAGTACCGGCCCCCTTCTCTGGGGGATTGTTTCCACATCAGTTTGTTGGGATAAGCATTCAGCAGTGCACTATATATCTGCACCGCTCCGACATGGGCGTCGTGAGAGTGAACGTGCCCGCTGACAACTCAGCAACTTGAGCTAATTGCGAGGAAGTCTCGATAGAGAGCGCCGTTCCTTTGTTTTGGGGCCTCCAGGGAGGGCGTTTCTAGGTACATTCTGAGGACGTGTCGAGCAGGAGCCATGTCGTCGCAGTTGAAGCTTCAACGACCGCGATTGAGTAGCAAACGCGTGCTCTAGCAGGGCCGTCGCTCTCAGACAAACTGTAGTCGCCGTCGGGGTGAAAGCGCCCGGAACCGTTTCCATATCAACAATAATGATTCTCTAGGCATGAGTATCCGACTAAGAACTGACGGTTGGCGGCGACAACGAGTGTGGGGCACTACCCTGAGTCCCGCAATTTTTTGGGGGCCGCATGCTCGTAGTCTGGGGGGGGCCTGTGGGGAGGGGGAACCAGTGGAAGAGGGCAGTGCTTGCTGTGGTGCGGGTGCGCCATGTGTGTTGCGATTGCTCTAGGAGGACTTGAACAGCTGCATTTCGTTCCCACAAAATCTAGGCACCTAGCGGTTGGATTTGTGCCAAACATGAGGCCCCTGGACCACTCGACCCTTTTCCCAGGGCCCGTTCTTTATCCTGAGTTCTTCCCCAAACAGTGTGTGCACTAAGGGGTTCTTACTTCTCTTTTCAGGAACTGGGCCTGAATGTCGGGGTGGCGGCTCCATGCTCGCCGTCGCCGCCCCGTCGCCGCCTCGTCGCCGCCCTTCGTCTGGTCCTGGATGTCGGTGTGGCGGCTCCGTGCTCGCCGTCGCCGCCCCGTCGCTGCCTCGTTGCTGACTGTCGTCTGGGCCTAATTGTCGGTCTCGCGGCTCCATGCTCGCCGTCGCCGCCCTGTCGCCGTTGTCGCCGCCCCGTCGCCGCATTGCATAGATGAATCGCATAGATCGTACCACCCAGATGGCCTTTCATAGATTGCCCCATAATCACATGTTATATGTACGTAGGTGTGCATGTCTGTATATGTTGGCGTCAGTTATTTTACCACATGTATTGCACCACATACTTGCCCAACATAGATCGCACCACATATATTGCACAAAGTAGATGGGACAATATAGATCGCACCAGCTAGATTGCAAAACATGTGATACACCGCTGATGTTGCACCGCACGTATTGCACCACAAAGAATGCTCCACACATGTTGCCAAACAGGTTTCGCACCACAGGTTGCGCAACATAGATCACATGACATGGATTGCACATCATAGCTGGCACATCCTGGATCGCACCACAGGATTGCACCACATAGATTGTACCGCAGCTATCGCACCATAGATATTGCATCACATATGCACCACCCAGACTGCACCGCACGTAATGCTTCACACATATTGCCGAACTTATTTCGCACCACAGTTTGCACAACCTAGGTCACACGACATAGGTTGTACAAACTAGCTGGCATGACATGGATCTTACCAGCAGGTTGCACCATTTATATATATATATATATATATATATTGCACCGCAGATAATGCACCACATAGATTGCACTACACATATTGCTCCACAGCGATTGCACAACATCGATTGCTAGAAACACCCAGTTGTGGGCCCACGTTGGTTATCATTTTGTTGTTGACGCCCAGGCATTTGAATTTGCGAAGAAATATCCATCGCGATTTCTTCGAGCCTCGTGATGGCTGAGGTCGTATTATTTGTCCAGGGCATGAATTGCGCGCGGGCAAGGAAGTAGCGACGGACGAAAAGACAATGAATAAGCATGGCGGCACCGAGGTGCGCCCCGTGATGTGCATCGCGGCGTGCACGATGGCCAGGAAGCGGTCTGGCAAGGACACGGCTCCAGGGTTCTACCCAGACGAGGACCGAGCTGGACCCAAGGGCTTGTATTTCCAATCCCCTCTGGTGGGATCCTAGCAGATGGGGTTGGAGGGTAGCGCCGCATCGCCGATGCATTGGCGTGGCGGCTCGATGTAGAACCAGATTTTCTCCACGCCAACGGTTTCTGTGCATCGGCGACGTCGCCGACGCGTCGCCGATGCATCGGCGATGCATTGCGATGCGGTACGATCCCCCGATCTTATTTATTCGGACCCCATGAGGGAGGCCTCTAGTATTGCTATTCCTGGACAACCAAAGGGCGACTCATACAAAAAGGTTCGGAGGTCCTGACGGATCTCGGCGCCTCCGGCTCGGGCCTTGGCGAGGGGTCCAGTGCCGACCAAAGAAACCCGTGTGGACTTCCAGATCTCTGCGGTTGTGCCGTAGTTAGGTTGTCTAGTTGCTCAGATCGATCGAAGTCGCCAGCGTCAGAATCGAGCACGATGTGCGTGCAGTTCGCTGTCACGCACACGTGTAGCCTCGCTTGCGCTGACGCGCGCACCTGTCACTTCGCTTGTGGAATTACAGGGGGCGGCCCAATCAAGCCGCACTCAAAGGGACTCACCTTCGTCAGCCCCATCTCACGGCCCATGTGCCTCCGCATTTCCTTGCCTTTTGGTCATTGACGCCCATCGACGCTTGACGTCAGTGGCGGCGCGGAGCGCAAAGTTCGGCGACCTAGCGCCAGGAAGTTTGCCTGGCCCGCTGCTCGAGGGGCCGTGCCGCAATTCTTGGGCACACAGGGGTGTGTGGGTACTTTGCCCTCTGCTGATTCTTCTTCTCCCGTGTTTTCTTACGGGTCGAGATTTGGATTGCAAATCATGAAATGTGGTTTGAAATTCACGCAAACCCCGTGTATGTCCATCGTGGCTGCATGCCGCAGTTTTATTTTGGGACAACCAGCTCGTTGGCCGGCGTTTCCCCGTCACCCTCACATGCTTCGGTCTCGCTCTCCTTCATTTGTGTGCTCGCATTTCCTTCATGGACCTCGCGGTATGCGCAGCTACTGACCACGTGCCGTCAACGTGCTCAGCGTTCGGCTTATTCTATCAGCGACAGGTGAAGACAGCCGTGCCCGTTCTTCTCCAAGGTTTAGCATGGCAGAGGTAATTGGTAATTATCGGTCATGCCATGTTGGATGAGCTCGAGACTCCTCTAGCGGCTCACCATCGACTAGCTCTCCATTGAACAGGCGCATCGTGCTATCATTGATGTGTCGCGTAGGTAGCCCCAGCAGCCCAGCAAGTAACTCGGCTAGTTCATTTGACGAGGGAATTGCATGAACACACAGTGTCACAAGGAAGGATGGGAGTCGCCGAATCACTTTCATATTTACATGTCGCATATGTTGCGGCGATGTGAAGGGCCTCCAGTAGGGACGACGCGAGGCCTTGACGAGCAACTCCTGAGTTTCCATGACATCGGAGAGGGGCGAAATGCCATGAGTCAGCCATACAGTACTTCGCTTTTGGGAGCCATCGTTGGGTTCTCTTTGGGCGCCACTGAGTGCATGTAGTGGCTCTGTCGGGGCTGCCTCTGAATCCTCTTGAGTGCCCTCGGGGCGTTCCTGGGCCGTCCCCAGCAGACCATCGGTCCAGAAGAGATGGCCCCGAATTTCTATTTACCCGTCGTAGCACAAGCCAATTCCTCTGGGGACGCTCTTGGGCTCCTTGCTGTCGAAAAAGAAGAGATGGAGAAGAATAATAAGACAAGTCAGAAGAAGCAGAAACGGCATAAGCATTCAGCGCTCCGCGCGCCAGGGAGGGGGCCCAGCGCCGAGCCACGAGGAAATCCTCGCGGAGATCAGAATGCGTATGCTCATGAAGTGTTTGGGCTTTCCGCTCTGGGCCTCCCATGGATCGCTTCCACGGGGCTCCCAGGGAGTTGCTTTGGGAAGTGTCGGGGCGTTGGGCCCCAGTGATCCGAGCTCCGCGACTCGGGCTTCCTTGGGCACCCGCAACGCGGCTCCGCGTTGACGACGGCGGGCATGCCGCGGTTCTGGTTTCCCTGAGTCGTTCCCGCGCGTGCCGGGCTGAGTGGCTTGCTGGCCGTGTGCGTGCGCTCCTTCAGCATTCTGTCCTTCTCCCTCGGTTCCTCCCTCTCTCCTCCTCTGCCGCTGGCAGGAGTTGGCAGGACCCTTGAGTCCCTTCTGCTTCACTCTCCGGCCCTGGGCTGGTTGCTAGTTCGAGGGCCAGTTGGGGCGATCGGGGGAAATCCAGGCTGTCATGAGAGGTATTTCTGAAGCGCAGTATTGTTTTGACTTCGACCACACCAGTCGAGCCTAAAATTGCCATGACCTGCGTGTTGAGCCGTCGATTCATTGATTCATTTGGCTTAGAGGACGGGCCGTTTGGGCTTCATGGTACTTCGTCTCATGTCCCGGCGCCCTGCGTAGCCACAGGCCCCCGACTCAAAGATATCTAAATGGCCTCCGGCCCGTGCCGCCGATCCAGGGCGCTCCTGGTGTTTGTGGGCCGCCACCGCGCAGCGAGGAGCGGAGAGGTTTGAGGCCCGAGGTGTGCGGAGGTTTTTGAAAGGTCGTAGTTCAGCGCATCTGCAGCCGAGCAATACCAATTCACACATGTCATAGACTGTGGCGCCCCACGAGGTCGACGCCTGCCTCAGGGATACGCTCTCCATCCAGAGCCGTTTTTGTTGACGGCCCCACGGCCCGGTAAGGGCCCTTAGTTTGCCAGATCGACAATCTCAAGACGCCCAGTTTTGGGCCGTTCGGGACCTTTGGAGTAGGGTGCCGGGCTCCGTTTTAGAAGAGCAGGAAGTCATGATAGTGATGAGTTCCAAGATTAGCAGGCTCCCTTGTCCGTCCGCCACGGCCTCCAAGACGAGGGCCGCTGTAGATACCCCCAAGTCCTGGAACGCATCTCCTATGCCAATCGCACTGTGACTGCAATCTCGCCCTGCTATCCAGAGCACCGGCGACCGCGTGCCGGGAACAAATTCGCGATGCTGGAGGTCCGGATGGATGGAGACCCCCCCCTTCCCCGTCTCCCCGCGACATGAGGTCGTTCAGATTCTCCTCAAGGGCTAAGGCTCTTCTCGTCCCGCCCGAATGGGCGCGGCCCTACCCGCAGTAGAACCGGATGGACGCTCGCTCGCTTCATGCGCTCAGTGGATCGACTCTGCGGATGAGCCTATGAAGCAATGCATCCTTTGGTTCGATTCTAGGTATCCTTCGGTTTTAGGCATCCTCGGGTTCAGGCATCCTCGGCGCATTCGAGCGAGGCCGTGGGGCACGGGTACTGGGCTGGCCCCCGTAGGCACCCCGCGATCGCGGCGGCAGTTGTTGCTGATGCTTTGCCGATCTCGATGCTCGCCGTGCCCTGTTGCAGAGGGTCCTCCTCCTGTTTCTCCTCTTCCTCCCGTATCTTTGCCCCACCGAGGAGACCCTCAAGATCGCTATGCCTACGGCAATAGCGCTGGAGATGGTGCACACCATGTCGCTGGAGGGGGGGGGGCGGTCCTGTCCCTCGAGCTTTTAATTTTCATCCTCCTCATCATCCCTTTCTGCAGATCCTTAGGCTGCGTCCACTCGTCGCCCCCGTCCTCTTCCTGATCCGTTATATCTCCTCCCCAATTGCCAAAAACATGTAGTCTGAACCACGCTGGTCGATGTGACACACAGAATTCATGTCAAACACTACGCATCTGAAATTCTAAGGATCAGAGGATCTCAGAGGATTGTCACGTGGATTGTCACGTGGATTGTCCTTTGGATTGTCTGAGGGATTCTCCTGAGGATTGTCAGGTGTATTTTCCTGTGGATGATTCAGTGCGTTGTCCTGTGGATTGTCACCTGGATTGTTCCTGTGGATTGTCCAGTGATTTTCCTGGCGATTGTCACCTGGATTTTCCTGCGGATTGCCACGTGGAGTGTCTCTTCGAGTGACGCGTGGATTGCTACGTGGATTGTCATGTGGATTGTAAGTCGGATGCCCTCGTGGATTGTCATTTGGTTTGCCTTGAAGATTGTGATGTGGATTGTCCCGTTGATTGCCTAATACATTGTCACTTGTATTGTCCCGTGCATTGGCTTGTGGATTGTCACGTTGATGCCCAGGTGGGCTGACACGTGGATTGTCGTGTGGATTGTTACGTGCATTGCTTGGTAGGTTATCCTGTGGTTGTCCCGTGGACTGTTGCATGGATTGTCCCGTGGAAGCTCATGCGGATTTTTTGTGGATTGTCCAGTGGATAGTCTAGTGATTGCGAAGGCCTGGCGGCTGGTGCCGCCGACCATGGAGGGGGACGACGATGACGACGACGACGACGACGACGGCGGCGACGACGACGACGCCGACGGCGGCGGCGGCGGCGACGGCGACGGCGACGGCGACGGCGATACCTCAATGGGGTGCGTCACAACCTCGGGGACCATCCCGGGACCCCCCCTGCAACCCCTCCCCCCACCTCACCCCGCCCAGGGAGGGAACAACCCGATGGATCCCCTCCCCCCCCTTCCCTCTCCCCCCCATCCCCACCCCAAACCCCCCACCCACCCCTTCTCTTGCTGGGGAGGGGTCAAAGCGAAGAGGCTTCCATTTAACTCGATTGCGACATTGCTTGATGCACCCTGGCTGGAGCGCTCGAGGGGGAGCGGCGACGACGACGACGACGACTCAAACAGGAAAGCACCTCACACACGCCAACAGGTTCGGCGGATTTGTGTCGTGGAGTGTCCTGTGGACGGACCAGTGGATGGGGATGTGGATAGTCACGTGCAGCATGGCAGGTTCCTGACAGCGTCCAGCATGGCAGTTCCCTCACAAGAGTATTCCATGGCACTCGTTAGTTCAATTACTCCGTGCGATTCCCTCTCCTCGTCGTCATCCTCTCCTCGTCGTCGTGTCGTCCTCCTTCTCCTCCTTCTCCTTGCAATCCTCCCTCCCTTTCCCTCCTCTGTGCGATCTCCCCTGGGTGCAGATTCACGACGACCTCCCCGCGCTGGACAACGACCCCCTCCGACGCGGCAAACCCACCTGCCACGTGAAGTTCGGCGAGGACTGTGCGATTCTCGCAGGGTGGGTGAGGGGGGGGAGAGGAGGAACAGAGCACGCAAGGCGCTGCTGCTGCAGTCCCCTCCGAAGTTCCCTCCCCCGAAGACAGCACAAGCTCTTACAGCTATTGCGAGAGGCTCCCACTGGAAAGGTGAGGGTCACATGGGTTCATGTATGTTTCGTGAGTCGCGTCAACGGTACCGTGTTCGACCAGATCGCGTTAATCTACGCAATCTCATTTGGAGCGAATCGGCCTGCATCCACGTGGATGCTGCAGCAGAAGCGGCGTGGAATGTGTGCAGCAGAAGCAGCAGAAGCAGATGTGCGCCAGAGCGAGACCACGATTTTGAAAGGGGAGTCTTTTCCATCCGCTCAGAAGTCAGTGAGGTCATAGCAATTCGGTGTTGGGACTTCTGAGAGCAGAGAAGCATCAGGCGAGTCAGGTTATGGCATGGGGTCGCCCTCCATATGTGTACCCTTCTCTACTTCCAAGCTGCATGGCTTCAGAGCAACAGGAGGTCTCTGGCTAGAGCCAGATTCTCTACCCTGCTTTTCTGCTGGAAGGGCTTAACCAATTCCGCAATCAGCTTGCCTGCAAAAGGCAGCGCCTTCTTTCTAACGCAGGGTGAGGCATGCCAGGCCCCTGGCATTGGGTGCCCCCTTGCCTCCCTCCATTGCCCCACACTCGTTGCCCCTCGCCCGGCGAGGGATGCCAGGCCCCCGAGATCGGGGGGCCCCCTCCCGTCGATACTCCTGTTGCACCCAATCTTTTCCCCCCCATCCAGGGGAACAAAAAGTGACATAAACGTAAAGACTCGGAGGTCCGCGCGGATTCCTCGGATCGGCGCTTGACCCCCCTCCCTGGCGCGCGGAGCGCGCCAGGGGCGGCGCCGGAGACGCCGCCGGGGGGGCCCAGCGCCGATCCGAGAAATCCGCGCGGACCTCCGAGCTTTTATGTTACTCCAGATTTCGTAATAAAAGGGAGGGGGTCTGGACCCTCCAAGACAAGCCATTTCAGACCTCCCCCGTGGGAGAACCCTCCAAAACATCGTCCCCAGACCCCCCCAGGCCCTCCAAGATAGCCTGGAAGAGACCCCCCCCGAAGTGAGACCCCCCTCCCTTTATTACAGAATCTGGAGTATGCAATGTTTTGCTCCCCTGCCATCGTTGCACCCCGTCGTTGCCCCCCGTCGTTGCCCGTTCCAAGTGTGAGGCCGCTGGAGGGGTCTCTTCTCAGGCAGTGCCAAGGGGGGTCACCACTGGGGGGGTCGCCAGCTTCTCCTGGAAATCGAGGTTCCAGGATGGAGAGTCGAGGGGTCGAGGATGTTCTTGGACGTTTCTTTGCGTTTTCGGGGCTCTGGGGGGCCCAGTTCCGCGAGGAAGTCTCGAGGAAGTGGCGTTTCCTCGAGGAAGTGGCGACCCCCCTTGGCACTGCCCCATCTTCTGCCGCGCAGGGGTGCCCCTGCCTGCCGCGTGCCGCCCAGCGAGGCACCTGCCCGCCTCCGCCGTCGGGGGCCCGCTGCCCCGCCCAGGTGCTGCCCCCCGCTGCCCCCCCCCCCCTCCTCCGCCTCCTCCGCCTCCTCCTCCTCCTCCTCCTCCTCCTCCTCCTCCTGCTCCGCCTCCTCCTCCTCCTCCTCCGCCTGCGCCTCCTCCTCCTCCGCCTCCTCCTCCTCCTCCGCCTCCGCCTCCGCCTCCTCCTCCTCCTCCTGCCCCTTCTCGTTGTTTCCCCCCTCCAGCTCCTCCCCCTCCTCCTGCTTGCCCCACGTCTGGCTCCAGGCGTCCTAGGTGGGGTCGGAGCGGGTGGGGTCGGAGGATCGCGCCGCATCGCTGGTGCATCGGCGATGCGGCTCGACGTGGAGCCCGACTTTTCCCACGCCGACATCGCCGATGCATCGCCGATGCATCGCCGATGCATCGTCGATACATCGGCGATGCATTAGCGATGCGGCGCGATCCTGCGACACCATGTACTCGGACCACATCTAGGAGGCCTCAAGGGAGGCTGACCCCGAGGTGGGCCCGTTTGCCCCCTCTGTTGCCACCCCATTGTTGCCCCCCATCGATTCTCGCGGTGCCCCCCATCGACTCTCGCAGTGCCCCCCATCGTTGCCTCCCATCGCTGCCCGAGTACGACCGTTTGGTATTTTCTGCCGCAAGTGCCATATTTTGTCCAGCGGACCCCAATGGTGGGTCTGGTTGGCGGCGGACCCTAGCAGGCGGGTCGGTCGGGCGGGTCTGGTCGACGGACCCTAATGGGCGGGTCGGCCAGGTGGAACAAGGAAACAGGCGGGCCTCGTTTTCATGCACGCGAGCGGGCGGATCCAAACAGGCAGGGCGGACGGACCCTAGCGGGCGGGTCAGGCGGGCGGACCCCAACGGGCGGGTCGGATGGTCGGGCGGGCGAGACCAGCAAACGAGCTGTGGGGCCCTGACGGGCGGGTCGCGCGGACGGTCTTTAACAGGCGGGCGGGCGTGTCGACATCTGCGGGCGGCTCAGACGAGCGGGCTGGCGGACCCCAAGGAATGGACGGGCGGTTGGACCCTCCCTGTGATCCTGGCGCGGCAGGTATGTCACACGGGGCGTTCTCGCCCGGTTTTGGGCCCCAGGATCCTCACAGATCGATCCAGCTCGACAGGCGACGCAGCATGATGGGGCCTCAGGTTCCGGTCGCGGTTTTTCGCGATGCTATTGTTTCTGAAACAACGTCGGATCTCAGGGCAGCGGGCGGGCCAGGCAGGAATACCGTAACGGAAGCGTACCTTGACGGGCGGGTCGAGCGGACAGGACATGAAAATGAGCGGGTTGGTTTTCACGCGCGCGAGCGGGCGGGCCCTAAAGGGCAGGCGGGCGCACATCCGCGGGCAGGTCGGATTGGCGGTCCCAGGGGGCGGGCGGGTTCAGCGGGCGCGCCCTCGTGCTCGCCAGCAGTCGGGCCCTCACAAGCGGGCCGGGCGGGCGGCTTCCGACGGGCGGGCCGTCAGGCAGTTCGACCGTTCGCGGGCGACTCGGACGGGCGGACCCGGAAGGGCGGGCGGGCATTCGGCGGGCTCTGCTCTCGTTGACGGTCGTCCCAGTCGTTGCTCGCCCATCGTCGTTCGTCCGTCGTCCGTCGCTGTCGCTGGCGGCAGTGGCGGCGACGGCGTCCTCGTTCGCCATTGGGAGAGAGGGGGGGCGCTTGATTTGCTCTCTCTCTCTCTCTCTCCCGCTCCATCGCGAGGGGCGGGTGGGGCGGATCCCGCAATTTCGACCCCACTCCTGCACAGGGGGCGGGGGTCCCGCTCCTTTGCACCTGGGGGGAGGGGGTGATCTTGCACGGAGGCTGGACGAACCTGGCTGTAGCCAGACCTTCTCTCTGTCCAGCCCTGGCCAGTTTTTCTCCACTTGCTCTAGCCGTGGCGACATCATCCCAATCATTTCGGGCTCGCTTAATCCCCTGCCATTTCTTTCAGCCCTGGCCACTTCCACTTCCATTGAACATCTTACTTGTACTTTTTCCCAGCTTCTCCGGGCTCCCCCTCCCCCCAGCCAATTGCCAGCGAACACCGTCATTGCCGACATTTGGACATCATTGGAGCAGGCCATGGCATAGGTGACGAGCATGTTCCATGTGCGCTGTTCTCCCGGCAGGGCGCCCTGGGCCCTGAGGCCCTTCAGAGGCAGCTCAGAGCCCTCTTCTCGGCCGCTCCGTGCTCTTCTGGCCGCCTTCGGTGCCCTACTCGAGCCGTCCTGGAGGTACCACGAGCCGACCGAGCCCCCCGTTTATTCTCTTGCACAGGGTGTCTAGAGCTCCGACCACTTTATTTCGGCACGGCACCCCCTCCATCACCCACCCATTCCACCAGCCAGTGCGCCCCCAGCGCGCCCCCATCTCCCCCGCCGCATCCCACCCACCAGCTAGCGCGCCCCTTCCGCCCCGACCCTACCCTTTTATTTCGGCACGGCACCCCCCCATGACGAGCCGACCGAGCCGACCGAGCCCCCTGTTTATTGCTTGGTGACGGTCGCAGAGGAATCCGAGGGGAGCCTGGGGTGACCAGCAGGCTAAGGATCTCCCCCGGGTGGTTGTGCTTGTGGCGTGGGATGTGCCCCTCGAAGCCAGAATGAAACGGCATCTGTCCCCATCTAGGGGGGGATGAATCGGCCAGTGGGGCCCAGGCCACGCCCATGGGGAGGAGTGGTCGGTTAAACGATGCTCAGTTGCTGGCGGGGACGGCGACCGCGGCGCGGAGCGGCCTGGCTTGCAGCTCGCCCGCCCCGCCGGCAGCCCCCGCGGGCCCTGGCCCTCCCGGGATCTCCCGGTACAGCTGAATGTTTCACAGCCTTTTGCCTCCAGCGGCCGGCGGAGGATTCACGACGATCTTGCGTGGTTCCGTGGCAGAGCCCACACTTTGAAAACCGCCCGTCCTACGTCCACATATCAGGACCATGTTTTCCCACACGGTGCCTGCACTTAGGGTTCGTTTTTTTTGCTGATGCTTCTCGGAGAGTTGGACAGGTCAGCCCGGGGTTCGCTTGGTGCCCAGTTCGTGGGCGCCTCGTTTTGGGTGGGTCAGCCGAGGTTTTGCTTGGTGCCTCTCTGCCCGTGGGCGCGTCGTTTGGGTGGGTCGGCCGAGGTCTTGCCTGGTGCCCGCCAGTCGGCGCCCGCGGGCGCCTCGTGGGTGCCTCGTGCGCTGGGTGTGTCAGTGGAGGTTTCGCCTGGCGCCTACCCGTGGGCGCCCGGTGGGCGCCTCGTGGGCGCCTCGTGCGTTGGGTGAGTCTGTCGAGGTGTCGCTCGGCGCCCTCCCGTGGACCCTGGGCGCCTGTGGGTCTCTTGCGGGCACCTCGTGCGCTTGGTGGTCAGCCGAGCTTCCGCATGGGTGCCTCGTAGAGGCCTGGATCAGCTGAGCTTTCAGCCTACCCGTTGGCGCCTCGTTGGCGCCTCGTGCGCTAGGCGGCCACCTAGCTTGCATGGCACTGCTTGTTTACCATACAGCTCACACAGCATAGCCGACATCGCATAAGGTACACCATAACGCTTGCACCGCATAGATGGATCGACACACCTACTCTCCTTTCAGAACCCACCCCCGCCCGAGCCTGGACTTATCCGGTCGCCCTGGGACACTGCTAATCACAGATCTTTCTGCCACACTTGTCATTGCCAGTTGACTTCATATTATCTCAGCCCGACCAGTATCGACCCCCTTCACCCTTGTCAAATATACCCTGTGCGCGCACTCGTTTATCTTCGAAGACCATGGTTCAATAACCCCTTGCAGGTATGGCAAGAAGTCCATGCGCGCACATGCATGTCAACATCACACCAATCACATTAGTGTTGCAAGCATGTCAGCATACAAGTCAAGAACCCTTCGGTGTGTTCGTTGCCTGCCCGCGCGCATCTACTGAATGCACCGGGGAACTACATGATGTCAGCGAGGTTGTCCTGAACCTGCAGTCACATCTCACCATGCATTGCATCTGCGGTGATTTAGCATGCACGCGGAACATTTGTTCGTATCACGCAACACCTTGCTGGCTACGCGCACGCCACCACGCGCGCGTGTGTCGACATCTTTGCACAGCAATGAGATCTCGAGGACGTTCAAGCTATAGGTCTTCGACAAAACATGGAACACCAACGGTTGTTCAACATCAACTCTGCCTGATTCCTTGAATTTTACGCGCGTGCACTCTTCACCAAATCCCGCATCAGTACCATCGAGTCACTGGCGTTGTCGTTATCGCCAATCGCTGGCATTGCTGCCATCGTCAGGTCATCACCCTCATCACCGACACATGGACATCATCATCATCACCACCATCATCGTGTTCATCATCATCATCGTCATCATCGTCATCGTCATCACCAGCATCGGCGCCGTTATTGGCCTCTCCGCAGTCATGGTCACTAAGGCCACCACCATCGCTACTACCATCATCGTTGTTGCTGTTGCCGACGTTATCATGATATCGGGCCCGCCAGACTCACCGACCTACACGGAAGTACCCGCGCGCCAACGTGGCCTTGGAGACGTGCTCGGAAGTTACCCTCGAAAAGCGCCATCTTGGCCGCATGAGCTGCGCGCGCCAGCGCGGCCGCAACGATGCGCCAGCCAGGTCCAAGCAGTCACCGCAATCGCGGCTTCGTGGGTTTGCAAAACAAGTTGAGGTGCGGAGTGTTGAATGATTGCGCAAGCAGTGGGTTTGGCAATTCCTGAAGTGGCACAAGTTCATGTCACTCCATTGGTCACACCACCTAGTTGGCACCGGATAGGTTGCACCACGTAGCTTGCACCAATGTTGCACAAGTAGCCTATTCCGCATAGATTGCTCCCCATATGTTTGCACCACATGGCTTGCACTGGAGACTGTGAGGTTCTTACTTCTGTCCCTCAGGATCTGAGCTGGTGTGCCGAGATGTCGCCTGGGCCTGGGGCCTTGTTGTTTGCCGCTGGTGGACGTCTCGTGCGCGCTTCGTGCGTCGGGTGAGTCGGCCGATGCTTCACCCAGTGTCCGCCCGTGGCCTTAAGTGCGCCTCGTGGGCGCCTCGTGCGCTGGGTGGGTGTCTGAGATTTTCGCCCAGTGCCCGCCTCGTGGGCGCCTCCTTGGCGCCTCGTGGGCGCCTCGCGCGCTGGGTGGATGAGCTGAGTGTCCGCCTGGTTTCCGCCTGTGGGCGCCTTGTTGCGCTGAGCGGCCGCATAGCTTGCACCACGTGGCTTGAACCACACGGCTTGCACCACGTTGCACCGCATAGCTTGCACCACATGGCTTGCAGCACGCAGCTTGCCCTAGACACCTTGCAACACATGACCTTGTCCAGCAATTTCCACCACATAGCTTACACCGCGTCCCTTGCACCTCATAGCTTGCACCACATAGCTTACACCACGTAGCTTGCACTTCGCATCGTCTTACAGGTAGCTTGCATCGCCTAGAATGCAGCACGTCGTTTTCAGCGCATAGTTCGCACATCAGCAGTGCAACAGACTTCCGTCGGGGATCCACGAGTGCACGTATAGATGTGCATCTACAGGTAGAGGGACATGGCGAATTAGTTGTTCGCACGAACGTGCAGCCCTCCCTGCCGACTCGTCTGGTGTTGCAACGATGCGGGGCTCACGCGGTGCATGATGATGATGAGCAGGGAGCAGGAGAAGGGCGGAAAATCTGGGTCAGAAACTGGGGGGAATGTGGAGCGGGTGCGTACGACATTGCGCATGCAGTTGATTTCGGCTCCACCGCCGTACGCTTTCCTCTACACTTTGGCGCCTCCAGTGCTCGGAGGCACTTGGTCCTCGTGGACTGCTTGGATCGGCGCGGGAACCCCCTGGCGGCGCCTCCAGCGCCGCCCCTGGCGCCTCTGCTGACCCAAGAGATCCACGCGGAGTTTCGAAAGTTTATGTGTATGTTTTTTGTCCCACCGCATGAAGGGAGGAGAAGAGGGAGACAGGAGGGTACGGGTGTCCCAGGGGGGCGCAGGGACGCCCTGCTGAGCGAGTCGTTCGCCCAGATCGCCAACCACACGCCGCAGGACAAGGTTGCCCCTCGACCCCTGTGGATCCCCCACCTTTTCCTCCCGCCCACTCCCCGTCATCCTCCTTCCACCCTCCACATCCCCATCCACCCAACTCCTTCGTTCTCTCGATCCCTTATCCACCCCAGCCCACCCTCCCCTGGCCCGCCCCCTTGCTCTCCGCCTCTACTATCGCCCCCGTCCGCAACCTTTTCCCGTCTCCCTGCCCTCCCTTCCATCCTTCCATCCCCTCCCCTTCTCTTTCATTCTTCTCCACCCCCAACCCTGAATCATCAACCCTAAACCCTCCGACAAACGAAGGAGCAACTCCGTCCTTGAGAGGTCCCACGAGGACTCTGAAGGCAGGGAACATAACAGCGAACGATCATGGCAACACGAGCCTCCCCCCGTTCTCCCCCTCGCCCCAGGGCGACAGAGGTCGGCGGGCGACAACTACACTCACCATACACCAATGCCGATCTTGGCCAGGCCCATCCTGGCCCAGGATGGGCCTGGCAAGGATCGGTGCAGGTGTGTAGTTGGCGCCCTCCGTAGAGGATGGAGGATGGGGAGGGGTGAGGGAGGGAGCAGGGAGGGACGGAGAAGAGAACTGGGAGGGAGGGTGGAAGGGGGTGGAGAAGGAGCAGGCGGCCAATCGTGAGACCAGAACCCTTGGGAGCCGCAGTAGGGAATGGTGATTTGACGGGGAGTGGAGGCTAGCTAGGGGTAGCTACCAGCGACGAGAGGAGACAGCAAAGTGATGTGGTGGGCAGCTCGGGGGGTGCTGAGTGGGAGTGTGAATGTCTCTCTCCTCTCTCCGCTTCCCCCTCCCCCTCGCCCTCTTGTTAATTTCCTTCCTATTTCTTCCCTTCCATTCCCTGCCTCCCCGCCTCCTTCCGCGTCCAGCTGGCGTGACAGAACCCTTCCCACAGGTGCCGGCCACGCGGATCGTCGAAGTAGTTCGGAGGGGCCGTTGGCAGGGACGAGACATTTGTTTTCCCTTTTTTTCCCAAGGGGGCGTTGGCAGGGACGAGGCAGTTGAAAGGTAATGTGAAACATAGCATCATTGTCTCGCCTTCGCTTGCGTTGTCGCTTGCTCTGCCTCGCCAGCTCAAGCGCGTTAGGCAACGCTTGCCGCTGCATCCTGCACCCGAGATGGGCAGACCTCTCCCGTTCAATAACACAGGTATGTTGCTTCATATGCTCCGGCTGCTTCCCGAGGAGGGGCAGGATGCCGCATGCACTTCAATGGACGTGCACATGCAAGGAGATGCAAGTGCAATTGCAAGTCATGATGTGGAAGGCAGAGCAATGCGTATACAATGGAACGCGGTGCATTTCACATCATGTCAAAGAGATCACCACATAACGAGATCCAGTACGATGCAGTCGATTGGTTCGCATTAAGCTGGGAACCAACCAAACAACACATTGCCATGCATAGCTAAGCGATGCCAAGCAACGCCGTCAGACCTAATTGTTCGAACGCCATTTTATCATACGACTCAGCGTACTATTGGTCTGGCACGCAGCCTGTCGTTTGCTGGTCTTCCTAATCGGGGTCGCGCCTGTTTTGTGTGTTACGCTGTTTGGGAAGTTGTATTTGTCATCTTGGGTTGAGTGGGTGCTGGTTTCTGATTGAGCCGCCGCCGCGTAATGCCACGCCTAGTCAACCTTCGGAGTCAAGTACGGGCTGGCTCTATGTTGCACATTGCGTCCGAGGTCGGCTGTTCTCTTGCATACATGTAGGACCGGTGTTGCCATCTCCACAGCCTGTTTTTCCTTTGCATCAGGATCCTCCTCTGGATCCATCACTTCTTCTGGGAAGCACCCCGAGTTCCAGTGCTTAGGCACTGCGGTCGAGAACAATTTTAGAACCAGCAGGCTGCCCTCTCCATCGAGTCCCTGCTAGTCAACATGGTTTCCCCTTTCTCGACAGGCTGGGCTTCAAACACTGGCGCCTGCTTCGTTTCCCCCGCCTCCCCCTTCCCCACATACTCCCTGTCTTGGCATACCCCCCCTCCCTCATCCTCAGCCCCCCCCCCCCTCCTGGTTCTCGACGTCATCTTCGCCCTCCCCACCCTCCACCCTACAGCCATTTCCTCACATGGAGGGGATGAGGCTCTGCCCAGTGTCTCTGTTGAGGGCCTTTGCGGGGTCATCGGTGCATAGTGGTCCTAGGTGGATGAGGTGATGTTCGGTTTTCTCAAGTAGAGTTCGAACATTTTCCCGACGCAGCCTTAGCCGAACCGGCATTTTTTCCGCAATGCAAAGGAGCATGAGCAGCTCATGGCAAATTACCATCGTGGTAGCGGCATTGTTGCCGAGTGACTCGAGCACGGATCGCATCATCTATGTGTCAACGATGAGGGAGGCCTTCGTCCAGAAGTGGCCCAGGTCGGGAGGCACCGACCATGCACCTACACGGATATTGGCTGGGCCCAGGCTTGCCCCCTTGGAGGCAGGCCGAACAGTCTCGAGATTCCTCATCACCCCTATCTTCCACGTCAGCGTGCCTCCCGTGGCGCCGGGCAAGAGGATTGTGTTGCGGAAGTTGGGATCAGATGTTTGATGATGTTGTTGTTGTGTTGTTTTCCTTCCTCCCCAGATTTCTCTGCCACCACCACTCCCAATCATCTTGGCATTTTCTTAAATCTGCCCTGGGCGTTGGTTTTGCTGTTTTTTTTATAAGTCAGGTCCCCACACGAATATCACAAACGCCAGAAGGAAACGATTTGAGCTGTGCGTCAAGGATCCAAAGTGCAACCCGGTAACAAGAAAATTGCCAGTGCGGTTTCAAGGAGAACCAAGCCAATCATCCACGGCAGCCGACCAGAGGAGGGGAGGCGTTTGGCAGAGTGCGTCGGCCGACTCGGACTGGCCGCTGGGGAGATGATGGACTTGGAGTACGAGGACAAGGAGGCGGCGGCCATAGTGCACCAAGCCGTAGCTCGCCCACGGAAGGATAGTAGGAGGAAGGATGGTACTGAGATGTGGATGTGGGAAGGGACAGTTGGCCGCTGGTGGTGTCTGCTGTTGGTCGGAGCAAAACTCGATAACGATGTGGGAGATGGTGACGCACCGACGCACCGATGCACCGGGAGTACGAGGGCAAGAAGGCTTCCAGAGTGCACCATGCCGTAGGTCGCCACCGACCGCCCTGTTCGAAGAACCAAAAGCGGCATATTCATAAATTTTCGACGGTCGAGAGTTCAGCGACACGTTCGGCACCGCTCAGTGGAGGCGAGATCCAGTGTGAGACGTCATTCTGCTGGACCCCGCGGGACGCAAGACGTCACTCCGCTTGGCCTCCAGGGATGTGGGAAACTGCTGACAGTTGTGCGCTTTGCATCGTCCATGGTCCACAGGACCCAGGTCTAGTCTGAGTTTGCGAAAGACGGCGCTCTCCTGGCCCCCCAGAGACGCCAGCATTTGGTGGTGAAAATTGCACGCCAGGCACCGCCCACGGAGGTGCGGTCGGGTTCAGGTCTGCGTAGCGCGTCACCCCGCTGGGCCCCCCAGCACGCATAATATTGGCGACAGTTGTGCGCTGGACACCCAATGGGCGTGGGAAACTGGAGACCGTTGCACGCCGGGGAGAAACCTTGGTCGAGCTTAGGTCTGCGACCTCGCGTTTGGCAATGGGTTTGCGAAAGACGTCTCCCGACTATACCCCTCCCAGCACGCGGGAAACTGGCGGCTGCTGCGCGTTTGGCACCGCCCAGCGGAGGCGATGTCTAGTCTGGGTCTAAAGCCGTCACCCCGCTCGACCCCCCAGGGGCGCTGGAAAGCGGTGACAGTTGCACGCGGGCGGTGCCAAAAGAGGCGGTATCCAAGAAACGAAACGAAGGGAAGAGGAGGAGTTGAGAGGAGATGAGGAATGCAGGAGGAGGAGGTGGAGGAGGAGGAGGAGGAGGAGGAAGGAGAAACGGATTCAACATCACGTGCTTTATTCATGAAGAGGGTTGGGAAAGACCAGGGCCCAGCACTCCCTGAATCTACCTTTTCTGGACAATGATCGTCCCATACTTCAGCGTCGTGACTTCTCTCGGCGTTCGCCCCCTGGAGCTGTCGGCCCCGTCCACGGGGCCGGCGGGGGGACCGGCAAACGGAGCCCGACAAGGGCACCCGACGGCCGAGATTGTCCAGAAGCCGCCAGTTTTTTTGGGGGGGGGGAGGGGGGGCTCGCGACGACGAGAGGTCCTTCTCCCTCCTCCCTCCTCCTCCTATCGCTATCGCTATCGCTATCGGCTCGATGTCCTGTCGGACGCAGCCGTCCCCCTCCTCCTCCTCCTCCTCCTCCTCCTCCTCCTCCTCCTCCTCCTCCTCCCTCCTCCTCCTCCTCCTCCTCCTCCTCCTCCCTCCTCCTCCTCCTCCTCCTCCTCCTCTTCCCTCCTCCTCCTCCCTCCTCCTCCCCCTCCTCCTCCTCCTCCTCCCTGCCCCCTGCCCCCCAGGGCGTCCTCGGGCTCTTCGCCGGCCGGCTCGTCGTCCATTTGCGGACTCCCGCGCGGGCGGCGAGGTTTTTTTTTGGGGGGGGGGTCTGGGATCGTCGCATCTCCTTGCGGGCAGGACTCGTGTCCATGCCCACTGCAGCTTCGAGTTTCGGGCTCCCTTCCAGAATCCCGAGGCGCACGGGATGTGACCAACTATCTGGCCCCCCGAGGCTCAGTTTGCGATCCACACCCAGTGCGCCTCGGCCTCGTGGCGCACCTGCCAAGAAAGACCAACACGCACTGGGCATGGGTACACATCTTGCCCGCCTGCTGGAGTCTTCACACAACGGCCGATCGGGACTGGCTGGCCGGGCGCAGGGCTGCCTGCCGGAGGCACTGGAGCGGGGGGCGCGGCCCGCCCTGTGCCGTGGGTGGCTGGGTCCTGGCCGCCGCAGCGGGGCCCGCGTTCTGGAGAAGCCGGACCCTCGGAGGAGGTCGGCCACGCGCAGAGGGGCTGCACGGTCTCTTGGCAGCACCCCGTGCTTCTCAGGAGGCGCGGGTCTTGTCTGTAGATGTCAGGCTGGCGCCCTCTCAGAAGCAGCCTGGGACTGTGGGCCCCGCGCTTCCCAGTAATGCCCGTCGCGCTGCAGTGGCTGGTCCTCCCGTCCGAGCCACCGACGTGGACCTTCCCAGGCTGGACGTTTCGTGGATCCCTTTCTGGCCCAAGTGCAGCCTTCCCTGGCGACCAAGCCTTCCATGATGCCGCTATACTCGAAGGCGTCCCGCGGGCTGCGCTTGAGCTCGACATCCCTTCTATGAAGCCTTCCCCCCTCCCCCCTTCCCCTTTGTTCCTGCCGCCCAGGGAGGTCGGAGAAGAAAGACGACACAATCAAACACGGTCGACGGTCCGCGCGGATTTCTTGGATCTGCGCCTGGAGCCCCCTGGCGGCGCCTCCGGCGCCGCGCCTGGCGAGCTCCGCGCGACAGTGGGTGGGGCCCAGCGCAGATCCAAGAAATCCGCACGGACCTCCGAAAGTTTATGCTTACGCCGCGTTCTCTTCTCCTGGGAGGAGGGCCACTTCTTTTGGGCCTCCTGGAGGTTTCGTCGTCGCGCCTGGATCCGCTCGGAAAAGACAGTCGGGAAGGACCCTGGGCGGTTCCGGTGGAATGATTTTGAGCGGATCTGGGCCGTTGTCTCAAGTTGCCCTCCTCCGAGCCAGGCGCTCCAGAAAGGGCTGGCAGCTCTGTCCCGGCGGAAGGCGGCGGAAGGCCAGCAGAAGCCAACGGAAGTAAAACGAGGGCATTTCCGCTGACGGAAGCCGGCGGAAGGCCGGCGGAAGCCAGCGAAGGTAAAAAATGCGTCCCTGAGGGATGGCGATTCGTTTTGGGCTCATTGTTTCCAGTATTCTCCAGATGGCGCGGCCTTTTTCGGCGAGTCCTGGATGCACAGGATGCCAAGTGTCGTTCCTGCAATCGGCGCTTCTGTGGCCAGGCATCTAGGCACAGAGCTCTTCCGCGTGCATCCAGCTAGTGGCATCCACATATTCCACATCTGAATGTTGCCGTAAGTGTTCCAGCTTTCTGGAAGTACATTGGGTCGGGGGATTGAGAAGCATCGTCGACGCATCGGCGACGCCGCTCCATACTTGATCCGATTTGCTCTTCATTGTCACTGGCGTCGCCGATGCATGGCCGATGCCGTACGATTAAGTCGGGCCTGTCCCCCTACAGGGGCATTTTCGACGAAAAATAACCAATACCCCAAAACATATTCCAAAAATAGTATGGGGACTATGTTTTGGGTATTTGTGTACCTTTGGGGGGTATTTTTGGTGTATTATAATTAGGGGGACACGCCCGACATAACATTTGAGCGTCCTCCCAGTGAGTTGGTGTGTTCCAGGGGAAGGATGTCGAGGAGGGATTGCACCGAGTCGGGAAGGGCAAGGATGCGGATCGATCGCCCCAGAGCAGTCTGAAACGCTCTCAAGGTGTTCCGGAACGCTCTGGAATTGCGGCGGCGCCTGACATTTCCGGACCCGCCAGGTTTATCCTCATAGTTATGCTTGCATCGGGGAAACGTCAGACTCGAGTGCGCTGGAACTCGGGTTTGCGAGCGCTTGTTGACGATCGCGTCCTGCATTCTGACCGTCCAGTTTTCATGGGATGTCTGCAGCGGGAGACCGCGTCAAATGTCCGACTGGATTTCGTCATTTTCATGATTGCCCCGTCAGGCCAACCCGAGTCCCCCGAATCCGAGTCTTACGTCTCTCCGACTTTAGCACCTCATCCGCGGGAAGAGGAGGGAGAGGGAAGAGGAGGAGGAGAGTCCATTTGACTTGTCGCTCGCTTTTTCCCATTCGCCTTGGCGGAGGCTGTCCTCCCGCTCTCTGTTGCGCCTCTTCCTCCTCGTCATCTTCGCCCTCCTCTCATCCTCCTTTTCGTTCTCCCCTCCTTCTCATCCTCCTTCTCCTCCTTCTTGGTTTCGTCATCAAGAGAATGGGAAGAGGAAAGGCACCGAGGCCCCGTGGATCCCTGCGCGGATCGCCATTCTGCAGATTCTACATCGAGGACGCCGGCGGCGCATCACTGGCCGCTCCCCGGGAGTTTGTCGAAGTAGCGCGCAGCATCGAAAGTCGTGACGCGGCGCGTATGCCAGCTATCAAATAGCCGTCGGCCCATCCCGCCACCGTGCTTGGGTTTTGGGTCGGAGTCCTCATTGACGCTTCCTGGGGTCTCTCTCGAGGGCTCTCGGGGGCCTCTGCGGGGGGGTTTAGGGGCCTCTTGGGGGCCATCCTGGGGGCTTTTTGGGAGCCCCTTGGGGCTCTCTTGGGGCCTCTTGGGGCCCTCTTGGGGCCTCTTGGGGGCCTCTTGGGGGCCTCTTAGAGCCTCCTGGGGGCCTCTTGGGACCGAAAGATCGAAATGTTCACTCGGGGTCCTCTTCTGGGCGCCCTCGGGGGGGCGTCCTGGGGCCCCTCTTGGGCCGTCCCGGGGGCCTCTTGGGCCGTCTTGGGGCCCTCTTACGCCGTCTTGGAGCCCTCTTGGGGGCCTTGTTGGGCCGTCCTGGGGCGATCTTGGGGGCCTCTTGGGCATGTTTTGCGGCGGCGACCGCGTGGCTAGGGTGTCCCGCTGCAGGGGTCGTTCCACCGTCCGCGCCAGGGCGCCCAACTCCGCAAAAGACGAAATAGCGAGAACGCGAAAATCCTTGAAAAACTGGTAAAACATACATGATTTTTGCATGTTGGGGCTCTCTTGGGGGTGCTCTTGGAGGCCTCTTGGGCCGTTTTGGAGGCGTCTAGGGCCGTCTGGAGGACATCTTTGGCGTCTTGGAGCGATCTGGAACCGTCTGGAGGCTCTCTTGGACTGCTCGGGACTCTACTCTCTAGGACTGGCTTGGGGCGCTCTTGGGTCGTCCCCGTGGCGTTCCCGACCTTGAAGCCGGGGGGGGGGGGCGGCGGCAGAATGGGGCCCCCGTCGGAGGGACTTTCGGGAAGGTTTTTGACCAGGCACTGGCGAATGGGGCCAAAGACTGTGCCAACCACTCTGTCAGAGCGGTCTCGCCGAGCCGCAGGGCGGGAGCGGCCGGATCCGGGCTTCGCCTCTGCCGCTGGCCCCTGCTCACTGCTTGCCCTCCTGCTCTGGCCTCGGCTCATGACGCTGCACGTTCGGTCAGTGGGATTGCGTATGATCTTGGTCGGAAGTTGCAGCATGTGCATTGCCAGCGGCGGGCGGTTTTTACTCTGTTCCCCGCTTCCCCCAGGAAGCCATGACAAATGTATACACCAGGATTCCGTATACACCAGGATCCGTTTTTTGTTAAAATTTCAGTGCAGGGCCGGACAATGCGTCGGTGTATAGAATTCGGCTCCCAATGTGGAGCGCATCAACGGAAGCATGCTTGACAGAAAGGATGGGTGCCGCGGCAGGCCACACTCGATGAACTTCGCTGGATCCACTTGAAGAAGACAGGCATCTGCGTCCTCCTAAATTTCCATGTCGCGCCCGAGTGCTCTGATTTGGCCCCCGTCCGCCCGTCTCTCTTGATGCACTCCCTGGTGGTTTAATTCAGCATTGGCGCTTATACTTCTGTCCGTGGTCGCAATCTGGCCACATCTGGCATAATCCCGTTTGGTACGGCCTATGTCGGCTTCAACCGGCTTACTCACGGACCGAATTCGGCATGGCTTAATTGCCCTTGAAAAGGGGCTCAACGCCCGCCTTTCATTGTTCTTGCGAAGACGTCTCTCGGGACTTGTTTCCTAACGCCCCTCTCTTGTCAGCTGTGCCATTCGTTCTGCATCCCATGGTCTGTCTCTTCATCCGCGTTCCCCTCGATTGCGGGGAGGATTGCGCAGATTGGTAGAGGCGGGTTTGTGCCCTGCACAGGGTGACGCAGCGGCCGGATCTGCGCTGACCCCACTGTGTGCTCCCAGCGGTCCAGATCCATCTCGTTGGCCGGCCCGGGAGCACACCTGGGGCATCCCATAGGCGGTCCTCAACGATGGCGTCTTGAAGCTCGTGAGGAACCCAGACCCCCCCTGGGGCGTGCAAGAAATCGCGACGAGAATTGTTGTTCGTGTTTTCGGTCTCCGGTGGACCTTGCCGGGCCCCAGGGCCGTCAGACAACGACTGGGGATGAGGTGCTCCCAGGGAATGGGTCGAGACCTCTAGCAGTCCGGCGGGGAATGGGTCGAGTCTTCCGGCGGTCTTAACGTCGGAGATTTGGGTTGAGCCCTCAGGGTAGGAAGTTCCGAGGCGGGAGCGGCATGGAGCAACAGGTGCGCTTGCATGTGCTGGGCCAGCGTCGGGCAGCAGAGGCGATGAGTAATCAGATGAAGAAGACGAAAAGGAAAAACAGCTGCAGCAGCCCAAAGAGCCCAAGACAGTCCCAACTGTTCTTCGAGGAGCCTTGATACAAGCGTCCCTTCAGCTCTCCAGGAGCAGCCTTGAAACACTCTTCGTGGTGATTCTCTCCAGCAGTCGGGAGTCATTGTATTGTTACCTGTACCAGTTTAATCGCCCATGCTTGTTCTGCATGGAACGTCCTTTGCAAAGGCGCTCCTTTAGAACCTAAGCGCCCGCGAATCAAGCGTGGTTCTAGTTCGATGAACAAGTTACGTTGTTCGCAGGTCGGATGTCGTTGGATGGTCCCATGTGACTCGCTTGTCCTCTTCTCCTCATTTCCCCTCGAACCTCTTTGCCCGCCAAGAGCCCCCCAGTACCCCCGGGATCCCCTCACCTCGAAACGCCCCCCTTCTCCTTATCGCCTCGCCTGTTCTCTTCCTCCTCTTCCTCCTTGCCACGCCTTTCCTTCTCCTTGTCCTCTTCCTCCGCGCCAGACCTCGCCTGTTGTCCTCTTCCTCCTCACCTCGCCTCTTTCTCCTCCTCGCCCGCGCCGCCGTCGAGCCCCTTTTATTGGACGCCCAGCCCCCCCCCTCCAGAAACTCCAAGACCCTTATTTAAACCGCCTAACCCGATAGAGACCCTTCCTCCTTTTCCTACATCTGACTCTCCTCCCTCTTCGTACGCTTATCCATACTTATGTTCCTTTTATTCCTCCGCCCCACAACTCCCCACGCCCTCATCTCGATCCTCCTGCTTCTCCTCCTTCCCCACATCCTCGCCTCTCCTCCGCATCCTAACCCATCCCTTTTCCTTTTTCATGACTCCTCCCTGTCGCAGCCTCGGACGTGCCGTCAGGGCGGGATAAGCGGTTCGCTTGAGACTCCTTCGGTATCTATGATATTGCAGCTTGAATGTCGCAACAGTTTCACTGATGGAGAGTTGGCGGTTTCAAAATGTGGATATCGCCATGGTGACGCGTATGCTCGTTTTGACATTGTGCCGTAGGGTCACGGATGGAGGGTGGGTCGTTTGCAGCATGTGGTTCTCGCCATAGGGCCGAGCGCATATGTTTGCAACAGGTTCGTTGATGGGGGGCGGGTGGTTTCAACATATTGTTTCGCGATGGTGTCGCGCACATTCGCATTCGCATTCTGCAACAGTTTCAAGAATGAAGGGCCGTCCCTTTTCATGTTGTGACTCTTGCCGTACCGCCGCGCACATTCGATTCAAATGTTCGCACACGTTTTAATGACGCAGGGCACCTCCTTCTCAAAATGTGTGTCTCGCTTTGGCACCATGTACCTTTGTATTGTATGGTCGAAGGCCCAGGAATGGTGTTCTGGCACGAGGAATGGTGTTCTGGCAGTTTGGGCACAACTGAGGATTCTCAGACTTTTACCTTGTAATGGGCCGCGTCCCGCAGTGGAAATACATTCGTTTAGGGACCTACGAAGAGGGACCGTGCAGGAAGGGTTTATTGCAACATTGTTGATGCGCCTTGGGATGACCCCTCCTCGTTTCCTTGTGCTCCCATCACCCTTAGCGCCCCCCGCACCCAGCAGGTTCCCCCCCCTCCCTCCCCCTCCTTCCCCTCCTCCCCTTCCCCTATTCCCCCTCCATCCTCAGCTCTCCCCCTGACATCCCCTGCGCCTCCCTCCCCCCCCCCGCCGGCAGCGGCCCTGCTCCAGTGCGCGGTGTGCGCGGGCGCCGTGCTGGGCGGCGCGGACCTGGAGACAGACGTGCGGAAGCTCGAGGAGGGGCGGCCCCCGGCGAGGGGTCGGGACCTTGGCAGGAACGCATTCGGCTACCGCGTGTCGCCGGAGTGACCGCTGGTGCAGGCCCAACGGGGGCCCCCCGATCGCTGAACGCGATACGACAGCAGCTGGGCTTGCGCGCCTGGAGGTGTCCCCAACGGAGCCTCCCCCTTGGGCCGCGCACCAACAAGGTCACGGTTGCCTAGAGTCATTCTTGCGCGTGGCCAGAGGCCCCAGAGTTGCGCGCAGCTTTTTTGGACCTCGGCCATGCGGGCGCGTACGTCAGAAACTGTGCCTCAGCGTGTCGCGCCGCCACGTTTGGCCCACCACGCTGCGGCGCGACGCGCTGCTCACGTCCCCGCCAAGGCGCGACACGCCAGGCAAATGTTTTTGACCGCGGCCTTGGCCAGGAGGGCGTATACACCGTGCCAGGGACCAGGGTTGCCCTGGCCAGGAATGGCAGGGATGTGTGCAGGTGTCTTCTGCGGAAGGACATCCGGGCGCTGCAAGCAATCGGGACTGCTGTTTTTGATCCTCGGTTTCGGCCTTTGGAGGTCAGCTGCGGGCGCCACGCGGTGAAAAAGCGTAATTGTAGGATGTGGCCGAGAGATTTACATAGGTCGGGAGGATGAGGTTGGAGAGGAGGGAGTGACGTCAACTGGCGCCTGGTTCCCTCCCCTGCTTCCCCTTACGTCCCCCCGTCTTCCGCCTCATCATTTTCACCCAATGTTCCCCTACCTATACGAGCACCCTTCGGGTGATAAGGAGGTTCGGGGGGGAGGAACCAACGTCTCACTCGATCGGTCTCACTATCGATCTCACTATCGATCTCACTATCGGTCTCGCTCGATCGATCTCACTCGATCGATCTCACAATCGATATCACTCGATTTATTTCATTTGATCGATTTCACAATCGATCTGACGATCGGTCTCACTATCGATCACACTATCGATATCACAATCGATCTCACAACCAACGTCATCATCATCACCATCATCATCATCATCATCATCATCATCATCATCATCAACAACATCATAATCATCATCGGGACACCATCACCATCATCATCACCTCATCACCATTACCATCAACATAATCATCATCATCAGCATCATCGGGACACCATTATCGTCACCATCATCATCCACATGATCATCACCGGGACACCATCATCATCATCACCATAATCATCATCATCATCATCATCATCATCATCGGAACACCACCATTATCATCACCATCATCATCTCATCATGACCATCATCGTGAAAAACAGCATCAACACCATCATCATCATCATCATCATCATCATCATCATCGGGACACCATCGTCATCAGCAACATCATCATCATCCACATCATCATCATCATCATCATCATCATCATCATCATCATCGGGACACCATCATCATCGTCACCACCATCATTACCATCATCTTCATCATCTGGACACCATCATCATCAACATCATCATCATCATCACCATCATCGGGCCACCATCATCAAAATCACCATCATCACCTCATCATCGTTCTCTTCACCAACATCATCATCATCATCGGGACACCATCGTCGTCATCATCATCATCAACTTCATCGTCATCATTATCATCAGGACACCATCATCTTCATCATCAACATCATCACCAACAGCATCATCATCAACAACATCATCATCATCATCGGTGCACCACCATCATCATCATCACATCATCATCTCATCATCATCAACATCACCATGATCATCAACATCCTCACCATCATCGGGTCACCATTATCATCATGAAAAACATCATCATCATCATCATCATCAGCATCTTCATCATCGGGACACCATCATCATCACCACCATCACCATCATCATCACCATCATCATCATCATCATCAACATCATCGACATCATCCTCAGCATCATCACTGGGACACCGACGGGACACCGGCGGGACACGGGCGGGACACCGCTCGCCACCAGCACCCCGGTCAGGAATCGTTTGGTCCGGCCTCGCCTCAGCCGGAGGCGGGACCTTGGCGGGACACCGCGCGCCACCGGCACCCGGTCAGGAATCGTTTGGTCTGGCCGCGCCTCAGCCGGAGGCGGGACACCGGCGGGATACCGCGCGCCACCGGCCCCCGGTCAGGAATCATTTGGCCCGGCCGCGCCTCAGCCGGAGGAGATTTCTTCTCGCCCGCCCACGCAGCTTCGCCTCGCTGCCACGCACGGCACGCACGAACACGAAACCAAAACCGATTTCCCGGTAGGGAGGCTTTCCGTTCCACTTCGATCTCACCCCCTCACCTCCGATCTCCTAAATGTGGGCCTTTGATATTACTCAGACGCTTACTACTCACCTTCTTCCTCCTCCCCCTCTTGCACACTCTCAGACTCAACCGCGCTCAGACTCACTCATCACATCCAGACCCACTCATACTAAGACTCACTCACCTTCACACTCGCTTGCACTCATATTCGCTCACACTCAGACTCAATCGTACTCACATGCAATCAGACTCACTCATACCCAGACTCACTTACAGCCATGCCCACTCATTTTCAGACCCACTCATACGCAGATTCACTCTTCCTCATTCAGGCTCAGTCACACCATTTCCTCATTCAGACTCATGCATCTTCAGAACCACTCATACACAAACTGTGAGGATGTCTCAGGCGAGGTGTTAGGTTCAGCACTCCCGTTGGAGGGGTCGCCAGGGGTGGGGGCACTGCGGGATTCGCGCCCAGATTGCATGCTTGGGTGCCCAACACCCTTTGCTCCCAGGGCATGTTGTGTTTCGATGTCTCAGGCGAGGCGTTGCTTCAGGCACTCGCAAGGGGGGGCCGCCAGGGTGGGGGGGCACTCCTAGGAATTGCGCCCAGATCTGGGTGCCCAACATCCTTTGTTTTCGGAGCAGATTGTGAGAATGTCTCAGGTGAGGCGCTGGCTTCAGCACTCCCGAGTTGGGGCCGCCAGGGGGGGGGACATTCAGGATTCGCGCCAATATTGCGGAGATGTCTCGAACGGTGTGCCTCTTTGGGTGCCCAGCAGTCTTCACTTTCGGAGCAGATTGCGAGGATATCTCAGGCGAGGCGTTGGTTTCAGCACTTCCAAGGGGTAGTCGCCAGGGTGGGATATTCAGGAGTCGCGCCCAGATGTTGCGGATATCTGAAGCGGTTTGCCCGTCCAGGTGCCCAACATCCGTTGCTTTCGAAGCAGTCTGTGAGGATGTCTCAGGCGAGGCGTCGGTTTCAGCACTCCCAGGAGGCGCCCCTAGGTGTGGGGCATTCATATTGAGATAATCTCAGAACTCAGACTGATTATATTCACACTCGCACTCAGATTACTCACGCTCCAATGCGCTCAGGCCTTTCACGCTCACATCCACACTCAGACGATTCAAAGTCACTCACACATCCCCGTAGACTCACTCATGCCCAAACCAACGCACATGCAGACCCATTCACGCTCATATTCACCTGCTTTCAGCTTATCGTACTCAAGGCCCGTTCATCGTTCGACTCTGTCGCACACAACGCTCGCAGCGGGAAAGATGTGGGTACATAGATGCACATCTGGGGATCTCCGCGTCGAATACTTGCGGTCGTGACGCGTCGGTGTGGTCCGCCGCGGTTTGGCATTGTGCGGCTGCTGCAGGCTGCCCTTTTTCCGCGATCTTTTGCCACAAGAGTGCCAGCCCCTCTTCCCTCTCCTGCGACCGTGGAGGAAGGGCCGGGGGACGGGCTGGCCTCCTGGAGGGCCGTCGTCGTCACGACCGGATTCTTAGCGAGATCCTGGTCAACACGAGCTCCAAAACAGGCCGGGGGGGGTCTTTCGAATGAGGTGTACGATGGAGGAGGCCCCATTCCTCCTGCTGATCCGTGTTTGTCTCTTCCTCATGATGGATTGGTTCTTTGTTCCGAAGATATGGAAGTGGCGGATTGAGAAGGAATAAGACGACGAGAACGCCGAGGACGCCAGCGATGACGAAGAATACGAGGAGCAAGAGCGTAAGCGTCAGCATTAGCGCCATCATCAGTAATCAGTGCCACTAGAACCACGAGCAAGTCTCTGAAATGGAACACGTGCAGGACTGTGGCCAGGACGAACACCAGGTCCACGAGCATGGCCATGAACCCAGGACCAGGAGCACTCCAGCGCGGGAGCAGGAGCAGGGCTTGTAGTTGGAGCATGGCAGGAGCAGGATGTGCAGGAGGAGCGATAGCAGGAGCAGGAACGATGGCACAGGTAAGGCGTAGAGCAGGCGGGTCGACGGCCGGGAGGCCTACTCAACGAATATCGGCCTGGCCTTTCAAGTCCAGGACGACATCTTGGACATCACCGCTTCATCAGAGGAGCTCTCGTGGCTTCTTGGGGGCCAGCCACAGTGCATCGATTCTCGAGGGCTGCCCCCTTCTTCCCAAGACTTCCCCTGGTCTTCCTTCCACGTCCTCTCTCTGCTCTCGTCTTCATGACTTCCCCTTCATCTCCACATTCGACATTTCACGAAGCAGCAGCAGAAACGGGACCAGAGAAATATGTGGGGAGATAGAGAAGGAGACAGAGAGAGAGAGAGAATTAAATGAGGGAAAGAGAGAGCGAGAGAGAGGGGGAGGGAAAGAGAGAGAGAGGGAGAGAGCGAGGGGGACGAGAGAGAGAGAGAGAGGGAGAGACAGACAGGCAGGCAGGCAGGAAGACAGGCAGGCAGACAGGCAGGCAGACGGACAAGCAGACGGGCAGACAGAGACCCCTGGGGGACTTCTGGGGCATCTTAGCTTCTGTTCGGGCTCGCTTGGAGAATCCCTGGTTCACTTTGAGCCCATTGGGCCCGTTTTGGAAGGCCTGGGGGCTGTGTGGAGGCGTCTTGGGGCCATCTTGGGTTGGTCTTGGGCCGTCTTGGAGCAATCTCGGGGCTGGCTTGGCGGCCGTCTCGTCTTGGGCCCGCCTGTGGTCGCGCTCGGACGCTGCAGCGCCTGGGCGAACCAGTGGGTTCTGGTTTCTTTTTGGGCGGCCTCGTTGGCCAGCTCGTCCTCGGCCACCTCCTCCTCTTCCTCCTCCTCCTCCTCCTCCTCCTCCTCCTCCTCCTCCCCCGAATGCCTTGCTCAGCAGGCAGATTGGCTGTGAGCGCTTGATGTCGGTCTGTTCCGGGCGGCGCACGGCTGGTGCAGTGCAGTTGGCCAGCTCGGAACCCTACGGGGACCACTTCGGAGCCGTCCTCCGGGGACGGCCAAGTGGTGGGTGACGGCCAGGGCGGGTGGACGTCATGACCGGGGACCATGACATCTCCCCGGATTTTATGGCCCCCTCATCTTAATCTAATTCGTCTCGTGCACCCCCCCTCCCACACCCTCCCACCCCTGGGCCGCGCACATACCTCAGACCATGAAGCGCCCCCTCCCTGTTGGACATCCCCCTTTCTGGACGCCTCAATCCTGAGATAAAGTGGAGAATGACCCCGCATCGCTCGGACGTGTGTGCATTTTCCTCGGCGAGGACCATCGAGGATACTTTTGGGTCATCTTGCGAGGAAATGCACGCACGAAGCCGAACAAAAATACGGGGAATGGACGTCCAAGCGATGTCAAGATGCCGAAATTGTATTAGGAGGTTGATGCAGATGGCGCTGCTGGCCCAGGCGAGAGCTGGGCACGTACACGCGCGGCCAGATGGTTGTCCAGCTTTCGACTCCTCCATTGCCAGATAAACCTGGCCTCTGCCAGCGTGTGGCCTCTGGATGTTGCAGATGCGAGTCTTCAAGTTTGTTGGTGCCGGCACAGGGCCAGATAGCCAGATAGCCCAGGCTTCATGCAGGCGAGTTTTCAGTGTTACCCACTCAGCTTGTTGTGTTGGGTTCTCGTGCCGAAGACAGCGCCCCGCGTCTTCCCCTCCCTCATCCTCTCCTCATTAGCATCATCATCACCACCATCATCATAATCATCATAATCGTACTCATACCCATACTCATACTCATCATCATCATCATCATCATCATCATCATCAGCAGCAGCAGCAGCAGCAGCAGCAGCAGCATCAGCATTGGCATCAGCATCAGCATCAGCATCAGCATCACCATCACCATCACCATCGTCATCACCCGTTTCAGCACACCCGCCACACGCTTCGTGGGCACATGGGGAGCTCCACCGAATGCCCCAGTGGCGGTGTTCGCAGGCGTCCCCGCCACCCATTCCGGAACACCCCTCATACGCTTCGTGGCCCCATAGGGAGCTCCACAGAAGGCCTCAGTGGCGGTGTTCGCAGGCGTCTCCGCTATCCATGTCGGCACACCCCTTACACATTTCTGGCTGGCCCCCAAGGGAGCTCCACCGAAGGCTCCAGTGGCGGTGTCCGCATGCGTCCCCACCACCCATTCCGGCACACCCCGCACACGTTTCGTGGCCCGATAAGGAGCTCCACAGAAGGCCTCAGTGGCGGTGTTCGCATGCGTCTCCGCCGCACATTTCGTCACAACCCTTACACATTTGATGGCACTCCTAGGTAGCTCGACCGAAGGCCAAAGTTTCGGGTTCGCATGCGTCCCCGCCACCCCATTTCGGCACACCCCTCGAACTTTTCGTGGCCCCACAGGGAGTTCCATCGAAGGCCCCAGTGGCGGTGTTCACATACGTCTCAGCCACCCATTTCGGAACACCCCTGACACCAGTGGCGGTGTACGAGTGCGCCCCCACCACCCATTCCGGAACACCCCTCATTCGCTTCTATGCCCCCAAAAGGAGCTCCATCGAAGGCACCGGTGGCGGTGTTCGTAGGCGTCCCTCCACTGATTTCGGCACACCCCTCACACGCCTCGTGGCTTCATAGGGAGCTCCACCGAAGACCCCAGTGGCGATGTTCGCATGCGTCCCCGCCACCAATATTGCACATCCTTCACACGTGTCTTGGCCCTTTTGGAAGCCCCACCGAAGGCTTGGCGGTGTTCGCATGCGCACCCGCCACATATTTCGGCACACACCTCACACATTTTGTTGCCCCATAGGCCCCATTGGCGCTGTTCGCATGCGTCCCCGCCACCCCCTTTCGGCATGCCCTCTCACAGGTTTCGTGGTCCCATCGGGAACTGCACCGGAGGCGTCAGTGGCTGTGTTCGCACGAGCCCCCGCCACCCATCCCGGCACACCCCGCACACGTTTCGTGGCCCTTTTGAAAGCTCCACCGAAGGCCCCAGTGGCGGTGTTCGCATGCGTCCCCGCCACCCATTTCGGCACACCCAACGCTTTTCGCGACCGCATAGGGTGCCCCACCGCAGGCCCCAGTGGCGGTGTTCGCATGCGTCCCCGCCACCCCCCTTTCGGCATACGCTCTCACAGGTTCCGACGCCCCATAGTGAGCTGCACAGAAGGCCCCAGGGGCGGTGTTCGCATGGGTCCCCGCCACCCATTCCAGCACACCCCTGGCACGTTTCGTGGCCCCATGGGGAGCCCCAGCGGAGACCCCAGTGGCGGTGTTCGCATGCGTACCCGCTACCCATGTCGGCACACCCCTCGCACGCTTCCTGACTGACCCCATAGGGAGCTCCACCGAAGACAATGCCCCCGACTGCGTTATTCAGAACTGCGTATGGTTGGGTCCTTTTCCAGATTAATTTCTGGTGCCAGCACATCTGCAGAGTTTACTTACAGTGTTCACTCCTCGGGGGGATTCCAGGGGCAGTCTTCTGGCCCCGTGAATCCCATCTTGGGTATATTGGAGGCCTCTGGCGCATCTCAGAGGTCGTCCGAGGCCATTCTGGAAAGCGCCCCCAGTGGTGGAGACTAGGGCGGGATGTCAGGGCAACAGTTGGGGGGGCGACGACGAACAAAGGACTAGCGAGAATAAAAGGCCAGCCGAACCCCAATGACATTTTTCCACCTCCTCACTTCATGTTTCCACTCGCTTCTCACGAACAGCCTATACTTCCTGGTGTGTTAGCTCGGAGGTGCTCCCTTGACCGCCTTCTACTGAGATCTCTTGCTCCGGGCATCGGCGGTGCCCCCGCCTGGTCCCAGGAGCTGGGTAAGACCGCGGGAAAGGACCTGGAGCAGGCCTGCGGCTGCCCTGGCCGCCCGCGCGCGCGGCTGGGGACGGGGCGGATCAATCATCAAAGTGGGGACGCGCACTAAGAAACCATATGGTTTTCGTCAGGGTGCCCTGGGTTTAATGGTTTCCAGCGATGCGCGCTGACTTCTCCCGATCGTTAAGGAACTGTTGCCCCGTGGGTACCCGGGGTTTCTCCGATTGGATCCCTTGGGTAAGAACCTCAGGCCCTGGGCAAGAAGCTTCGCGGAAGTTCAGGGCTGGGCTCCTTGCGAGGGTTTCTCGCGGTCGCGTCCCCACTGCACACCTCTTCCTGCAGGTATTCCTGCTCCAAGTCCGTCTGCAGCCATTTGGGCTCCAGGTGGAGCCGCGGACCCATGTGCGCAGCTGAGGGGCTGGCTTGCTCGATGGCCCCGCCGCGCAACGCTTCTCTCACGCCCTTCACGGCGAACCTCGGGCACCCTCGGGCAGTCTGTTCATATCCATGGTCTTCGAGCCCAGGATGTCGGCGGAGCATCTCCCTTTCAGGCAGATGGCATTAGGGGATCAACTGCGGGGGGGTAGGGGTAAGGTTCGCAGGTGGCTTCCTAGTCAGCTCACCCTCGACGGAGATCGCCCACACTCGGGAACCTGCGTCACCGCGTGCTGTCGACCCGCTCGGGCATACGCCCGTCAGCGTCGAGCGACGAGTGGCGACGCGGACTCGGCCGCGGCAACGCACGTCGCCGAGACGTAGCGAGGCGGGCTGGAGCAGCTGCACTCCAGGGTGGCACAGCTTGCGGCTGACACTCACAACGGGCTCAAAGCGTCGCAAACTTGGTTGCCTCGATACGCGCGTTTTGAAGCGCAGCACGTCCCGTGTTCAAGACGTCCGTGTCAATACGTTGCGTGCTAGCTCCACGTGTTGGGCCACGTTTTGGCGGATGTATCGCGTCGAAACCAAGTTTTCAGCCTACGTGTTGGGCTCCGTATCAATACGGTACATGTTGCGGGTTGCGTATCGGGGCAAATAAGGTAGCAAAAAAATGGTTCCGAGGCGACCGATCTGAATATCGATAATCGCATCCAGGAGACCAAGGCAACGAGAAATCCATCAGCAGCACGGTTCGCCTTGCGTTCGATTGGGGCGGCCATTTTGATGGCACCCATCGCCAGTTCGGCAGCTCAGTCACTGGAGAGAGAAGCACATGCCAGCATTTGGGTGATTGGATGTCCACGACAGCTGTTCAGAGCGGCAAGCGCTGGGTGCCATCGGAGACCTCGTGCAGAGCGGGGCCACCGCCAGCCTGGAGGCACAATTTCAAGACGGTCTACGACATCGCGTCCGACACGCACGTGGGCGCGAAAGCTTTTTTGTGCTGTGCACGGGTCTCTGTTGTGAAGCGGTGCGGCGCCAGTGCGAATGCCAATGCGGACTCTCATACGGTCTGACCGAGGCATCAGATCGAGGTCGGCTCAGGGATGGTACATCGATGTTCTTCGTGGTTGTTGGATGTTCTTGTGCATCCTGGGGGAGGGTAGCCTTGGAAGTTCTGTGTATTTCTGCCGGCGGAGGGTCCCGTGTTCTTAAAGGATGTTTTTCTGTCTTGGGTCTGGCCGTTTACGAAAGGGCGTACGCTTGGGATGATCAGTGCGTGGGAGCTCGCGCCGCGAGGACGTTTCGCTCGCATCTCCAGCAGATGTTGAGGTGTCGAGTCGCGTGCAAGGGACGAGGTGGTTGCAGTCGGCCTCGCGCAGAAGAGGGGTAGGGGGAGGGGCGACGGCTTCTTAGAAGCACTCTGCTTCTTAGAAGGCGCGGGCCTTATCTGTAGATGTAAGGCAAGCGACAAGCGCCTTCCTCTTCGGCGCCGGCTCTGGATTCAGGACCCTGGCGTTTTTGGCTGCCTCGCCCCGCAGTTCTGACGCTGCTGGTGTTCCTGCCCCAGGGTTGTCGGCCCCGCGCTCCTGTGCGGCAGCCCCCAGCGGTCGCCCAGAATGCCCGCTCGCGTCTCTTGGGATCCACGCGCGCCCCGCGGCATGCCCAGGCAGCACCTGCGAAGTGGTTGGCGCGCAGCTCCTGCGAGGGGCGGGGCACGGCAGCCGCACGCCTCCCTGCGCGGGCGGGGGGAGGCCCAGGGCCACCCACGGCAGAGCTGCTCCGGCTGCTCTGGCTTCTGCAGCAGAGCGAGGTGGGCGTCTGCCGGTGTTTCGTCAGCGTGGCCCGTTCGCCACGCGAGCTGGCTGCCTCGGCTTCCTCGCAGGCTGTGCTCCTCCGAGTCCGCGGCCGCCGGAGGGCGAGCCTGTGGACTGGACGGCCCGACCAGGAGCTCCGGGGCGGCAGAGCAGAGTGCCGACTTCGCTTTCTCCTGCGCGCGCGCCGCTCGGCCACGCGCGCGCCTGCTGCGAGGGTCTCGGCGCGGGACGTCGCGGTCCCGCTCGGCGAGCCCACGTCGCTCCCGAGCGAGGAGGCGCGCGACTCGGCCCGGCTTCAGGGGATCGCGGCGTGCGCGGCTGCGCGCCCGCGGGCCGCGGCGCTCCGCAAGAGGGCCTCCCGCGGCGAGGGCTTCCCGAGGCGGCCAGCTGGAAGTTTTTGGGGGGCGGAGCGGCCCCCTTCGAGAGGCCAGCAGCGCTGGGCCCGCCACGGCGGCGAGGGCCTCCACTCAGAGCAGGAGCTGCCCCCGCGCCCTCTGGGCGCGTAATTAGTCCGGGCTGCGGGAACAGCAAGGACCATGCACTTCAGCAGGGCATCCAGCGAGATGCTTTTTCAGGGTAGGGCGCCTGCCCCCCCCCCCAACCCACCCGTGTAAAACTTCTTTGGAGCTCTCTGAGAGGCTCTAAAGAAGCCTTTCAGCGGCTGCCAAGAAGCCTCTCCGAGGCTCGCCAGAAGCTCGTCAGAAGCACCAGCCAGGGAATCACCCCTCCAGTCGGGAAAGAACCCAGCCAACTCCTCACCGTCAAGCCCAACACTACCCGTCCAGCCGGGGAATACCTCACCAAATCAGGAACACACAATTCGACCGTCCAGGGGGCTCTCCCGTGCGATCGGCAATTTGCATCCACGACCGCGCCAGGGGTTGGCCCGTTCAAGTAGCCATTTGCAAAGGGCGCCTATGCAAGTGGCCCCCGAGACCCAGTTTCGCTCAACCGCGCGGTTCAGGACCCAGTTGGGGGGGAGTGTCGGGGGGCGAATCTCACACGCCTACAGATCCCAAAAGTGTTGGCGGATGTCACCCTTGCTTTTTGTTGCGCGCTCTCTCTCTCTCTCTCTCACTTTCTCTTTCTCCCACTCCCTCCTGGAGTTTGTGGGTGCCTGCCTTTCTGCACTGGCTGGCCCATTCGAGGTCCGTGGCCACCGTCTTTGCTGCTTTCTGCAGTCCGAGGCCGATGTCGGGGATTCATTCGTTCACGCGTCTGGAGCAGCTTGACGGCAGCCTGGAGGTTAGGAGATGCCGACACGTGTTCACTACGCTTTTCTGCCCGCCTTGTTCACTCTTTGAAGACGTATCGGCTTCAGCATGTGTTTGCAAGAGGAGTGCGAATGCGAATTGTCCAGGATGGTGGGGATGGTTGGGCAGCTCACCCACACTTACACCGTGTCGGGCGAGAAAGGGGGATTGAGAAAGTGGGAGGTACGACATCTGCTGCATGCACCTCGTTTCGGCCTCGTCGCAGACGTTCTCCTCGATACGTTGGCGCATCTGGTGCCAGGAGGCGCCTGGGAATTGAGTCGCCGAGCCCCCCTTCGCCACACCCCTCTCAGCCCAGGCCCAGCACAGTTAGTAATAATCAGGGTTCTCGGGTCCCGATGCCGGCTTCTCACGAAACCGAGCGGGCGAGACCGTGGATCAGTTGGGGCGGCATCCGCTCGTCTTGCCGAAGTCGCCAGCTGAGGGCATTATTCCTCGCAACACGTGCTCGAAGAGTCATGTGCTGGGCTGGAGTGTGGGCACAATGAGCTTTGTGTGCGCAGCAGGACAAGACTACCTACCCGAAGCTGATGGGCTTAGACGGCGCCAAGCAGGAGGCAATCGCACACCACATGTACTATTTTAGTTGCGCATCTTCCTATCTGTTGTGCCATGGAGGAGAGTTGTATCACAAGGTTGATTGGTCGCCACTAGCGACATATTGCTCTTGCTGGTTCTCTGGCCTGGTTCTCTCCCTTTTCAGGGCCTGATGATCCTCGTATGTTTGCTCACCCACCTCCTATACGCTCTTCATCCTGCCCCTGCCTCTGTTGCATCCGTCGGAGATCTCAAGACGCCTCACTGTGTATCTCTAGGGCTTTGCCCCCTGGCGGCGGCTTATTTCTGATTGGTTGGCCGTATGGTTTCCTAATTTGTGGCTTAATAACTTGGCAGGATGGCTGATTGACTGGCTGGCTGGCTGACAGGGCGGGATGGGGCGTGGGAGGAGACCAGGGGAGGGGTAAGGCAAGGCGGGGACCAGAGGATCAGGGCATTGGGAGAGGGTGCGCATTTTGTTGCGAGGGATAGTGGCAATGGGAGCTCGGATCTATGGTTCCCCAACGATCGCACGAGGGAGTCCTACTTGGGTTTCCAGGATCTTGCCCAGCTTTCCGCATGCGGCCGTTGGCACATTGATGCCCCATGGTTTGGTGTCCAGGGGTTTGTGATCTGTGGTTGATGCCCCAGGGGTTCGTCTTCTCCTCAGTCGTCCTTTGGAGCGTCGGGGTGCCCCATGGGCCAGTGCACCACGGTGCCCAACGAGTGGCGCGCTATGGCTTGGACGGCATTCGTGTGGCAGATTCCGGAGGAGCACGCTCTGATTCCCCCCACGAGACGCCAGATCCGATCCGTGCTCCGATCCATGCTCGCTGATGATCCGACCCATGCTCGCATGTGCACCTGTGCGTGCACACCGTCCTATTGGTGCTAGGCCCACGCGCCGGCACCGCGTGCACCGAGATTCACGATCCCTGGGAGCGCGGATGCGGTGCTTCTTGCCCCGGCTCGTGGCCACGGGCGTGCCGACCCATTGCTCAGGGCAACGATAGGGGGGGATGGGCATAGGGGGGGATGCATCGACACGCAATCGCCCATTGATCGCCGATAGGGGCCCGATAGCCCCAACCTGCCCAGGAAGGTACGGGCTTACTATCGGAGGTCGGCGACGTATCGCCGATTCCAGGTCGATGCATCCCCCCCTATGCCAGTCCCCCCCTATCGTTGCCCCTCAATTGCAGTGCAGGAGGGGGCACACGAGGGAACGACATACAGGCAGCGTGGCCCAACGCGGACCCACTGCGGACCCACTTGAGACGCCCTGGCTTGCGCACGGTGAACATATTCTTTGGGACCCAGGCGACTCGCTGCGATGGACTGGAGCCGGTAAAATAGATCTCTCGGGTTTGAGGGGAGCGTCGCTTGTGACAGGGCCATCACAGCTTGTCGAGAGCTCGCAGGCCTGGGAGCGCGGATGAATCTCACTGTCTGTGTCCCAGGGGGACCGAGATGCAGAGCGGATTCCGCCTGGTGGGGCCTACGGGCGACCCACAGTGCGGCGGTCGCGCGCGCGGACAGCGCTGGCGCCGATCTGGACGACTGCGCCCCGGGCCCGACCTCACTGGCGGCACTGCGGCGGGCGACGGCGGCGGCGGCAGCACGACGCGGGCCTGGCGCGCAGTGCCAGCGCGCTGGGTCGCTCGCCGCGCCGCCTCTGGGCTTGCCGTCGCTGCAGGAGCCTCCGAGCACGCGGGCCGGATCACCGTCGACTGGACGTCAGAATTACCTTCTCGCCAGGGTGACCTTTGGTGCGGGCCCAACGGCGTCCGCCGATCGCTGAACGCGAAGCGGGTGCAGCGGCTTGCGCGCCCAGGTTTGGCCACCCCGCGTCCCCCGTTCAGCCGCACACCATAGGCCAATCGTTCCCAGGATCATCCCCAGACCTCCGAGAACCGGATGTTTTCAAAGGGCGCGTTTTCATAGATTTCGGCCTCGGGGGCCCGTCATATCGGGCCCAGGACCATCAAAAACGGATCCGGAACAAAACAACATCCCCAGGAAGGGGTCGGGACCTCTGTGGCCGCGGATCGGATGAACAAAAGCACACAACACAGGATGCCTGAATCTAGAGTGCAGACGGAAGGAGGCGACCGTGTTGACGCGGCTGGCAGCGTCAGCCAGAGCCCACGGCAGATGTTCCAAGTAGCACCCCGAGGGCTTCTTTTTATTTCTCCGCTCGACGGTCGCCAACCGATCCAGCCTGCGGACGGCGAGGTGGACTCGAGGGTCTGCGACCTTCTCGCCGAGATGCAGTGGAGCGGGAGCGGTGCACTAGCTGCGCACGGTGGTGACGGGCCCGCGGCCCAGGGTGGCGCGCTTCGCAGCCGGCCCGCCTGGTCGAGTGGGCTCCTGGCTGCGAGGAACTCGCGCCCTCGCGCGCGGCGGCGGCGTCGACCGCGGCCTGGCGCCAGCCTCGCGCGCGGCGGCGCACGGCACGGAGTCTGCAGCTGGAGGAGGTGGCAGAAGCGAGGGGGCAGAGCCGAGCAGCGCGGATGCTTTGCCTGACCTGCCGAATTCTTCGAGCTTGCATACGGCCACGACTCTGAGATGAGGAGCAGCGCAGCCCGGGTTCGCATGGGCTTCGCTGCTCCTTTGGCATGTACATGGTCGCGCCGTTTTTTTACCGCGCTCCTCTTGCTCCCAGCTCTTGGGGCCACGGTGGGCTCCGTGGCGTGCTGGAGCATTCCTCATGATCGCAGCTTGACGCGTAGTACGTGCGAATTCAGAGAATCCGGGAGGCACCGTGGGGACTTCCCACGTTTGCGCTCTCCGTTAGAGTGGCAAGGTGATGCGCTGGCGCTCTTACACGTTGCACGAACAGCCGTTTCATTTGTTTGGCAATGTGAAGTCCCCGGGGTTCTCGAGCATCCCTTAGTCGACTCCGGGGCAATTGTGCGACGGTCATGCTTCAGATATTATTTATTTTTGCGATTGCCCGATTGCTTCTCCTTCGCGCGCGTCCCGTCGTTCGACCCATACCTCGGACTGCCCTCTTGCAGGCGAACCGCCTCTTCGAGGAGGCGATAGGCGCGCCGCCGCGTCGCCGCCCAGCCACCGCGCCGCCGCCTGGAAGCGGGGGGGCAAGCGCGCGCCCACGCAGGCCGCGGCAGGCAGGGTGTGAGGCAAGCGCCTCCGCCGCCGCCATACGCCTGCGTCGCAGCCGCATCGGATCGCTCGAACGCCTGGGAGCGGGCTGCTGCATGGCAGCCGCGGCCCGCAGCTTCGCACCACCATCACCTTGGATGTTCATTTTGGGGACCTTCCTGGAGGCCACCTGAGGGATCTGTTCGACTCGAGTGCGACTCAATTAAGACGCAAGCTCAGCCCAAGTCGACGGGCGTTCGACGCAGCTTCGACGCACGAGTGGAGCGAATGGCTCCATGAAGGTCCCCAGAATCAGCATCTAAGTCCTTCGAGGAACAACGCAGCGGCGCAAGCATACATTTCCAGCGAGGCGCCGCCCCGTCTCTGGGGGCCGTCAGGAGACGTCTCAGGCTCACATATGGGAAAGGGAGGTCCCTAGGCCTGCCAGATTCGGCTGTTGCTAGAAGTGTCCCTGGCCTGAGGTGGCCCCCAGGATTTCCAACTAGACCCACACGGCCTCCAGAGCACCCCAGAGGGCTCCCGAGTCTCCAAAGTTGATCGAAGAGTTGGTGGCAACTTTGGCCAGGGGCACTTGTAGCAACCCCCCACAGATGGGGTCCCAATAGATGCGGTCGGAGGATCGCACCGCATCGCCGATGCATCGGCGATGCGGCTCGATGTGGAGCGCAGTGTTCTCCACGCCGACGGCGACGATGCGTCGGCGGCGTCGCGGATGCATCGCCGATTCATCGGCGATGTATCGCCGATGCGGTGCGACCCTCTCACCCCATCTTCTCGGACCCCATTCATACGTCTTCTGGAAGGCAGGTCGGGGTTGGCCATCTGCTCCGCAATAGCCGAGGAATCTGCAGTTGAATGAAGAAAAGCTGCGCGAACATGGATTTCCGAAGCTCCGCGCAGATTTTTGTTGGATGGGCCCCTGGCCCACGCGCAGATCCAGGGTTATCCGCGCGGACTTCCGCAAAGGTCATGCTCCCACCGCCTCCTCCTCCTCCTCCTCCTCCTGCCCCTCCTGCTCCTCCTCCTCCTCCTCCTCCTCCTCCTCCTCCTCCTCCTCTTCCTCCTCCTCCTCCTCCTCCTCCTATCCTTATTCCTTATTCGAATATACTCCTACTCCCCCCTCAGGCCGGCAGATAGCGGGCGCATCCGGGTGGTCCCATCCTAACATGTAAAAAACAATACAAAATCAACATGCTTCTTATTTTTTCCTCTCGACATGGACGTCCTGTCGTCCACGGCGATAATCCATTGCAAAAATACCACAAAGAGCACACGCGCGCGTTCATGTCAGAATCCTACCGAACACCGTGTGTTTGCAAGCATTTCAACATAAAAACATCAAAAACCCAATGCTTTTTCACAAAAATTGTACAAATTTCCCGCCCGGGCTCTCTTGCTGAAATCATAGGAAAACCATAGGAATCTTAAGAATTCGGTCAAATCCAGCGATTTCACGTCATCGCGCGGTGCACTCGCGATGCTCTGTCATGCACCCAGGCCGCGAATCCTGTGCAAAAAAACCACAAAGAGCACACTCGCGCGTTCATGTCAGAATCCTACCGAACACCGTGTGTTTGCAAGCATTTCAACATAAAAACATCAAAAACCCAATGCTTTTTCACAAAAATGCTTTGGGGTGTCCTGTCAGACCGTCGGGCTTCCTCCGGCCACCTCTGGCTTCCTGCGGTGTACCGGGCCATTCTCGACTCGTCTGGCAATGCGTGCGCGGCATTCAACACGCGCTCGCCAGTTCCCGTCGGCAACCGCCATCGCGGCCGCATCAGCTGTACCAAACCGGCTGGCCGGTGTGACTTCGGCCCCCAGTTGTGCCAGCTTTGCTTCTTATGTTGTGGGAGGGCGGGTGGGACTGGGCATGCCATGCTTGACTCGCTCGAGCTGGCTAGCTTGACTCCTACTCCTACTCCTACTCCTACTCCTCCCCTCCTCATCCTCCCCCCCTTCTCCTCCTCCTCCTCCTCCTCCTCCTCCTTCTCCTCCCCCTTCTCCTCCTCCCCCTCCCCTCCTCCTCCTCCTCCTCCTCCTCCTCCTCGTCCCCTCCTCCTCTTCGTCCTCCTCCTCCTCCTCTCCTCCCTCCTCCTCCTCCTCCTCCTCTCTTCCTCCTCCTCCTCCTCCTCCTCCTCCTCCTCCTCCTCCTCCTCCTCCTCCTCCTCCTCCTCCTCCTCTCCTCCTCCTCCTCCTCCTCCCCCCCCTCCCCCTCCTCCTCCTCCTCCCCCTTCCTCCTCCTCCTCCTCCTCCTCCTCCTCCTCCTCCTCCTCCTCCTCCTCCTCCTCCTGCTCCTCCTGCTCCTCCTCTGACGGTTGGGGAGGTCACCGCATTGCGCCAGGGGGAGCGCTGCCCAAGCAGCTCCTGACCTCGTGGTCAGCAGTACCGAAGCAAGCGCGCCGCCAAAATGGATCATGCGTCTGCCTTCAAGTTGCCTCGCCCGAGCTGCAAGGGCCCCCCTGTGTGCGTCTTGGTTCCCCAGATGAGGTCCGAGTAGGTGGGGTCGCAGGATCCCACCGCATCGTCGATGCGGCTAGATGTCGAGCCCGATGTTCTCCACGCCGACGGCGCCGATGCATCGGCGACGCTTTTGATGCATCGGCGATGCGTCACCGATGCGGCATCTTCCAACCCCATAGTGCGGTAGAGATGCAGATCCCCCTTGGGCCCACAACTCGGAAGAGTCGAGCCGCCTGGACCCCTTGCTCCCGACTCCCCGTCTGGCGTAGGCTTGATTCGCCTGTCTCGGTTCGCCTGTCTCGATTCGCCTGTCTCGATTCGCTCGGCTCGGCTCGACTCGCCTGGCTCGATTCGCCCAGCTTGATTTGCCCGAGTCTCGATTCAGCCGGCTGGATTCGCCCAGCTTGATTCGCCTGGGCTCGATTCGCCCGGCTCGACTCCCCCTGGGCTCGATCCGCCCAGGTCTCGATTCGCCCGTGGCTCGATCGGCCCGGCTCGATCCGCCCAGGGCTCAGTTCGCCCGAGTCTCGATTCGCCCCAGGCTCAGTTCGCCCGAGTCTTGCTTCGCCCAGCTCCGCCCGCCCGACCCGACCCGCCCGTCAGGGTCCGCCCACCCGCCCCGGCCCGCCCGTTAAGGTTCTCGCGTGCTGCCTGTCAGGTTCCGCCTGCCCGACCCGATCCACCCGACCCGACCCGACCCGCCTGTCAGGGGCCGCCCACCCGACACGACCCGTACCTTAGGGCTCGCGCGTGCTAATTCGATTATGCGTCATACTTTCATGTCCCGCCCTCCTGAACTGACCCGCCCGTCAGGGTCCGCCTGCCCGACCCGACCCGCTATAGCTTCCGCCGGCTTGCTCTGGATTCTTCAAGAGCCTTCAGCGAAACGAGATTCCGGCGAAACAGGCCCTGGCGAAGCGAGACTCCGGCGAAGCGAGACTCGGAAGCGAGTCTCGCCGAAACCAGCCCAGGCGAAGCGAGCCCAGGCGAAACGAGCCTCCGGCGAAACAGGACTCCGGCGAACCGAGCCCTGGCGAACCGAGATTCCAGCGAACTCCTGTTCCTCCTCCTCCTCCTCCTCCTGTGCGTCCTCCTCCTCCTGCTCCTGCTCCTCCTCCTCCTCCTCTTCCTCCTCCTCCTCCTCCTCCTCCTCGTTACCTCCCCCCTTGCCAATTGCGGACGCTCCTCCTCCTCCTCCTCCTCCTCCTCCTCCTCCTCCTCCTCCTCCTCCTCCTCCTCCTCCTCCTCCTCCTCCTCCTCCTCCTCCTCCCCCCCCCCTTGCCAACTGCGGACGCTCTTCCTCCTCCTCCTCCTTCTCCTCCTCCTCCTCCTCCTCCTCCTCGTCCTCGTCCTCCTCCTCCTCCTCGAGTCCGTGCACCCCGTCCGAGGCGTCGAATCGGGAGCTTTGGGACGGGGGTCAGTGCAAACGGGGGTTTGGCTTAAGTCGGGCCTGTCCCACTACATGGGGATTTTCTACGAAAAATAATAGATACCCCAACAATAGACTGGGGACTATTTTTTGAGTAATGTTTGACCCTTTCGGGGTATTTTTGAGGGTATTTTTTCATTTTTCGTCAAAAATCCCCCTGTAGGGGACACGCCGACATAAGGTTAGCCAGAGCGACAGATCTTTGCAGGATCCTGCAGTCCTGGCCCCCCTGCCGGAGCCTCCGGCGCCGCCCCTGGCGAGCTTCGCGCGCCAGGGAGGTGGGTCCAGCGCGAATCCAAGAATCCCGCGCGGAGCGCCAAGACTTTATGTTTCTGTGTTTTGCTCTTCTAATAACGACGGGGATCAATACAAAGGGGGGTTAGCCAGAGCGGAAGATCTTGCAGGATCCTGCAGAGCCAAGGGTGCATTGACCCAGGCTGGCGCGCAGGATCCTGCAGGAGATCCTGCAGGATCTTGCGGGATCTTGCAGGGCCTGGCTGACCCCAGTTTGCACTGATCCGGGTCCGGGGAAGCTCGCCTCAGGCGCCGAAGCGCCCCGCGTTGTGATGCAAGGCTTCTCGGCTCCTTGGTTGGCGGCGGCCGGCCGATCGGTTGCGGGCCGCTACGGCAGAGATGAGGACGTTACGTTGCAACTTCGGGGGTTCGGTGGCACATTCTGGGAGCCTTGTCTACCGTCTTGAGTCCGTATTCCGCGTCGGGTAGCGCCTGGTCGTCAATGAGTTAGCGCCAATTTAGCGTCGATTGGCGCCGCCTAGGAGTCGATTAGCGTCGTCGATTTAGCGTCGACGGGCACCGATTGGCGTCGATACGTAAGAGCCAGCAAGACGGTACGGGAGGCGCCCATGCGTTGCCACAGAAACGTTGCAACTTCGGAGGGCTTCGCCTGTCCTGTACATGTCGGTCATTTGCTAGTGTCTAACGTGCGCCCGACGTGCCTTCGGCACGGATCCGAGGTGTGTTCGACGGGAGCGGATGCGACGCGGATCGCAGCGCGATGGGACACAGGTGTTAGTCAGCGTCGAGGCGGCGAACTCCGCTCCAGCGAGACACTAGAAAACGGCACTTAATAGCGAATTGGCCGGCGGGCAAGGAGGGGGTTAGGGGGGACGGCCGAGAGGAAGAAGGGGCGCTCAGACGTCGAAGAGTTCGACGATGAACAGCCAGGGAGGGGCAGCAGCAGCCAGGCGCGCAGGCCTGAGCGCGGTGGGCGGCCGTGGCAAACCACGGTGGCGAGGGTGGCGGGACGGCGGCTGCCAGCAGCTCGAGCTGGCGGGCGGGCGCAGTGGGACACCACGAACGGCAGAGGTACCGCGGCGCGCCGAGGAGTAGGCACAGCACTGAGCCGTGCGGAGGCGGGAGCAACGCAGAGGTATTGCGGCGTGGCCCGAGGGCGCGCCAGGTGGTCAGGGGGCCGGGAGAGGTGGGGCAGGAGGCGGCGGGCGAAGCGTCCCAGGCGCCTGAGGTGGCAACGCGGCCAAATTGATGGCAGCAGGGGCATGGCGGCGTGACCGCCCACTGACGTGCCAGGTGGCAGAGAAAAGTGGGGCGGGTGGCGTCGGGCGAAGCGTCCCAGGCGCCCGCAGGCGGCGGAACGGTAACGAAACGGGAGGAGGCAGCGCGTGGCTGCCGCCGAAGGAGGGAAGCGCCGAAAGATGCAGAAGCCGGGTAGCAACGCAGGGCGGTCCAACGGGCGGTCCAATGTGGTGCAGCAGAAAAGCACCGAGAGGGCGCAGGGGACAGTGAGTGAACGACGCGCGTCCCGAACGGGAGGTACGTCGCGACGGAGCGGCGGCGGGAAGCACCGAAAAGGTGCAAAAGACGGGTAACGATGCTGGGCGGCCCAATGGGAGTCCAGCGTGGCGCAGCAGAGAAGCACCGAAAGGGCGCAGGAGACAGTGAGCGAGCAAGCGATGCGCGTCCCTCCCAAACGGGAGGTACGTCGCGAGGGGGCGGCGGCGGGGAGCACCGAAAGGTACAGAGGCCGGGTAACGACGCTGGGCGGCCCAATGGGCGGTCCAGCGTGGTGCAGCGGAGAGCACCGAAGTGGCGCAGGGGACAGTGTGTGAGCGACGCGCGCGTCCCAAACGGGAGGTGCGTCGCAAGGGGGAGAAGTGAGGGAGGGCACCGGGGAGGTGCCAAGCCAGGTTCGGAGAGGCGCCCAGCCCAAAGAACCACCCGCCTCATGGAGAGCGGGCAGTCGCGGTTGAAGAGTGGGGGAGCGCCGAAGTGCTGCAAGGAATAATGAAGGAGGGAGGATGGACCAGGAGCAGGGAGGCGAAGGGACCGCCGGTTGGGCGGGCGGGCGCGTCGCCTGGCATGGCGGGCAGCGACGATCACGGAACTGCAAATTGAGCGGGGGGGAGGCAGCGGTCGCGACGATCGCGGGGCCAGTGAGGCACTTGGGCGGCGGGGGAGCAGGGCAGGGCGCCACGGGCGGGAGGCTCGCCACGCCGGGGTGTGGGCGCGTGGAAAGGGGCGGAGGGGGCCCGCTGGTTGGGCGGCGGGGCGGCCGCGGCCGCGCTGTCCGCCAGCCCGCGCGGACGTGCCCCCCTGGGGCGGCGGCGCGCGGGTGGCTCACACTGGCCATGCCGGCGGAGGAAGCGGCGGAGGAATGTGGCATCGTGCCGGCTGGGGTCGCGGGTGCCACCGCCACGCCGAACACACAAAACCTATGCCAGGCCGCCCCAGTTCCACCGCCAGCTTGCAGCGTCCTCCTGACCCGGGCCACGCGAGGGCCCCCCGGGCCTGCGAGCCGAGGAAGTCCAGCAGGACGGGGGTTTGGACGTCCTCGGGACCCACCCGCCCCTTGCAATTTTTCTTATAGTCCGAAGCGAACGACTCCCATTGGTCAAGGGCGTCTGGCGCCGCGGCCCAGGTGTGCTTGACGAGCAGCAGGAGGTTGCGCCGTGCAGGCCGAGGCGTTCCCTCCCGCAGGCTGGCGCTGAAGCTGCCCGCGGCGCCGGAGGCGTCCACGGCCGTCGTCGCGGGGCAGTTGTGGGGGGCACCAGTGGGCCGGCGGGTACGCGTTGACCCAGGCGTCGGCACGCGCAGCGGTCGTGGCGGGCCGCAAGGACGTCGTCAACACAACGCCCCGACTGGCGGGAATCGGGGTTTCAAAGATGCAGCAGCAGCGGCGGTTGAACCGCCGCAGATACTGGAGCGCAGCGCGCGCCTTCCTTGCACAACTGGCCCCCATCTAAGGTATGATCTTGTGGCACGGGAGGGTCGCCAGGAAAAACGCGCGCTGAGAATTCGGCGGTCAGAGGGGAGATCCTTCTCCCCTGATCGACATGCCTGCTGCGCGCGCGCTGAGCGTCGAAACTTTCGAGCCAGGCGCGAGTGGCCGAAGCCTTCCGCCGCCACGGTTTCAATGAGGGCCCCGCCCGCCCCCTTCCTAGAAGGGGGCGGGCGGGGGCGTCGGAAGGGGCAGCGGCCAGTGCGGGAGTGGTGCGGGGCTGGGCGCCGGCAGCGGCGTCGACTAGGGCGTCGGGTGCAGGCGCGTTGGGCTCGACGTCGCGGTCGTCAGCTTGGTCCGCCCAGCGGCGTCCGTCTGGCCGCCCGAGGTCGCGATGCAGGAGCCCGTCTGGCTGCTCGCGGTCATGGTGCTGGAGCCCATCGTGCTGCGCGCGGTCGAGCTGCTGGGGTCCGTCGCGCTGCTCGCGACGTTGTTGATGGGGTATTTCGTGCTGCTCGCGGTCGCGCTGCGGGGATCAGTCGCCCTGTTCCCGACGGTGTTGCTGGCGCCCGCCCCGCTGCTCACAGCGATCCTGCACGTCGGGCCCAAATGAGCGCAGCGCGGGGGGTTCGCCAGCGAGACAAGAGCCGCGTGGAGGTCTTGGAGAAACGACAGTCGCTTCCTCGGCAGCCGTGGTTCCGAGGGTCGTCGGGGCCCGGGGCTGCGGCGGGCCGCCCCAGACTCTTGCCCAGCGCCAGGCCCAACGGACGCGACGCCAAAGCAAAAGCACTCCTCATCTCGCCCTTCCACTCCTCCTCATCTCGCCCTTTCACTCCTCATCTCGCCCTTCCACTCGCCCTTCCTCATCCTCCTCATCTCGCCCTTCCACTCCACCAAAAGCACTCCTCCTCATCTCGCCCTTCCACTCCTCCTGATGAGCAGGGTGCGCCCCGGGGTGCGATCGCAGGAGCCATGTGAAATGCGCCGCGCAGGGTGCCGGGGCCGCAGGGCCATGTCGCCTGCGCGGCGCCACTCGCGCCCTGGTCTGGCCCCCCTTCACCCCCCCCCAGGGGGCGCTGGAGGCGCCGCGAAACGCCGCGGTAGCAGTGTCTCGCCTCCGCCCTGCGAAAGGAGCCGTACTCACGGAAGCGACTTCCTCCTTCCGCAGTCTTGCCTCGTGTTGTTGCCCCCTTCCTCTCCCCGCAACCTCCTCATCGCCTTGTTACCGACTCCTGCATTCAAATTGTTGGTCGGATGTTGCGATTGCGCGGTTGGGCAGGAAGAGGAAGAGGAAGAGGAAGAGGAGGAGGAGGAGGAGGAGGAGGAGGAGGGGAAGGTGGTAGGGGAAGTAGGAAGAGACAGGAGCCAGTGGTGGGATGAGACGGAGGAGTGGGGACAAGCGACCCGCAGCACTAGCCGGCAGGCTCGCTGGAAAGCTTTGGCGAGCATGCTACTCCTCTGACCGCGATCGCCAAGTTCATCGTGAGCAGGGGGAACTGAGCGCAGCGCACTTCGGCCTTTGGACGGCAGGCAGGCAGCCGGGAGAAGCGCTTCCGCACCCGAGCCGGCAAGCAGCCACGCCGGCCATGCCGCCATTCCTTGCGGCCCCGTTTGCATGTCGCGTGCTGCCATGCCCTGCGCGCGCGGGGCATGGGCACACCAGAGTTTTTTTTCAAACTCGGCGTCCTTGTTCCGCTGTCGCCACTCGATTTTCACCGCGGTGCCACGCGCGGGCGCTCCACACGGGCGCGCCGTCGGCCCGGCAAGAGAAACGGCTCTTCCCTCCGCCGCCCAGTCTTGGTCTCACCATCCGCGAGGAGCGTGAGCGACGGAGTGCGCAGGGGAGCAGCAGAACGAGCAGCAGTAGGAGCAGCGCCCGCGCCACTCGACCCGGGTTCTCCCCCTTTGGGCCGTCTTGGGCGGCCGTCTTGGGGCCCTCTTGGGGGGCACGTGGAGCGAGATTTCGGGCCTCTTGGGTCGGTTTGGCCGCGTCGGGAGCTCGAAAAGAAATCCTTCAAGCACTCATGGGAATTCAATCAGTTGGGCCTCTTGGGGGCCTTTGAGGCCCTCTTGGGGCCTCTCTGGGGCCTCTTCGGCTCTTTGGAGGCCACGTTGGGCGTCTTGGAGCAACTTTTGGGCGATGCGGTCGGGGAGCATCGAACAAAACACGTATGGAACGCGTACCCCCCCAAGCCGAAGTGTGGGTCTTCGGGTTGGGTGTGGTTGATCTTGCAGGTAGTCTTAAGTCGGGCCTGTCCCTCTACAGGGGGAATATTCAGAAATTGTAAAATTGCCTGGGGACGATTTTTGGACTATTTTGGAGTATTTGGGGGGTATTGTTTTGAGTATTGTTTGAGGTTTCGCCCAAAATTGCCCTGTAGGGGGACAGGCCCGACTTAAAGGTAGTCAGGAAGTGGCAACAAACCTTCCGTCGTGATTCCCTTCCAGACGCGAGAGGGTGTGCACCGTCGCCCTGGCAGCGCCTGGCTGCCGCGGCGCGGCGGGTGCTCCCCGTGCGGGCGGTGGACGCCTCCCGCCACGCTCCTCGACTCCGTTGCCCGCTCGCCTCTCGCGCGCCCCCGCGTTCCTCTTCCTCACCTGTTGCTCCTCCTCTCGCCTTCTGCCTCCTCCCTCCTCCTCCTCCTCCTCCTCCTCCTCCATCTTCCTCCTCCTCCTCCTCCTGCTCCTCCTCCTCCTCCTCCTCCTCCTCCTCCATCTTCCTCCTCCTCCTCCTCCTCCTCCTCCTCCTCCTCCTCCTGCTCCTCCTGAGACGCTGAGACGCTGATGGCACTGGTGTGCTCCGAACGCTCCTCGCCCTATTCCTCGCCCTCCTCCTCGTCCTCCCCCGCCGCAGCCGCCTCGGCCCTGAGGCCCGACGAGGCCCGGTCCGCCCGCCCCGCGGGCGCCCGCATGGGCGGCGGAGGCCTGGGCGCGGAGGCCGCGGCGCCGGCTGTTTGCCGCGCGGCGGGGCCCCCCTGAGGGGCGGCGGAGGTGCCGAGGGGGAGGAGGAGGAGGAGGAGGAGGAGGAGGAGGAGGAGGAGGAGGAGGAGGAGGAGGAGGAGGAGGAGGAGGAGGAGGAGGAGGAGGAGGAGGAGGAGGAGGAGGAGGAGGAGGAGGAGGAGGAGGAGGAGGAGGAGGAGGAGGAGGAGGAGGAGGAGGAGGAGGAGGAGGTGAGGATGGGAGGGAGGAGGAGGAGGAGGAGGAGGAGGAGGAGGAGGAGGAGGAGGAGGAGGAGGAGGAGGAGGAGGAGGAGGAGGAGGAGGAGGAGGAGGAGGAGGATGGAGGAGGAGGAGGAGGAGGAGGAGGAGGAGGAGGGGGTCGCCTCCTCCAACGGAGCGTCCTCGCCGCCTTGTCGCTTCGCCCGGCAGCAGGAGCTCGGTAATGAAGGCGCCCCCTTCCCCCGAGCCAAGAGGTCGGGGCAGGGAGTTGCTCGCAGTCTGTAGACAGAAGTCTGCACGCATAACCTTGCGACTGTCTACTTGCATCGCCTCCCTCCGTATGCATATTCCGCCACACCCCTCTTGCTCGTCGTTCTCCTCTTTCTCCTCCTCCTCCCCCTCCCCCGCCTCCTCCTCACCGATGCCATTTTGGCTCAAGATGTTTGTTCCCGAGGAAACACGGTGGAGGCCGCTAGTCCGCGGCCAGATTCCAGATGGCAGACTCGCGGGATAACGACAGGTCTCGCTCCAGCCGTGGCAAACAGTGACGATGAGGATGGGATAGGCCCGACTGGGTGGGACACGCGCATCAAGAGACCCTTTGACGAAAAGCTGGGGGTGCAGAGTTCAAATCGTTCAAGATGAAGCCCACAGGGATGGTCCCCATCAATGCCAGCACTGCAGCAGGCCGTGCGGTCGACCCCATCACGATGGCGATCAAAGGAAAATGCTGCCCAGGCTGTCCCAAACACGTGCAAAGCTCCAGTGGGGGCATCGTTCAGGCCCGAGATTGGTGCGCTCGAGAGACGGTCCCAAGCTTGTCTCGACACTCCTCTCGGCCAAGGTCGGAGCTAGTGACGGCATAACCGAGAAGATGTCAGCTGCATTGGCTGAACTGCAATCCACCATGGACGAAATGCGGCGATATTCTGCGCTTGTGCACCAGGCACCAGGCGCCGCCGCCGCGGGGGGGCTGGGGCCCCTTTGGCGCGAACTCTCGGCGGTCTCCGATCAACGATTCATGAACGAAGGATTGCAAAAAAACGAAGGATTGCCAAAAAAACGGATTGCAAAAAAAACGAAGGATTGCACAAAACGAAGGGTTTTTTGCAATCCTTCGTTTTTTTTTGCAATCATTCGTGCAACTCGATGGGCGTCGGGGGATAGGTCCCATCGGCTCCGGAGAAGCGATGCTTGGCGGGGGCAGGGCTCGGACGCCGCCGCCCAGCTGTCCCCAACGGTCTTCTCCACGGGTGCGGTGAACTCGGCAGAGCACCGCTCGTGAGTCCCGGGGCCCGAGGTGCCCCCCCCCCCCCCCAAGGCCCCAGGCGGTGCCCGCGCGGGCGCTTGGGCGGGGGCGCCGCGCGCGAGCCCGGGCCTGTCGGCCCCCTCGCGCCTTCGGGAGCCTTGCGACGGGGGTCAATGCAAACGGGGGTCAGCCAGGGCACCAGATCCTGCAGGATCCTGCGAAGACCCCCTCTGGCTGACCCGGGTCAGCGAGCCGCTCGTGGCCGCGAGGCGGCCGCGCATGTTGGCCGACCCGGGTTTGCGAAGATCAGCGCTGCAGTTTTTGTTGTTCCTGCATTGCAGTTTCTGGTTTCCTGCTGACCCGGGTCTGGATTGACCCGGGTCAGAAGATCCCCGACGGATGGCGCCAATCTGAAGTCGGGCCTGTCCCCCTACCGGGGGATTTCCGACGAAAAAGAAAGAATACCCCAACACTAGCTAAAAAATGGTCCAACCCCTACTGGCAGAACCCCCACGGCCAAGCCCTGCGCGCCCAAGCCGTGCGCGCCCAAGCCCTGAAGCCCCGGGTGGCGGTGGCCCGAGGGGGGCGGTCGTGCTGGCACATCCCAGCGGGCGCCACCGACAGGAAGGCAAGGCGTCCAGCACAAGACGTCCTTCCTCCCCCCTTTCCTCCTCCCTCCTCTCCTCCTCACGCCCCTCCTCTCCTCCTCACGCTCCTTGGACTGAGTGGGGACCCAGTTGCAGACCCGCTCCTCCAGTTCCGCTGGAAGCAGCAACGCGACGAAGCCAGCAGGCTCCTCGAGCAAGCCACCCGTCGGGACGCCTTGCAATCCTCGTCAGCCCATGGCGCCCTTCTCAGTGCGTTGCGGTGGGCTGCGCGGCACCTGCCAGGCCCTGGCAGGCAGATCGCGCTCTCCGGGAACTCCGGCATGGAGCCACGGTACGGCGTGAAGATAGCGGTCGGTTCCCCGAGTACTACTGGGTGCCTCTCCATTGACGGGTCGCGGATACTGTGGGGAGTATTCACGGACGCGCGGGTTGGCATTCTGCAGGCCATGAAGCAGCTGGACCTGGCCCTTGTTGGGCTCCCTGGTGCCCGACTTCCCGCCCGCACATCCGTCCCGGGACGCTCAGACTTGGGTCTTGCCTCGCGCGGGGGCCCCTCTTACGCGAGCACCGCGGTGGTGTGGGATCCTAATATCCTCCACCGAGTTGCAGAATTGGCCCTTGTCGGCTCGGACCGGCGCCTCTGGCTCCGCCTCGAAGATGCTCATGGTGGCCCTTGGTTTGTGTGCACGCTATATCTTCCCCCAGTTCCAAATTCTGGAAGGGATTCGGCATGGTTCCAGGAAGTCGCTGGCCTACAGGCGGACCTTAGGGCCCTGCTGGGGGACCCGCCCCTGAAGGAAGATGACCGCGCCATTATCATGGGAGATATCAACCTCCAGCCGGCAGAACTGTTAGGGCGGCGGGATCCCTCCCCTGCCCGAGCTAGGGCGTGGACAGTATTCGTAGCAACCTGGGGGCTAGGGCACCAGAACCCAGTCATTGGCTCAGCCTCCCCAGAACGAGTATGGCTCCCCATCCGGCGCCGCATCGTAGAGGTTCGCCCAGGGGACACACATCATGGGCATGGCCGTTCGCGATGCCTCGACGTGATAGTGGCCTCCCCAGGAGCTATGGGCACCGTGCGAATCCACAACGGCCTCTCCTGCCGCTCTTTGAAGACGGACGATCAGCTCATTCATGATTCTTGCGACGGGTGTCGATGGGAAAGCTGTGTGGAATACACCTTAGGGGACCACTTCCTCCTCGATTATTCTATCCCGTTTCCTGTTGCTCCCACGCAGTTGGCGCAGGGCGGGATCCGCATGCCCAGATGGTGGCTCCAGGAACCTGGGTGGAAAGAGGGACTGCGGCAAGCCCAAGATGTCCTGGGCGCCTTCTGTACCATTGTCCGGAGCTTGTGTGGAGAGGAGGGCCCTCACGAACGAATGCGGTCCTCAGCAGCCGGACCTGCCCAGTGGCTTGCAGACGCAGTTGCCTGGCTTCTACACCTCGTCTTGGGCATGGTCCTGGCAGGGTGGGTTGTGCCCGCTACCTCCTCTCCCCGGGGGCCAAGGCCCAGTCTGCCCAGGACACTCGCCAGCCGCGTCCGGAAAGCGCTGGATGGTCCCGGCTCTGCGTCTGAGAGGGCGGCAAAATGCCTCCGTCTCACGCGGCCGCTCCCGGCGGCGCCGGCGGCCATCCTGAGGGGCGCGGGCGGGGACGCGCTCTCTGCAGATGGCTCCCGGCACGCGTGGAGCAATCAGCTCCAGGAGCAGACGCAATGGCCAGGGCCGTGGGATCCTGGCTTTCACGCCCAAGTTTCCTCTTCCCTCCCAACAGCCCTGGGGAGGGCGAGGTCCCACAGAGGCACGGGACCCTTCGATCAACCAGTGGGGGAAGCGGAGGTCAGGGCCGCTCTGGGACGCATGGGTACCACCGGAGCCACGACGCCGGACCTAGTTCCGCGACTTGTGTTCCTCTTGGGGGACATTCCCCTGGATCAAGCGGTGCGGCTAGCTCAATGCCTCATGGGCCCGGGGCATCTTGCGGCGAGGCCAGAGGGGTGGCGCGGGAGCTGCGCAGTCCCGCTCCACAAAGAGGGCCCGGTGGACCTCCCGTCGTCGTTCCGCCTGATCATGGTGAAGGCGCAGCTGGGGCTCATCCAAGAGTCCGTGGTCCACCGTCGCCTTTTCGGGCACCTGCAGGACTCGGTGCTCCCAGGACAAAGTGGGTACGTTCGGGACGTCGGTGATGCTCACCTAGCACTCCACGAGCTCGCCGCGGCAGCGGCGGCGCAAGGACGGCCCTTATGGGTCATCTTCAGTGACCTTCAGAAAGCGTTCCCAAGAACGTGGCGGGAAGGCCTACTACACCGCCTCCGGGAGCACGCGGGTGTCTCGGACGGCATGCTGGCCCTCCTGGGAAGCATGTTTGAGAAGGACACCGTCCACGTGAACTTCAACGGCGTGGAAACAGTCTCAGTGACCCAGGGGATTGCGGAAGGTGGTACTATGGGGCCGCTCACCTTCCCCTCGTACATGGACTCGCTTGCCCAGGACTTGATGTTCGCGGGGTGCGGCGTGGGGGTGGGCATTCGCATGCCGCCGACCTGGTCGGGCCATAGATGGACTGGCACTGGAGAGCCGAACCAGAGTCAGGTGAAGCAATTGCTGCACGCGTTGGCAACAAGGGCGCCGCTGCCTCCTCCGAAGGCGCTGCTGCAGGACCCAGCTCTGGAAGCCTCCGCCCTCGCTGCCCTGGACGCCGCCGCCCCCAGGCGGATCGGAGCCCTCCTCCACGCGGACGGCCCAGCCCTGCTGGCATCTTCCCGGGGGGGGGGCCGGACGGTCCCCCCAGGTCCTAGCCGATTGGGCGTACAGGTGGAAAGCGTCCCCGCACACCAAAGCCTCCAAGCACGCTGTTGTGGTGCATGGCTCCCAGGCTGCGCGAGCGGCTGCCGCCAGCGCCCCCCCTCTTCTGCTGCCGCTGCGGGGCCTCCCGCCGGTGCAGGTCGACCTAGCCCCCAAGCGCAGATGGCTTGGCCTTCAGTGGCCTGGTGATCTCCGCCTGCTTGGAGCACTGGAGGCGCGGCTTGCTGCGGCCTCTGCGCAGTGTGCGTCCCTGGCGGGGCACGTGGCGGCAGGTGCTCTCCCTCTGGCCGCTGCGGCGTACATCTTCGACATGGAGATCGACGCCTCCCTGCGTTTCTGGCGCTGGCTCCTGGCCACAGCCGAGGGTGCCCTTGAGCGCTTGGACTCTGCTTACGAAGGGTGGGCCAGGGCGCTCCTGGGGAGCCATCCCTGGCGTGACGGCGCTGTAGCAGTCTCAGAGCTAGGTTGGTCGCTCTCCGGTGGAGCACGGGCCATCCTTGACATCGCCTCCCGCAGAGCTGGTCTGTGGCTCCTTCCGGACGGAGACCTCTACAAGGGGACGTTTGTGCACGGCCATGTATCTCCAGGGCGCACCTGGGCGATTGTCTCGCTGGCGCTGTTGGAAGAGTGGGGTCTGCCGGACTGGCCCGCCTGGGTCGGCGCTGCAAGGGGGGGGTCCGCCCTCCCGGCGTACAAAGCACACATCCGAGACACCCTCAAGGCCAGATGCAGCGCAGCCCTACGCCTGCGACTGCACACGCGGGTCCGAGTGCCCGCCCCGCTTTCGCTCGGCCCAGTGCCCCGGGATGACCTTTCCACAGCGCTCTCTCTGCGCCTGCCCAGCACGGCCCTCTTCGGCCAGCGCTCCCTCAGTCGGCTCCGGTGCCAGCTCCTTGTCCTGAGCCACTCAGCAGGAGTCCGCTCGAGGGCCCGACGGCAGGTCTGTGTCTGCTGTCAGGGGCAGATTCTCAGCCCCATGCTGCATGTCCTGGGGAGCTGCAGCAACACTGGCGTGGCGAGGGCGGCATTCTGGGCAGCGCGCGGCTCCCCGCCTCCGCCGTCCAGGGAAGCAGCGGTCCGCGAGATCCTCTCGGTCCGCCCAGGGGAGGCCGGATTCGCGGAGGCAGCCACCCTCGCCAGAGACATTGACCTCGCTGTGTCGAGGTTCTGGGGCCCAGTGGCGGACTAAAAGCTCGCCTTTCCTCCGCTCGGCCCGTCCTCCTTGCCTACGTCCCACCTCCTCTCCCTCCCTCCGGAGCCGGAGGGTCGGGCAGAGCCAGGCTGGGCACGCTGAGGTTCAGGTGGATTGGCCCCTCCCCCCTCCTCTCCCTGGGAGTGGCTCTCCCCCCCTTCCTTCCGACGCCGCGCCACGCATCTGCGCCATGCACTGGCAGGGCCTCGGTCGGAAGGTCATGCAAGAGCTCCAATCGGAGAGGCCCTCCGGCTCTCCTCCGATTGGCCAATTCCCCCTCCACGGCCAGGCTTTTCTCCGACCCCCCACTTCCGAAGACGGGACGGTGCTGGGGAGGGCGGGGCCTGTAGCCCAGCTCCACCCACTCCTCCCCCTTCAGAATGCGGAGGCGGACTCAAGCTTGGTCGGCGTGGGGTCGCGCACGACGGCCCTCCCGGGCCCCAGGCGCCCCCCACGAAAAGGCGGCCACGCATGAGGCCTCCGACCGCCTCCTCTGGAGGACCAGTCCAGTCCTCCCTCCTCCTCCTCCCTCCTCCCTCCTTTCCCCCCCCCCGCCTCCCTCCTCTCCTCCTCCCTCCGTTCCTCCTCACGCTCCTGCTCCCCTCCTCCCTCCCTCCTCACTGCTAGGGCCCAGTGGTCCGATTCGATCTCGCCTCATGCTGGCCGCCATCCGATCCCGTCCCGACATTTCGACAGTCTGATGGTTCCCGATGCTTGCATGTCGCGATTGTGCATCTTGCCGCGACCGATTCGATTCGGCTCCGACCCCATGGCAATGCAGCCCTATACGACGCAGATGGTCGGGACCCGATTCCAGATTCGATGCTGACTGATCCTGCACCTCCCGTTCCCCTACCTCCAGCAAATGGAGTCTGAGTTGTTTCGACGTTCTCGGACTGTGGGGAACGGGATCGAATGGTCGGGATCTTCGAGACTCGAACGTGTCGAGTCGATGGCGTCGGAGGTCTGGGGTCCTCTTGCCCTACCTCCTTCCTCGTCCGCCGCACGCCTTGTCGCCCCCTCCTCCTCCCTCTTGGTGACGCTTCCCTCTGTTCTTGCCCTGATCATCGAAGAGCTTCCACCAGACCTCCAGCGCCGTGAGATGAAGACGATAGCCGGCCGCTCTGCGGTGGATGGGGAGTTTATGCATGCAGGAGAAAGGGGCGTGCGTCTTTGGGCGAGAGGGTGAGCGGGAGGTGGCGGTGCGACGAGGAGGGCGAGGATCGGGAGGGCGATGACCGCGACAGAGTTCCTCCACCGATGGGCGTGCTGTTCTGTCTCAGATGTCGCCTCCCGGGGGCAGGCTCGGCCCCGAGCGCCACCGAGAGAAGCGCCTTCGACCGTGCAGGAGCACAGGGTCCCCAGGGACGGGCTCCCCGGAGACTTCGGGTATGGGGGCCCGCGTCGCGAAGAAAGCAGCACGACGTCGGAGGTCTTGGCCTGTCTGGGCCTCTTCCCGTTCGTCTCCCCGCCCCCCCGCGCCCTCCCTGCTTCGCTGGCGGGGCACTGCCGGATCCGTCCCCGACCCCCCCCACCGGGATGGGCCCCGCGGTCCTCTCCGCCGGGCCTCGCGGCGTCCATCCGTCCCCACCTTTGGGGGGTCGGCTCGTGGCGGTCGGGGAGCCCGGCACGCTGTGAACGGGGACGTGGGCGTGGCCATGAAGCTACGAGCGCAGCCGCCAGCCCAGTGCGCGCAGTGTGGTCAGGTCCGCGAGCGCGATACGCTCAACACACCAGTGCATCCTATTCAGGAGGGGAGATAACACACAGGCACAATTTATCGCCGATTCCCAAGAAAATATGGGGAAACTATGGGAAGTGGGGGGGAAGACAAAAACCAAGAAAATATGGGGAATCCTGTTATTTGTGTCTATTTATTTGTGTGTCCCAGGGCCCCTTCACCAATGTTTGACGACGGCCCGCATACCTTGTGCCCACATACAAGCGGCTCCCATGAGAGGCTCCACGGCAGCGGGGATGAGGCCGCCGGAGGCGGGCCTGTGGCACCAGGTCCCCGGTTACGACGAGGACGACTCCGACGGGTCGGACCAGGAGGAGCGCGAGGTGATCGAGACGGGCGACGAGCGGCTGTACGACCTCACTGCCGCGCTCGGGCACCGCTGGGTCGACCGCCCCGCGATCAGGTTCTCGCCGCCGCCGATGCCGGCGAAGGATCCCATGTCGGGCGCTGCGCCCCAGGCCAGAGGAAAGAACACATAACATACTCGTCGTCCAGTTCTAATCGTGCTCATTTCTAAATTCTGCTCGTTTCTAAGTGTTCCTGGCCCCCTAGTGGCCAGGAAGAGGCCCAGGGCAGAATAATTAGAAATGAAAGGACCTTGGCCCCCCAGAAAGTCAAAGAACCTGGAAGAATCAGAAATGAATAATGTGTACAGTCGGGGCCCTGAAGCAGGAACCTTTTTCGTTTGGGAGGGGCTCCGTGTTCCTTGACCGTTTCACAGTTTGCCTCGGAATTTCCCTAGGTTTTCGATGGGAAGTCGAGGTTTAACTTCTGGAGAAAAGGGGCCTCGTTCCTTATTTGGGGTGCCTTAGGTCAACGCCCCGACGGTACGAATGGACTCTGTGGGGCCCGCGCGGGTCTCCTGGATCGGCGCTGGCCCCCCTCTGGCAGCGCCTCCGGCGCCGCCCCTGGTGCCAGGGAGGAGCGCCAGGCGCCGTTGCAAGAAGTTCGCGCTGGCCTCGGATCGGGCCAGACGAAAGGGGGGGATTGGGAAAGGGGGGGGTACGAAATTTGCTGCATGCAGTTAGTTTCGGCCTCACCGAGGGGCCCATTCCTCGATACATAGCCGCCTCCGGCGCCGGGAGGCGCCGGGAAAATCAGCTACGTGAGCTGATTCTCAAACCCCCCCTTTGCTATCCCCCCCTTTCGCCCGACCCGATCGGAAGTTGGTTTTGTGTGTATGTGGTGCATGTGCGTATGTACGTATGGTTCTATACATGTAACGGGGGACCGGCCCCAGGGGCCCCGGGGGCGCGACCTCGACCACAAATGGGTGGCCCGGGGGCACCGGGGCGCTGCCGCGGCGCCCGGGCCCTCTAAGATCGCCCGAAGGCTTCTCCAGACCGGCAGAAATCGTATTTCCGGACCGCCAAGACGACCAATGACGGTAGAGATGCCCCCAGAATTAGCTTCAGACTCTTCAAGAGGCCTCCCCGACGCCCCAACAGGCTTCCGAGGGGCCTCCCAAAAGGGCCTGAAGAGGCAAACTCGCTGTTTTTCGATAGGTTTTCGAATGATTTTCGAGTTCTCGCCTTTCCAGTGTCCCGACGCTCCACGATGGCCCAAGAGATCCCAAGGTCCGCTCCAACATAGCCCAAGAGGCCTCCAAGAGGGTCCCGAAACGGCGCCCGAGGCGTCCAAGACGGCCCAAGACCGTTCCAAGACGGCCCCAAGAAGGGCACAGGAGGGGTAACCCGAAACGACAATCCGAGCTTCACCTCGAGAGGCTCCCTGCAATGAAGGGAGGCCCTTAGAGGCTCCCAAGAGGCCACCCAGAGGCCCTAAGAGGCCTCCAAGAGGCCTCCCAAGAGCGCCCGAAGAGGCACAAATCGCTAATTTCAATGTTTTGAAAGATTTTCGAGGTTTCAGCCGTTGGGCATCCCGACGCTCCAAGACGGCCCAAGAGGCCTCCAAGACCGCTCCAAGATAGCCCAAGATGCCTCCAACAGGGCCCCAAGACGGTGCCTGAGGCGCCCTAGACGGCCCGAGAGGGCCACAAGACAGCCCCGAGAGGGGCCCCAAAGGGGTAAGCGAGCCGACAATCCAAGCTTCCACCCCGAGAGGCTCTCAGGAAGCCCCAAGAGGCCCCCAATAGGATCCAAGAGGCCCTCAAGAAGCTCCCCAGAGGGCCGAAGAGGTTCCAAGAGGCCTCCCAAGAAGGCCCGAAGAGGCACAGCTCATTGTTCTCCCGTCGATGTTTGCACGGATGTTTTTTAGTGTTCAGCCGTTTGGTAACCTCATCAAGCCATTAAGGAACCCCCTGGGGCTATCATTCGCACCGCACCCAAATTGGATAATTCTGGGGGGCGGCTTTCGCCGAAAAAGAATAAGAATAATCCCAAGAAAGAAGAAAGTTAATAATTATACTAATACTAAGAGAGCTCGCTTGACATTACCTCCATCATCCTTGTCCCATACGATTTGTATTGCCACCCCTGTTGAACAATTGTTCTTTCCCGGCCGTCGTGTGGGGTAGTGCATCCGAGGACATCGCCCCCGCCACGTACGGCGCGGTATCTTAGCACCGCACCCGCACAACATAATTACGTCAGTTTGTCCAACAAGACAAGAAGTATAGCACGACCAATAATAATGATAATGCAACTCATAATGAGACTCAGAATAAGAAAACTAATATTAATACGAATGCGAGTACGGATAATACTAATAATAAGAATACGCATCCGAGAACAGACGGGTGCCCATGCTTCTTTCCTCCCTCCCTCCTTGTTTTCATGCTCTTCATCATCCTTGTCCTATACGATTATCATTACCACCCCTATTGAAAATATGTTTCTTTCCTGGCCGTCGTGTTGGGTAATGCATCCGAGGATATCGTCCCCGCCACGCGCGGCGCGTTATTTTAGCACCCGCGCCGCCAACATTGTTCGCCGCCCATCGTAGGTACGGACGGTTCCTTTTCAAAGCTGGGCTCTCCCTTGAGTGGGATTTTATGTTGTTATTGTTGGTGTTTGCGGTGTTGTTGGTGTTTGTTGATGTTGATGTTGTTGTTGGTGTTGCTGCTATTGGCTTTGATGTTCTAGATATACTTCATATTGTTGTTTTTATTGTCGTTGTTCGTGTTGGTGCCGTGCCGTAAGGGAGTCTTGAGGAGGAGAAGCCGGAGGAGGATTCTATTTGTTTAGTTGGGAATAGTGGTATTGATAGTGTTAGTAAGCTGAGAATAATAGTGATAATAATAATGATGAGAAGAAACACAATATTGATAACAATGAGGTCCGCTTGTTTTGGCGAGCAGACTCATCTGCGTTCACATAAAGGTGCGAGGTGCCAGGGTAACGTTTCTGGTGTGCCGGGTGCGTTATACTTTCGCCGGAGAGGGGGAGGGGGCGGGGGGGGGTTCTTAACTGCTTGATGCGGTTATCCCGACGCTCCAAGCCTAAGAGGCCCCCAAGACCGCTCCAAGATTGCCGCAGAGGCCTCCAAGAGGGCCCCAAGACGGCCCCTAGACAGCCCCAAGAGAGGCCCAAGAAAGAGAACGCGAACCCAACAGCAGAGCTTTCCGCCCTACGAGGCCCGCAGGAGGCCCCAAGAGCCCCCGAGTGGCCCGACGAGGCCCCCAAAAGCCTCCCAAGAGGCCCCAAAAGAACCTCAGCAGACGTCCGCAGCCATTTTGGCTCAAGCCATTTTGGCGCAAGACCGGTTTTCTCGAGCGGGCGCGGAGACCGTCGAGGATCACCTTCGCGGACACGTCCTGGGGCAGGCCAGGCGCGCGGAGTGTTCACAGCCCGCCCGTGAAGGCGCCGCGACGGCCGCCGGGGATCCGCTCTACGCCTGAGCGCGTTGAGCGTGGCGCGTCTCGGACGGACGATCGGGTCGCCGGCGCATCGGACGGCCAGGGCAGCGGCCAAGGTTCCTGATGATGCCGCAGTCTATGAATGCAGCGGGTATGGCTGCCAAGTTTTTGATGATGCAGCGGGTGTGGCAAACCGCACCTAAAATGTTTAGGGCCCCTCCCTCCTCTCCCAAACCGACACACACGAGCCTACCGAGCAGCACGCCGGCATCGACTTCCAGGACCTTCATCCCCCCTCCCTCCCCTCATAACTTTTTGATGCATGTGTCTCGCATTGCAGGTTGTCCAGACACGCCAGATTCCTTAGGCCAAGGCCTTGCCCACCTGGTCTTGGTTACGCCCAGACGATGTCCGCAGCGGTGGTGGTATCGTTCGTTTCGTTTCGTTTCGTATCGTATCCCTCAGGGCATGATCATCAGGTAGCTCCAGTTTCCCAGAGCCTCGAATCAGAACTATTACCGTTGCTGGGAGGACTCTTCGGTGCCTCCACCGGACGTCTCAGTAAGCCGTTGGTTTGTGGACGCCCTCCACGCTCCCAGTGCGGCCTGCTTCCAATGTGGGTCGAGCTCCCGAGCTCCCCACCCGCTTTTCAGTACAAGGCTGGCCAAGCAGGCACAGCCGTCGAACATTACCTATGCATTGAATGATTTTTCTCGTTCAGTCGCGTCGCCAGGGGGGGCTCCAGCGCCGATCCAAGACATCCGCGCGGAGATCCGGCAGCTTGATTTTAGTATGGTTTCTGTTCAGAAAGGAGGTGTGGTCGCTGTTCTGCCAGGACACCGTGCGCATGCGGCGCTCGCGCACTTGTCCGGGCCAGTCTCGCGCCCAATGCTCGGAAGATGCACCGCTGAAGATAGTGGACATAGAATGAGGAGGAGGACGACGAGGAGGAGGAGGAGGGGGAGGAGGAAGAGGAGTCGGTTGCGCAAGGCCTGAAGTTACGTACACGCTGAGTATGGGACCCTGCCTGGGGAGGCTCGGACCGCTCTGGGCGGGAGAGGCAAGTGGCCGTCGTCTGACCCGGGTGCAGCGGCTCGGCAACAGGGTTGCTGACATGTGCGCGCGTCGTGGAGTGGAGCTGCATCGCAGTGATCTCTGCGATCGTCTCGTTGAGTTTGGCGGCGTTGACTCTGTTGCTAAAGTCAGAACTGGTTTTAAATGTTTTGGCAGCGTGGACACATGGGTGCCCATATGATGGTGCTGCCCACTTTGCTTTCAGGAGCGCTGGATTTTTGTTGCGTGTGCAAACATTCACGATCAGGTGTAAAGGCCATTGGAGGTTTCGAACGGCGGTGGGTGAGCGGGGGCTTGGGGCGGGGGTGTGATTGTGAGGGTGTGAACGGGGAGGTGTGGGAAGAGAGCTGGGATACTTTATACAGCCAGCCGGACCGACTGGAAGCTCCGTGGCGTTTGCTCTTCGCCCTGTCAGCCGTCTTCCCCCAATCCGCCTCCTCCTGCCCCCTTCCGAGTGTCGGAAGGCTCTCAACCCTGCTGCTGGCGCAGCCGCGAGCTCTGCGGCCCACCTCCGTCCGCGGGCGGTCCAGAGGAGTGTCGCTCGAGCTCTGTGCAAGTCTGCTCTGTGCGTTGCAGGTCTCGGCACAGTGGCTCTCCCCTCTGGGGTCCTTCTGCCACCCGTGGTACCCAAATCTTCTCCTACGACCATCTGGTTTCGGCGCAGAAAGAAATAGAAAATAAAAAGAACCCCAGGAGACGTGCAAGGGGCCCTCGATGCATCAAAGCTGCCTCCAGGAGGCCACCGCGAGGCTTCCGGATTGAATCAGTGTGGCCCTGGTTGGCCTCAAGTCGGGCCTCCACGCAGCCAAGACGGCAAATGGCGGCTTCAAAGTGCAGAACGTCATTTTCCGATTGCCCGGAGAACCCCGACGATGCCCCCAAGGGATTCCAAGAAGCCCCAAGACGCCCCCCCAAGAAGCACTCAAGAGGTGCCTCCAACAGCCAACTGAGGAAGCACGGAGAACCCCCCAGAAGCCCTGCAGATGCCCCCACGAAGACCCAAGAGGTCCCCGAGAGGCCCTCAAGAGGCACGACTATGTCCTGCGCCTGTGCTTGATAGCACTGTCCAAAGTCTTCCAGGCCCCCCCCCGGCCTGAGCTAGAACCTGAGCGCGCGCGATGGTTCTAGGACTATCCATAGCTTCTATACGTTTGTTCATATATTATATACACCAAGATTTATATACACGTATAGCGCTTCTCCTTCCACCAGCACAGGTCCTGCCTGGCACTCGGCGATGGTCGGCGTACTCGCAGACGCCCTCTTTCCGTCTCGAGCACGCTGAGGCGCCCGTCATCCGCGAGACCTTCCAGTCGAACGGGCTAGTCGAGACCTCGGAGAGGGACTTCGTGATCCAGTGGTCTGGGCCCGGCATGCGCGATTCGGTATACCAGTCGTTGACCGAGTTCCAGAAGGTCAACCACTTTCCTGGCTCCTCCGAGATGACCCGCAAGGACCGGTTGGCCATGAACTTCCGCCTTATGACGAAGGCGTTCGGCAAAGGAGCCTTCGACTTCCTGCCTGAGACGTACTGCCTGCCACAGCAGATCGACGAGTTCATGGCGTGCTTCGAGCGCACCAGGGGCCTCTGGATCGTGAAGCCCAGCGCCTCGTCGAGGGGCCGCGGCATCTTCGTGCTGCGGGACCCCGCGGAGGTTCCTGCAGACGATCGCGTCGTGGTGTCCCAGTACATCCCGGGTGCGGCCAGGAGGGGGCAATGACCAGGGGCGGGTGGGTGTCATGGCCGTGGCCGCGATGTCTCCTCGGATGTCGCGGCCCTTCCCTCTCACTCCGGCACGGTCCCCGGTCGTCCGCTGGGCCGCGCGCCCGCCTCGGGCCCTGGACGCCCTCCTCTTGGGCGCCCCCGGACCTCGCCAGACCACTGCTGATCCAGGGGCTCAAGTTCGATATACGCTTCTACGTGGTGGTCACTTCGTATGACCCGTTGCGCGCCTACATCTACCGCGAGGGACTCGCGCGCTTCGCGTGCAAGCCGTACAGCACCAGTGCGGAGCACTTGGCGGACAGGTTCAGGCACCTGACGAACTACTCGATAAACAAGAGCGCAGGCAATTTCAGAGAGAATCAGGATCTGCACGCTGACAACGTTGGCCACAAGTGGTCCCTCTCTGCGCTTAACAAGCATCTCAAGTGCACCGGCGTGGACGTGGATCTGATGTGGTCCCGCATCATGGACATGGCCGTGAAGACTCTGCTGTCTGTGGAGCCGTTCATTTGTGCCAAGACCCGGCATCTGATGCACAACCGTTCGAATTGCTTCGAGGTGTACGGCTTCGACGCCATTGTCGACGAGGATTTAAAGCCTTGGCTCCTGGAAGTGAACCTTAGCCCCAGCATGCAGGCGGAGTCGCCGCTCGACTGGCAAATTAAGTCTTCCCTCCTCAGTTGGAGGAGGACGAAGCGGCATGAGCAGAAACTGTCCGAGCCTCCATATAGGATTCTCCACATTCTCCATCGGATTCCCCACAGGTTTCCCTGTGAGGGTTCCCTCCATAGGACTCCCCGATGTGCTTCCCCTTTAAAGTTTTCCTGATAAGGGATTGTTTCAAACAGTCGCACTAAGCAAAGGTCCAGAGCCAGACCATCCCCTCCTCCCACCCCCTTGCGCCCAATGTCGAAACCCCGAATAAGAACACGTTCGCACGAGGATGTCTTGGATCGTCGCTGGGCCCTCCCGGCGGCGCCTGCCGCGCCGCCCCCGGCGCGCTCCGCGCGCTAGGGATGGGGCGTCCAGCGCAGAGGCACGACACCCACGCAGGGGCCCCGGAAGTCTCTGCCCCTGCCGTGCTCTCCTCCTCTACCAGCGACGTCTTCAACCTGGTCGGCGTGTGCCAGAAGGACAACGCCATGGCCCTCTGCGCGCGCATCCGGGCGCCCGCCACCGGCGTGCAGCTCCACCCGAGCCTGCCGCGGCCCCGCAGGGCCGAGGCCGCGCCGCGGGCCCAGGCCCAGGCAGGCCAGGAGGCAGGCCAGGAGGCCGAGCCGGACGGTTCTTCGCCGTGCAGCAGCCTGTCACCACCCACCAAACCACCCCAACCCAACCCGAAGGCCTCAATTTGCCCTCCATTTCCAGTTGGGGGGGGTTGGGGAACATCGAAAAAACACGCATGGAACCCGTACCCCCCCCAACCCGAAATTCGGGTCTTCGGGTTGGGTTGGGGTGGTCTGGTAGGTAGTCAGCCTGGGCCGCCCGGACCCAGGGATCCAACGCATCGAAAAAACCAAGACAGAGGTTTTGCTCAACTTTCTGCCTCCAGGGGCCCTCGCCGGGCCCTGGGGCCGTCGAAAAACGGCTCGGAAGGAAAGACCGGTCCAAGGGAATGGGTCGAGATTCTAGGGACCGCGCGTTGAAAAAATCACGACGTCGGATCTCTGGGGAGGCGGTCCGAGCAGGCGGGGTGGGGGGATGGCGCCGCATCGGCCGATGTGAGGGTAACGCGGCTCGGCGTGGAGCCCGATTTTCTTCACGCCGACGTCGGCGACGCATCGCCGACGTCGCCGATGCATCGCCGATGCGGCGCGATTTTCCGACCCCGCCTACTCGGACCACGTTCGGGAAACCTTTTAGGAAAGGCGTCCCGAGGGAAACGGGCCCCCAAGGTTTTCTTCACGGGCCCTGGGGCTGTCAAAGAATGGCTCAGGAGGAAGAGCCCCTGGGTCCAGGACCCGTTTTCCTCAGGACCTGCTCCTTCCATTTCGTGGCAGGTTCGCGTCGTGCCGACCGGCGGCGACCCCGCCGACGGCGTCCAACCCTGGACGCCGCTGGTGACCCAGAGTCGTCGATGTTGAACGACCTGACGTTTCGGAAACCAGAAACGGCCGATCGTTCAAGGTTTAACGAGCCCCGCGGTGTGAGGAACCATCGCTGGGGTCGACACGACACGATCCCGCGTAAGGTTCTGGACCGCTCGGGCTGAAGCCAGTGGTTCTCAGTGATCTCACCTGCGACCAGCTCAAGGTGCTGGCCCGATCCATGCAGGAGCCTGCATCGTCAGGCCTATCCCTCCGTCCCCAGTGATCCAGGGGCTCCTCGGCGCCGCCAGCCTGCCTCCTCCCCAGACCCCCTCGAGTCATGAGGTTAGCCTGCCGAAGAACCCAACCATCTGCAGTTGTGTGTACCGCAGTTGTGGGTATCGCCTTCCGTGGAGCTCCTCATGCGGCCACGAATGAGCTTTACTGGGCGGGGGACCCGCATGCGAACTGCGCCACTGGGTCCTTCGGTGGAGCTCCTCATGGGGCCACGACACGCTTTACTGGGCGGGGGAACCGCATGCGAACTGCGCCACTGGAACATTCGGCGGGGTTCCTCGTGGGGCCACGAAGTGCTGCACTGGGTGGGGGAACCGCATGTGAACTGCGCCACTGGGACCTTCGGTGGAGCTCCTCATGGGGCCACGACTCGCTTTACTGGGCGGCGGAGCCGAATGCGAACTGCGCCACTGGGACCTTCGGCGGGGTTCCTCGTGGGGCCACGAAGTGTTGCATTTGGCGGGAAACGCATGTGAACTGCGCCAGTGGGATCTTCGGTGCAGCTCCCCATGGTGCAACGAAACGCTGTACTGGGCGGGGGAAACGCATGCGAACTGCACCACTGGGACCTTCGGTGGGAGCTCCCCATGGGGCCACGAAGTGCTGCACTGGGCGGGGGAACCGCATGCAGACTGCGCCACTGGGACCTTCGGTGGGAGCTCACCATGGGGCCACGAAACGTTGTACTGGGCGGAGGGGACGCATAGGGACCGCGCCGCAGGGACCTTCGGTGGAGCTCCCTCAGGGGCCACGACACGCTGTACTGGGCGGGGGGCCGCATGCGAACTGCACCACCGGGACCTTCGGCGGGGCTCCCTCCGGAGCCCCGAAGTGCTGCACTGGGCGGGGGAACCGCATGCGAACTGCGCCACTGTGACCTTCGGTGGAGCTCCTCATGGGGCCACGAAACGTTGTACTGGGCGGGGGAAACGCATGCGAACTGCGCCACCGGGACCTTCGGTGGAGCTCTCTCAGGGGCCACGAAACGCTCTACCCGGCGATGGAGACGCCGATCTGCGCCATTGGGACCTTCGGTGGAGCTCCCCATGGGGCCACGAAGCGCTGTACTGGGTGGGGGAAACGCATGCGAACTGCGCCGCTGGGACCTTCGGTGGAGCTCCCTCAGGGGCCACGAGACGCTGTACTGGGCGGAGGGGACGCATGCGGACTGCGCCACTGGGGCCCTCGGTGGAGCTCCTTCTGGGGCCACGTAAAGCTGTACTGGGTGGGGGGGGTGCATACGAACTGCGCCATTGGGACCTTCAGTGGAGCTCCTCATTGGACCACAACACGCTTTACAAGGCGGAGGAAACGCATGCGAACTGCGCCACTGAGACCTTCGGTGGAGCTCCCTCCTGGGGCCACGAAACTTTGTACTGCGTGGGGGGGACGCATGCGGACCGCGCCGCAGGGACCTTCGGTGGAGCTCCCTTTGTGGCCACGAAACGCAATATCGGGGGGGGGGCGCATGCGAACTGCGCCACTGGGACCTTCGGTGGAGCTCCCTCAGTGGCCACGAAACGCTGTACTGGGCGGGGGAACCGCATGCGAACTGCGCCACTGGGGCCCTCGGTGGAGCTCCTTCTGTGGCCACGAAACGCGGTACTGGGTGGGGGGGGGCGCATGTGGATTGCTCCGCTAGAACCTTCGGTGGAGCTCCCTGTGGGGCCACGAAACATTGTACTGGGTGGGGGAACGAATGCGACTTCGCCACTGGGACCTTCGGTGGAGTTCCCTCTGGGGCCACGAAGCGCTGTACTGGGTGGGAGAGACGCACGCGAACTGCGGAGGAGGGAGGAGGGGGAGGGAGGAGGGGGGGAGGAGGAGAGGAGAGGAGATGAGAGAAGGAACGCGGGGTGCTGTCTCTTCAAAACGAGGACTCAACACCACAGGATTGATGGGACAAATATGGACGGGAGGGTCTGCTTCTATTTTCGGAATTTCTGGGGCCCTCACCGGGCCTCGGGACCGTCGAACACCGACTCAGGATGAAACACATCTCGCAGTGAATGGGCTGAGACCACTGGTGGTCGACGTCATGAACACATCGCGACGCCGGAGGTCTGGGCCGAGGTGGTGATGCGTGCCGCGAGGCCCGACGGAGACGGCATCCATCCCCAGCTAGGCACAGCCGAGTCGGACGGCGGGGCCCAGGCTTGCCCTTGTGCGGGTGCGGATGCTTAGCTCTGCCGATGCGGGAGGAGAACAGGCGCTGCAAGAACTTCGTGCGGCTGTACCCGACCAGGCGCAGCATCCAGCGCTACGCCCCGATCACCGCCGCGCTGCGCGCGAGGAACAAGCACTGGGGGCCCGCCGGCGAGGACGGCGCGTCCATGTCGCAGCTGCTGGCCTCTCTCCTCTTCGGGCCGCGCCCGGTGATGGGGCAAACAAAATCGTAAGGTGCTCATGCCACGACTCCCTGGGCGTCTCCCGAGGCGCGTTCTGACTAGAATTTCGGGGCGAATCCAGCCGTGGCGACGAGGGCCTCCCAGGAGGCCCAAAAAAGGGGAAACCGAGCCTGAAGGGCAGCGGTATGTCGATAACTGTTCCTCCTGCGAGGTGTCCTGCGCCAGGAGCCTGGCTGGGCCCACGCTGCCGCTGGCCAGGCCGCGGCGCGACGTGCCCCCGGCGCAGAGCGCCTCTTCGTCCTCGTCCTCGTCGTCGTCGTCGTCGTCGTCGTCGTCGTAGTCGTCGTCGTCGTCGTCGTCGTCGTTTGCTGGCGTCGTCGTCGTCCGCGTCGTTTGCGGGCGGCGTCGTCGTCGTCGTCGTCGTCGCTGCCGCCGGCCAGGCCGCGGCGCGACTCGCCCCCCGCGCGGAGCGGCTCCTCGAGCCCTGGCCAGGGCCGCGCGGCGGCTCCGCCGGCGACCGCTCCCGCCGCCGCGAGCGGCTGCCGCGAGCGTCCGCGCGCCGCGGAAGCACAAGAGCCGGAGGGCGTGGAGCAGGTCGGGCGTTGCGTAACGGGGGTAGGGCGAGAAATCGAAGAGGGAATACATTGCAAAACAAATTCACCCTACTGCCGTCGAGTCTTCCGAACATGCGCAGGATGCTGCGTAGATATACGGAGCACTCCACGTATGTTTGTTCCACAGTCGACGAACAAACAAATCAAGCTTGGTGTAGACCAATTCTGTAGCCGACCTCCGATTCGAGTAAAGGAGGCGTTCCAGAAAGGGCCGGTATTGCGCAGTGGGAGGGGGCGACAAACCCCATGCGGACGGCGTGTTGCTATGTTCCGCTTCTGCGAGCCCTCGCCGGGGCCCAGGGCCGCAACCAAAACAATCCAGGATGAGAAACCAATGGGTCGAGACCTCGGGGGGGTCGACGTCCTGAAAAACCATGGCGTCGGGGTCTGGGCACAGGGGAGAATCCCCCTGGCTCCTCCCGCTGGTGGTTCCTGGTGGTGGTGCTGCTGCTTTTCCTTGTTCCTACAACCGGGGGTTGAAGAGAGGTGCACCGTGTAGGGGCCCTGCAGGGGCCCAAAGGGGGGCGTGTAGAGGGGTACCCGCTTCTTCGCCACCCCCACCTGTCGCCCCCCCCCCCCCCCCATGCAGCAGCGCCCAAGCAGGCGCTCGACCTGGCGGCCAGTGGGGAGCGCTCGCCCCCGTCGCGGCCGTCGCGCGCCCACCGCCCCGGTCCCGCCCTGCGGGACGCCGCGGGCCCCGCCGTCGGCGCGTCCGAGTCCCATGCCGCTGCCATCCGCCAGGCGGGCACCTCCGGGGGCCTGGACGCCGCATTGAGGGCCGCCGCGGCGCTCGGGGACCGCGTCGGCTTCAAGCTGGTGTTCATGGAGTACCTCGCCAGGCTCTGGCGGGCGTGCGAGGCCGTCGGCGCCGAGGAGCGGCTCACGCTGTCGCAGAGCTCGGCCTTCGCGCGCCTGGTGACCTTCAAGTCTCGGCTGCGCGACCTCACGGCCCTGTCTGGCCCCAGGGGCGGCGAGGGGTGTGCCGGCGGGGGCGCGCTGGTGGAGTCCCTCGCGAGCTCCTGCCGTGCCGCGCTCGAGCGCGCCTACCACTCGCTCTGGGACGCGGAGATCGGCCTGGGCCTCCCGCCTCCGCTGCTGCCACCGCCGAGCCAGGGCGGGCCGCAGCTGGAGACCTACGTCCCGAGGCCGACGGCGCAGCGGTGCCAGGAGGCGCTGCGGTTGCTGCGGGCGCTCACGGCGGCGGACCTGGAGGAGGCGTGCTCGCACCCGCGCTGCTCGCTGGAGTTCCGCGAGCTCTTCGGCGCCCCCTACGCCGGCCTGTGGCAGGGGGAGGCCGAGGCGGGCCCGCCACAAGCGGGGGGAACTGTGGCCCGTACCCCCCCCCATGAGGTGCGGGCAAGATTTGCATCCTTATCCGCCGCGTCTTGGACTCTGTGGGAAGGGGCGCCAAGAGGCCGAGGCGCAGTGGATATGGGTACAATTCTGGCCTCTAGGGGCCCGATGTTTTTTATCCATATCCAGTGCGCCTCTGGTTTATGGGCAAGGGAGCCCAAAAGTCCGAGATGCAGTGGCTATGGATCTACATCTTGCCCGCATGAGGGGCCCATCGCTGCCGGCACCCCTCTCGAGAAGCAGTCGGCACGATGCGCTCCCCAAGGGGGGTCAGGACCACAACTCCCCCAGCTGTGGCTCGTCGGCGAGGACTCGGCCGCGGGCCCGCGGCCGCTGCTGGCCGCCGCGCCGTGGAAGCGTCCAGGGAGCGACAGGGCGCAGCGGTGGCCCGGCGGCGGCCCCAAGGGGCGCCACGAGGCCGCCCGCCGCACCGAGCCGGCGGGCCCGCGGCGGCCCGAGCCGCAGGCCGCGAGGCTTCCCGGGCCGGCGCCGCCGCGTGGGCCGCTGGCGGACCTGCTGATGACCACCGCCGCGGCGCGGCAGCGCAGCCGGCCGGGCCCGGCCGCGGAGGGC